ACATCATATATGCGATGACACTAGGCTGATAAAATCGCCCATAAGCAGTGGCGAAATGAACTAAACCTGAATTCACACTGGACGCTTCACGGCGCGGCGTGTCATGACGCTGACCAAATATGGTTAGCATTTTCGGCAGCTATGCGCACGCAGCGCGTTTTTTCAGCCACGCGTCACCGAGCGTCAAAGTTGAACAAATTTAACTTTGACGCTTGGTGACGCTTCAGAACAATAGAAAACATAGAGAATAATGACAGCCAGAAACGTAAACAAAGACCACGTTGAAATTGTACCAGTTGTTTTTATCTACTGTTCAATCTGTTTGCAAAGATAAAAGAATTTTCGGTAGGATTAGGAGGATTGCTTTAGTAAAATTTACTTAAAATAGTGCATTTTCCAGGGAACTGGAAGCATCAAAATTCGAAAATTTCCTGCTCCTTCGGCTGCGACCATGGTGCCGCCTCGTGTAGTTGCCCGTCCCGGTATACAGATTTGGCAAAACTATTAGGAAAGTCATTTTAAAATACCCGAGGTATTATCATTTTTTAAATGAATTATATGTGAATTATATGCCACACACTCTGAACAAGTGAGCAATGTCCAGTGCGTGACCAGTGCAAATGTCCAGTCGTTTTGCCGGGGCTTTAATCAAACTTATTTATGAAATTTTGGATTCAAGTTGCAAAAATCGATTTTCCTTCTAGAAACACATGCTTTTATATAACCACGATCTATAGATAGGGCGCAAAAATCGACACTGACAGCGTATATTGTCAAAGTCCTGTCAATCCTGCCTAAAATAACGTAAATCCTCGAATTGCCCTCCCCCCTTCGAATAAGCCCCCACCTTAGAACTACAAATTGTCAATAAGCCCCCCCCTCGAATAAGCCCCCACGTAAATTCTCAAGTTGGACCCCTCAATTTGATCATTTTTGCCATCTGAGGTTGCCTATGGCGTTTTATTGAATTACCACAACAAATTCATACTTTTGGTAGTAATTAATTAAATGCTCATAAAGAAATTCCTAATGTTTTATAAGTAAGGAGTAGTCTTGTCGAAAGTTTTGCCGTACTGCTAGGAGCTCTGTCGCTAATTTTGTCGTGCCTGTTGAAGCCGTGTCGCTATTTGTCGAACTTGCTGTTAGCCGTTAAGCCTGGTTCATAGTTCTGAACTTATTAGCTTACGCTAAATTCTGCACAAGGGTAAGCTTTGAGGCATACGCCTTTTCATCTTGCATTTCCAAAAAGCGTAAACACGTACGTTTTCCGCATGTCCATGCGGGAAGCTTGAAACGATACTCCATAAGCTTTTTCGGTTCATAGTTTCCAGACATGCCGTCGAGGAATGTTCCTCTTGCCCTTCTACTTGCACGGAGAAAATATAAAAAGAACCGCAAACATGCTGGTATATTCTACCTATATATAATTTACGAACCGTTTGCGGGGATTGTGCCGTTATTGTCAACGATTCGCGTTTGATGTCAATGATTCCGGTATAAATAGCCATTTTTCTTGCTCCTGTCCAATAATTTAATATTTGTCCCGATTTCTTACCCTGGGTTCCAGACCGACTGTCCTCTAGCAAGGAATCATACATGTGGGGGTATTTGTGTATCTCTTCACAAAGTTTTCCTTCAAAATCGGCCATTGCTAAGAAATTTTCCGTACGGGAGGCAAAAAAGTTGAAGATTTCTCAACTCGATAAGTTCAAGGCATACGGGTTTGCGGAAAACAGAATAAACGTCCGTACGCAAGACCTATGCCTCTGATATGGGGCGAAATTTAGCGTACGCTAGCTCTTTGGCAAGCCGATACCAGACAAGCTTGCGCCTCCCTCAGAGAAATAAGGCGTACGGGTAAAAGTTTTGATGTAATGCATCGACTATGAAAAAGAAGAATTTTGATCTTATCCGCCGTTGCCGTATTTTTGAGAATTTCTGCCTACAAAGAACTCACTTTTGTAAATCCCACCTTTTAAGAGGCTTTACATTGGTTACCCCGTGTGAGGACAGCCGAGCCGAAGGAAAAGAAGATGAGCATTTATCGATACCTGCGAACCACAGACGACCAGCCGATTTGCAATAACTGCAAAAGAGTAGGACACGTGGTCAAATATTGAGAAGACGCCCGTTGAAGCAGCCATTGCAAGAAAAAGCCCCTGTGCCTGTGGATGCAAAAATGAGCCCAGTTTTTGAAGCAGAAATTCAGACGAGAACGACAACCCAACCCACCACTGACACCTTCGTTGCTCTGTGCAAGTTGTGTTAAGGCTGATTTCCACGAGACGAATTTCGCAGCGAATTCGCGGCGAAATCGCTGATGAAGGCGTCAAGGCATGCGCAGTTTTGATTTTCGATTTCGCAGCGAATTCGCAAGAAAGTAGAAAAGAGTTCTACTTTTTCTCGGCGAAATATTTCGCAGCACCTAATAACCAGTCAAAGCATGGTAAATTTGCTTGATTTGTAAGGAAACAATCTTGGAACATTCGTCATTCATTTCATTTCATTTCATTTCAAAAATCTTTACACGCGAATTCCCTATCAGCTATAATACAAATAAAATAAACTACTTTTATTACAATTACTTCTTTAATATATATAAAATAAAGATGTTGCTGTTCTACCTAGGGATCGTGTTTTGTTTAGGGATCGTCATGCGTGCAGTTCTTAAAATAGGCGCCTTAAAGTTGAGTTTTGGAGGAAATAATTATATAATTTCGCAGCGAATTCGCAGTCTCGTGGAAATCAAAGACAATTTCGAAGCGAATTTCGCCTCGTGGAAATCAGCCTTTAGATGGATCGCATGATGAACTCGTTAGGATCGCGGTAGAACCTTTAACGTTGCTTGTTTACTCCATAACTTGGCTACAGATACATGTTTAGGTAAATTTAGTTATAAGCGTTCAGCGTGTTATAGGCATGCAGCTTTATTTCTACATAAAAATTGCTGTTAATTAGCTTTAGTTGACGTAAAACTGCACATGTTATTCTTGCTTCTTATTGGTAGTTAAAATTGGAGAATTTTTGTAGCGTTACTCAGAACCAGGGACTGTAGATTTAAAAGAGAGCGCGTTAATTGTGAATTTAGATGCATCGTAAGATGTAAACACGATGGTTGATACCAATGAACAAGATAGCAGAGCAAATTTGTCTTGTTATTCTTCAGCGTTCATCTTTAGATACTTCAAAAAATCTTTAGAATTATATAAAGGGTTGTTTCATAAGTTAGGAGTAGTCTTGTCGAGAGTTTTGCCGTACTGCTTAGAGCTCTGTCGCTAGTTTTGTGGTGCCTGTTGAAGCCGTGTCGTTATTTGTCGAGCTTCTCGTTAGCCGTTGGTTGTATCACTGCCGTAAAGAGAATAATTTTGATTTTATCCGCCGTTGCCGTATTTTTGAGCATTTCTGCCTACAAAGAACTCACGTTTGTAGAACCCACCTTTTAAGAGGTTTTACAAATAATTTCACCACCCTGTCCCAGTTGAAATTTGGTAGCGATAACGTCGGTCCCGATCTAGCCCTGTGCTTAATATTTCTGTCTATCACACCCAAAATTGGTCCCAATTCTGCTAGTGCCATGCTGTATTGCAGTACAGTAAGGACGCATTTTTTTAGGAAGGGCCAATCATCGAACAATGACAGGCAGGCACGTAAATACTGGGGGGGTGTGACACCTCCCCCCCTCCCTAATCTTTCATTCACTCGGAAAATTTGAAGACAGTCGGAAAATTTAAAGCTGTTGGTAGAAAGCTAGATTAATCGGAAAAGATTTAAATCATTTGTGAAAATTGAAGTTTTGACTCAAATGACCTTGTGAACTGTAGCTCAAAGAGAAACATAAGAAAGGTATAAATTGAAAAGAAAATAATTGTTAGGTAAAAGGCAGTCCTAAAAAGAATGAGAGGCGACGCAATACAGAAAAAACGAAGTTTTGTATGAAAATGCAAGTATTTTCAACTACATTCGTTGTAATGGGGATAGTGTGATAATCATTCCATCAAATTGCTTCTAAAAACGGAATACGAAATATAATTTTTTAAATAATATCTAACAGTAATGCTTAAAGAAGCGCAGTACATTTCCCATAACTTGTCAAGAACTTTCTCCGTTCGAGATCGACCGATGAAACAAAGGTGGCGCTAGGTGGAGAGCTGTGGGCTTCAGCCCCCCCCCCCCCACTTTTCTGAAAAAATGCATTTTAAGCAAATAAAAAGAGTAAAGGAAAAAGTATAAAGAAAAGAATGATGCGACAAATCCTCTAGTTGCTTAATTTCCAAGAAATACGCCGAGGTCTATGGGGCCTCATAAAGTAATGAATTCAATTTTAAGACTGAATTAATCAAACGTAGAAAGAACATGCCTTAACAATAACAAAATGTTTTAAACGATTGCAAGAAAATACCTGCAAGAAGTATTCTGAAATGTATTTTGAGCTAATCTAAAAAGCGTGGTCGTGAAATTTTTTGCTCGTTTCGCTCGCAGAGAAGCCATTGCTGTCAAATATCCCTGAGGACTCCGCCAGCCTCCCACCCGGCCCCTTCAAACGTACCGCTAGCATAATGAGTGCCCCATAACATATTAGGCATAAAACAACATGTTCCGTCTAGTATTAGAAACAAAACTCGTCCCCAAAGAGAACAGCCACCTCGGTCTTGCAAATCTAAAAGTACAACTAAAACCTGCGATTCTGCTATCGGGCAGCATTTACTGCAAAACCCAGATTGTGCAAAAAACTATAATGGCGATATGTTTCGGATTATTGGTAAAGCCCAATCGTCGTTCCACCCAGCAGTTTTGGAATCTATCTACATAAGCACAAAAAAACTGCTACTGTGTAGACAAAAGGAGTTCGTTTTACCTTAGGACTCCATTGGTAACATTCTCAATAGGCAAGCGGCACTGATTGGTCAACCTCAACAGTTATGTGCTCGTGTTTCTGATTGGCCTCTTTCGATCCACAACTGGGTATATATATTTCCTAGCGTAGAGTTTTCGGTCTATGTTTGAATATTTCTAATAAATGAAACAGTATGTACCACGAAAAGATTAAAGCATAAAAAGCTTTGACAAGGAACATTTTGCGAGTAATTTAACATTGAATCTAAATTATTGAATTCAACAAAGCATTCTGTGACAGAGGGGTGCTAGAGCGGCCATAAGCAACATCAAATGAAGCATACTTCAGACCAAGCAAAGGCAATAAATGTTTTCAACCACAATATGGAAAAAGAACAGAAGTGTTCATTGAAAATTAAAACATGTAAATAATAATAATGATTGGTCTGCAACATGAAATAAAATCAGAGCCTTTTCATTAACCGATAACCAATAAGAACAAACAAGGGATAGCTTTGATAGTCTTAGACCAGAAAAAGGCTGAAAGTGTTTAGTCAATTGCTAGCAATATAATAAATATGGAACAAAATTAATATGGCCTAGATGGCTGGATTTCGCATGCAGCTTCAAGCATTTTCTAATTTAAAAATGAAAGAAGAATTCTTTAGGGCTCATTTCTAAGAGGTATTCTTACATTATGTTTATGTGTGTGTACTTTTTTTACTGGAACAATTTTAATTGCTTTTAAGTAATTTTTGGTGAGACAAGTGTCATACCATTTCTGTTAAACTGGTGTGATTCAATTTAAATTTCAGTGGCATAAACATTTAACAGGTAGATTAAATTTTCTGGGAGCTACCTGGACATTATTTTTTAGATTTGTGATGAAAAAGAAGGCGGATATAAAGAATCCGGATAGGTGTCATGTATTGATTTATATGGGACTGACGATTCAGACGATTAGCCTTCAAAACTTTGGTAAAAATGTGCAATTTGTGGAAACAGCCCTCTGTTTTCCTTTAATAACTTCTCGCAAAAATTGATCAAAATATAATTTGAATTTCAATCGATAGAGCATGGTCTGCCACATTGTTCTTTTTTAATTGCAAGAGGTTAAAACTATTTCGAGGACATTTTAAGCTCACCGAATGTTACTCTTTGTTTGCTTTGTTTATATTCCACCGAGTGACTCAATTTGGTTTAAATCTGGCAGAAGCCTAAATTTTGATATCTTACAAGACAAATGTGCTAATTATGACGCAAAAGGATCTATTTTAATTCTTGGTGATTTCAATGGTAGAACTGGGACATTGCCAGATTTTATCGTAAATGATTCAGTAGACGATTTTCTACCGGTCGCTAATGATTACTCGCCAGACACTGCTCTAATTACTAGGCAATCTAGTGATAATACAATTAATCATAGCGGTCGATTGCTAATTGAATTCTGTAAAACTGCAGGCCTTCGGATCCTTAATGGCCGTACTGATAAAAACCGCTCATCACATGTTTCTTGTTTCACGTCCAATGGTAACAGCACAGTAGATTACGCTCTTGCAAATCAGAAAACATTTGGTCTGATTAGTGGCCTTAAAGTTGGGAACATGAGTAGCTTGTCCGATCATTCTCCTATTGAGATCTCAATTAAGCAAAGTGTTAATTGTAATAATTCAACAGTTAGCTCTAGCAAGCCCGACAATGTATCTTCCTCGGCGGTTGATGTTCTTATGAGCAATTACACAAAACAATACATCCCCAGTGTTGATTCCCATCAGAAAATTAAACTTTTTATCGAAAATGATAATACCCTGGCTTTTCTGGAAAATTTGGAAACTGATCTTGATGACAAGTCCATTCCTGTTGGTCATACTGTTGCATTAATGCGCAAACATTTAACTCAAATTGCGGAAGGTTGTCTTAGAACTAAGAAAATTTTTTCTAGTAACGTACCGATGAAAAAACATTTTGTTTGGTTTGATAACGAGTGTAAGTCCAGCAAAAAACTGCTAAGTACTTCACGTAAGGCCTTACAAGCAGCCCTGAGACTCAATAAACCTGACCCAATACGTTCTAATACTTTACATGAGGTTTACAAATTAGAGAAAAAGAGACACAAAGCTCTTTTGAAAAGAAAACGCGCTTCCTACCTTACAAATGCGAAAGAAGAGCTTTGGCTGCTTAAAAATGAATGTCCAAAGCAGTTTTGGAAAAATCTTTCAATGTCATCTTCCAGTAAATCGTCAATAGATTTTTCAAATGAGCAAATCTACGCCTTTTTTAATGATCTTCTTAGTAAAAATACTCCTGTTTCTCCCCCTAAAAACCCAAGTCACTTTGCGGCTGCTGATGATTCCGGTAACGACTTATTCACTCTTATAGATTCTAAACTAAATGAACAAATTGATTTATTGGATGTGAAGAATATGGTTGAAAAACTCAAATCTGGCAAAGCACCTGGTCTTGATTTGTTGAATGCTGAACTCTTCAAACATTTAAATGACCGTTATTTTACTCTCTTTGTTAAACTTTTTAATAAAATTCTAGATTCTGGTGACTTCCCAGAAGAATGGTCTGTAGGTGTCATTGTTTTGCTTTTTAAAGGTGGTGACACAAAATATCTTGACAACTATAGAGGGATTACCTTGCTTAGCATTTTCGGAAAGCTTTTCTTGGGTATTCTTCTAAACCGCCTGAATCAGACAGTGGAAGAGTTTAACATTCTCAAGGAGAATCAAATTGCTTATAGAAAATCATATCGAACCTCCGATCACATTTTTACGCTTCATGCTTTAATTGAGAACACATTTGCTAGTAAGAAAACTCTTTATTTATGCTTTGTTGATTTTAAGAAAGCTTTTGATTCCGTTGACTACAAAATTCTTATTGATACACTGTTGTCTTATGGTATTAATGGTAAAGTGTTAGATGTCATTAAGTCCCTGTATGCAAAAGTTAAGTCCTGTGTAAGGGGCCAAGACAGCCTAACTAATCTTTTTTCCTGCCATCGTGGTGTTAGGCAAGGTTGTTTGTTAAGTCCGTTGTTGTTCACTTTGTTTCTTAATGACTTAGACTCAAAGATTAATGCTGTGTCTACCGGTGTCAGATTGGGTGATGGAAATATCTGCACCCTTTTATATGCTGATGACTTAGTTTTATTAGCTAATTCTGCTGATGATCTGCAATCCCAGTTGAACGAGCTAAACCAGTTCTGCTTGTCCATTAATATGGAGATAAATACTTCCAAAACCAAGATAATGGTTATAAGAAAAAACAAGAAAAGATCTAAGGCATGCAAAATTTAGAAATTTGGTGATAAAGAGATCAAAGAATGCAATGAGTACAAATACCTTGGAGTTACTTTTAAATCTAATGGTTCCTACAGTGCTCATGTTGATATAATTAAGCAAAAAGCTCAAAAATCTTACTTTGCTCTCTTATCCAAAAGCAACGAATGGGATGGTTTCAACTCAGGACTGTTTCTATTTTTATTTGACAGTACAATACTTCCTATTCTAAATTATGCCACTGACGTATGGGGATTTGGTACATGGGAATGCCTGGAAAAAATTCATCTTATGGCTTGCAAGTCAACCCTAGGTGTTAAAGGATCTACAACGTCTCTTGGGGTTTATGCGGAGTTGGGACGTTGTTCGTTGCTTGAACATAGACACATTAATATCTTAAAATTTTATATTCGTTTAATAAATCTTGATTCCTCCAGATATGCATACAGAGCTCTTCAAATGTTAATTAATGATGCAGATTCCGGTGTTTCTAATTGGGTCAGTATTGCCCGTTCCCTGATGACCCTTTACAGAATACATACAACCGATAACTCCACTATCGTGAAATCAAAAGTGTCTTCCCATTTTAGGTCAAAAATTATGGAAAATTTAAAAGAACAAACTATTCTCAATAAAAAGCTTTGTACATACGCATCTTTCAAAACTGTTTATAAGTTTGAGCATTACTTAGACTTGATACCTAGCAAAAAGAAAAGATCCAACTTTGCAAAACTACGTCTCAGTGCCCACAACCTCAGGATTGAAACAGGTAGATACGGGAAGAATCCTATTCCTAGGATTGATAGAAAATGTCCGTATTGTCAATCTTTTAATAAAACTGCTGTGGAGGACGAAATTCATTTTTTATTAGTTTGTCCCCTTTACGAGACTGCTAGGAATTCTATGTTATCTATGATTTATTCAAAATTTCCCAGAATATCATCCCTTGACCTTTGTGATAAGTTTATTTGGTTGATGAGTCAAGAAGATACGGATTGTCTGATATCGATAGCCAATTTTATATCGCTGGCTTTTGAGTCACGGGAATCTTTTGGGAAGTCCTCTACGTGCATATCCTCGTAACGTAAACTTTCCAGCTCGTCATCATTTTTTTTTATCTGTTTATCTTTGTATTAGCTGTTTGCTGTTTTCTGAGATTTATTGTTAATTTGTAATTATGTTAACTTGTTAGTATAGTAATTCTGTTTGCTGTTTTCTGAGATTTATTGTTAATTTGTACTTATGTTCTGAGATTTATTATTAATTTGTAATTATGTCAACTTGTATGTATGGTAATTGTGTTGGCGATGGGCCATTTCGGCCTACAAGCCTTATATATAAATTTGTAATACGTGCCGAGAAACATGGCAGCATGTAGAGTTTTAATTATAGTGTTGATTTAATATTTGATTTAAAGCAGTGGTAAATTACATGTTTTGATTCTCAATACCTAATAAGGACAAACATATGGAAAATATCAATCGACAAGTCTCAGTCAACGTGACTATGTAGTTGGTTGGAGTAGAGTTCAAGTAATGATGGTGATCGGCGGAAATGTGAAATAAACTATTGATGGATTTGATACAAAATAGTTACACAAAATGGTGATTTTTCTCTGAATCTTCATCTTACACTTCGTCTATCATTAAATATTAAAAATAGGGGCACCGCTAGAAATAGTGGTCCCAACACTATTTTCTTTTTTCGATACTTGCTACACTGATTTTTCATAGTCTGCAGTCGGTTTTTGCGCTTTATCGTTTTTTTGGGTCGAAAGTGGAAGAATTTTTCGAAAGTCTGCCTTTATAAATAAGTACGTTCTTGGTAAAATTATGTGAATACGTAGTTTTTCATTGCTCACAAACCAACCATGTTCCTTTCGTAGTCATTAATTGTTGAGTTTACTTCAGATTGATTTATGGTAAATTATATTTGCTGAACAATATAAACCTATCAGTCAATTATAGCTTTCGACTGTTCTTTTCCAGGTCAGAAGATTGTCGACGACAATGTCAATCCTGAATGTACACTTCTTTCGTACCTCCGATTGAAACTGAGGCTATGTGGCACAAAGCTTGGCTGTGGCGAAGGAGGATGCGGTGCATGCACTGTCATGGTCTCAAAGTTCAATAGAAAGAGACAGAAAATAGAGCACTTTTCTGTAAATGCATGTCTGGCACCAGTTTGCTCAATGCACGGTCTTGCAATAACCACCGTAGAAGGCATTGGCAGCACAAAGACCAAGCTCCATAGCGTCCAAGAAAGAATGGCTAAATTTCATGGCTCTCAGTGTGGCTTTTGCACGCCTGGGATAGTCATGTCAATGTACACTCTTTTGCGTAATAAGCCGAAGCCAACTGCAGAAGATCTTGATACGTATTTTCAAGGTAATCTTTGCAGATGCACTGGATACCGACCCATAATCGAAGGATTCCGCACTTTTTCAGAAGAGTCATGGCCATCATTCTCCGTGAACGGTGTAACCACTGACCATAGCAACGGAATTTTAAATGGACAGTGCAGTTCGAAGCAGGGATGCAATGGCTCCGTCAATGGAAAGTGTTGTATGGAGACTAAAGAAAAGAATAACAATGCGGAAACTGTAGACCAAGTAGACTATCATCCTATCGATCTGATGCCATACTGTCCCGATAGTGAGCCGATATTCCCAGCAGAGTTGCAGTTAAGATCCGATTATGATGAAGAACCTTTAGTGTTCCGAGGAAAACATATGCATTGGTATCGACCAACAACCCTTCATAATTTGCTGACAATCAAAAGTGAGTACCCTCATGCCAAAATCGTAGTTGGAAATACCGAATTAGGAATCGAGATGCGGTTCAAAAATTGTCAATATCCTGTAATGATCCAGCCAACAAATATTGAAGAGCTCACAAAGGTCTCTGAGAATGCCCACGGTGTGGAAATTGGGGCTTCTATGACGCTCAGTGAAGTTGAGGAAATCTGCTTGGAACAAGCTGCTGTGTACCCTCCCTGGAAGGTTCAGGTTTTCACAGAAATTGCCAAAATGCTGAAGTACTTCGGAGGCAAACAAATAAGGAATGTTGCTGCAGTTGGTGGGAACATCATGACCGGAAGTCCTATATCTGATCTGAATCCGATATTCCTGGCTTCTGGTTGTACGTTGCAGGTGAGAAGTTCTACAGAGACGCGAATCATTAAGATGGATGAGAAATTTTTCACTGGGTACCGCAAAAATATTATCAAACCAGAAGAGATACTGGTATCAATTACAATCCCTTACTTAGAGAACAATGACCACTTTTTCGCAATTAAACAAGCAAGAAGAAGGGAAGATGACATCGCAATTGTTAATGCTGCATTCAGAATCAGACTTAAGGAGGGAAATTTCGTGGAAGATGTTGCATTGTGTTTTGGTGGCATGTCCACAACAGCAGTGTTTGCGAAGAATACAATGGAAGCGATGCTTGGTAAAGTATGGGGAAAAGAAATGATAGATAGTGCTTTATCAAAGCTAGCAAGTGACTTAGCATTAGACCCACGTGCACCTGGTGGCATGGTTCGATACAGACAGTCGCTAGCCCTGAGTTTCTTGTTCAAATTCTATCTAAAGATTGGCCATGACGTCAGAACTGATCTCAAGACCAGTGAAGAAGAGTATATGAGTGCACTGAAGCCTTTAACGAAAGGTGAATTAAAAAGTAGCCAACTCTATGATGGCAGTAACGGGAAATGTGTGGGAAAACCCATTGCTCACTCCTCTGGGGCTCTACACGCAACTGGTGAAGCTGTCTATTGTGATGACATGCCCCGACTCGAGAATGAGTTATATCTGGGAATGGTCCTGAGTCAGAAGGCCCACGCTAAAGTACTTAAAATCGATGCTGGAAAAGCGCTGCAAATTGAAGGTGTTTACGACTTTGTTTGTCATGAAGATCTTTCGACAGAAAGAAACAAATTTGCAATATCGGGTGTGGAAGATGAAGAAGTTTTTGCTGCCGGAAAGGTAAATGGCAAAAATAAAAAGTACAAAGCAATCCACGATGGTCGCTTCAATCGTTTTTATAATTTTTTTCATGAATTAATTGGTAAAGGAGGGGCTCTCCCAATGGATCGAGGAAAGAGTTTAACTAGGTTATGTTATGTGTGAATACATCTTTTGTTAAACTATGTTTTTTGCAATAAGTATGATTTCAAAAGCAGCATTTAGTGCAAGAGGCTATTTTACAGTCACGATCGAAAAACAAAACTGACAATGTCAGTTACTCCATTTATGGTAGAATTCAATATAATATAATTGCGAACAAACTGAATAAAAAAATATTAGCTCAATTGCTTTCTTTAGAAAGATCGCTCTAGTTTAACATACACCGTTCGAACTGACAAATGTGATGCTTTGCGTTCACAGGTTCAGCACTATGGGCAAGTCATTGGCGTGATCGTTGCAATTGACCAAGCAACAGCTAAGAGGGCAGCGAAGCAAGTAGTTATCGAATACGAGGAGTTGCCTCCTGTGGTAACCATAGAGCAGGCAGTAGAGGCTGGTGCATTTCACACGAAGGACATCAGACATGCTGCAGTCAATCCTGACACAGCTTGGTCAGCTTGTGATCATATCATCGAAGGCAGCATGAGAACCGGTGCCCAGGAGCATTTCTATTTAGAAACCCAAGCAGTCATTGCCATACCGAAAGGGGAACATGGTGAAATGGAGATTATAACATCATCCCAAAACCCTACCGCTACGCAGGCAGTGGTTGCTAAGGTTTTAGGAGTTCCAGCAAATAGAGTCATTTGTAGAGTGAAAAGGATGGGAGGGGGATTTGGAGGCAAAGAGACTAGAGGAATACCTCTTGCAGCTGTTTCTGCTGCTGCTGCAGATAAGGTCAGGTTTTAAAATTTACGTATCGAATAATGCATTGGTGTAAGCTGGGTGGGAAGAAAATGCTTCTACAGTTGACACAGGCTTTTGCCAACGGAGGCACTTGGGGCTTTAAGGGAAAAACTGCGACAGGCCCCTATTTGTGAACGCAAGAACGTCCCAAGAATGGGTGTTAATCATGTTAAGCACTATAGCAAAATGTAATACTGTATTGTAAATAGTTTAATAGTGTAGCAACATACAATGCGGAGGAGCGTTAGCTCATATGACCTATTTAGATTAACAAAGAGAGTTTCAGATTACAGTCAATTATGCCATCGCTTGTCACTTGTCAGCTGTTGTTTCCAGAAATAAGGGAGCGACAGAGGAAGTGCGATTACGTCTTCTAGGATTACGGCTAGAAAAGCCAGCGGTTGGGTGCATGTCTTAGTCAGATCTTACTTAGGAAACGAAGTATTTGATTTTTGCTGGTAGAAAGGCTTCTTCAATGGCGATCATCTCAACTTGTTATATCACTTTCACTTTATGTTTCGCAAAATTTCATGCTTCGCGACCTTGCGAAAGGCTCTACTTCGACCATGGAGACGAGAGCAGAATACCCTATTTTGTATTCATAAATTGTGGTCACTCGTGAATATGATAACAGATTTGTGCAAAATTGTTGGCTTGTATAGTATGAATGAGATGAAATGTCTTCTTTATAACTTATATATACGATCGTTTGCTAACTTCTTCATTTAGCTAACTCCATTCTTCAGTTAGCTAACTTTATCTAACAAAGCTTCTTCATCAAAACTAGGTTCGAAGACCTGTTCGAATAATGCTTGACAGAGATGAAGACATCATGATCTCTGGCTGGAGACATCCTTTTGCTGCCAGGTACAAAATTGGATTCAACAACAGTGGTAAACTACTAGCGGCTGATATCGAAATGTTCAACAACGCTGGCTGGACAAGGGACTTATCTGTGTCTGTGCTTGAGCGCGCCTTGTTCAATGCAACAAACACCTACGTTGTTCCACACGTCAATGCCAAGGGAAGCTGCTGCAAGACCAACTTGCCTTCAAATACTGCTTTCCGCGGATTCGGCGGGCCACAAGGTTTATAAACATTGTTATTTTTTAAGGTCAATAGTAACTCCATAATATCTTCGTACTTAGATATTTAAGAGGTTCTAAAAATAATGTAGGCTTGTAATCGCTTGCACTGAGTAAAAGTGGTTAAGGATAGTCGGCAACTCAAAATTCGAAATAATAGTATTGCTATAAAAGCTGCCATTCTGTCGTTTCTTTGAATAGCTTTTCTACTTTTAGAGGCTTTCCGGGGGTTTAGCCCCCACTAAGATATTCTTTCGTGGCTCTTAATCCTCCTAGCCTTAACGTAGTTATCGCCTAGTAAGTAGTACATACATACACACATTCATACACACATACATAAATGCATACATACATGCATATATACATGCATACATACATACATACACACACATACATAATTGGTCCCCTAAATACTATCGTATTTCTCCGATATCTGTTCTGAATAAAGGGATCTTGAAGACAGTTCTTCTTCTAAGTTCATATCTTTGTCTTCCCTTTTTGCTAAACTGTCTCTAAGCTGACTGGCTGCATTATTGTCAACAACCTCCTTTTGTAGATATATTAAAGAGGGTCCCAATTTCTATATGTAAGATTTCCTTATTGTTATATTTTCCTTTAATGCCATGAATAATCCTGGCAGCTCTTATGTGTGTCTTTTCTAGCTTGTTGAATAGTTGCTCTTCGCATGTACCCCATATTGAAATGCAGTACGTTGTTGCAAGGATTATTGTTTTGAAAGTATAGATCTTCAAGAATTTGTCTCTTCAAGTATCTCATACTTTTAAGCTTCTTTATCTTGGCATTGTATGCTTTTGTAACCCTACTTATCTGGGGAGCCTAACATAGTTTACAACAAATGTTATCCCCAAGCACTCAGCTTCATCAACGTACTCTATACTTTTCTGTCCACCTCTTAACTTCTTTAGTGGTCCTATAAATTTGTGCCTGTTTAGTATTAGGGCTTTGGTCTTTCCATAGTGAAATGTAAGTTTGTGTTGCATAGACCAAGTGTTGATCTCTCTTAACATTATAGACATTTTTGTAGTTACTTCTTCTATTGAGTTCCCAATGCAGAAAGAAGTGGTGTCATCTGCATACATGTGAATCTGGCCAACTGACAAGCAATTTGGAAGGTCTCCGACATAAATAGAGAATGACTTGTCTTGGTCCTGTAAGAGAGCCTTGAGGAACCCCGCATGATACTGGCATACGGCTTTCATGTTACACCGTCTATTTCACAAAATTGTTTCCTCTCAGTAAGGTAATCTTCAATCCACTTTGATACATTTCCATATATTCTTACATTTTGCAACTTAAAGGGTAGTATCTGGTGGTCCACTGTATCAAAGGCCTTCCTAAAATCTATCAGTAGAATGCCCATATATTTTTCATTGTCGATGGCTGACTTACAGGTCTCAGTGAGATAAAGTAAACAAAATTCAGTTTAAAGGCCTTTCTTATATACCCATTGGTTTGGGTTTGGTACTTTCTCTACATGGTCATCGATTTCTGAGCAAACAACCCCTTCTAGCAGTTTGCTCGATAACATGCTCAATGGCCTATAGTTTCCAAGATCACTCGGAGGTCCGCTTTTGAGAGACATCTTTAGTTGAGCAATCTTGTATTTAGTTGGAAATTTGTTTTGTTCCAGACTGGTGTTGCATCCACTTAGAAAATCCTCTGTGAATGCTCTCCCTGGTGCCTTTATCTTCTTTGCAGTGATTTTGTCAGCTCCTGTAGCTTTTCCAGTCTTTACCCTTTGTATTTCTTTTTCTAGTCTTGCTTTTACACTTGACATTTGTGCTATTGTTGGAGTTACTCTGCTAATGTAGCTTATGTCTGTTGCTGCAATGGGTGTAAGGTCTTTTGCTAGATTTTCACCAACTTTTGTAACTATTAAATGCATCTTCCTTTTCTTGATCAGTGTATATGAGGGGTAATTATTCATTCTTTATGGGTCCTATAGTAGTGTTAGGTTTTCTTTTTTCTGTCATGGTCTTTAGTACATTCCAAAAGCTTTTTTTATCGCTGTATGCAGCCTCAAGCTCTTTCTGCCAGCAAGATGTTTCCTCTACTCTTAGCAGTGATGTGACTTTGTTTCTGATTTTCTTATAGTCCATCCAATCTGATACAAATTCACTATTATTTGCCTTGTTTAGTTGTTTATAACGTTCATTCATCTTTTTCCTTATCTGAGTAGAGTATTCATCCATGGTAATGAACTCTTGCTTTCCTCCTTTTGATAAAGTCATTCCTAACGTCTGTGTATAATTTTCCCAAACCTACTGGCAGTCATCATCATCATTGAAAATACTGCAGACTGACCAAGGTACTCTGTCCACCTCATCTGTGAAAACTTTCCAGTCTATCCTTTACGTACTTGAATTTACGTACCCTTTCCTGTTGGTTACGTAATTGAATTTAGGTGGTGTTCTTTTCCATCTTAGCTTAAGTATTATAATAATCAAACAATGGTCAGCTATCCCTGTGTCAAAAACAACAGATTTTAGTACCATTTCAGGGTTGTTGGTAATGTAACGATCAGGGTTCTTGTTATGACGGTGAAGAACCAGTGAATAACTAGGCCGTTGGCGGAGCGGTGGGCTAGGCCAATAGGCCTAGGCCCCAAATAAGTAACGCACAATAGATACTGCTTCTTTGATGTTATCTCTAATGATTCAACAGAAAGACTCACTCATAACGTAATCAACACACACTTATAACCTAATTACAAAAGCTAATTAACAGGACAATACTTTCTCTCTTTAACTTAGTAATTTATTTGTTCATTTATTGTCCATTTATTATTTCTTCATTCATGTATTCATTTATTTATTCATTGTTTAGTTAACCCTTTCATTTATTCATCCTTACGTATTTATTTATTCTTTGCGTCTTGAATAAATATGCTTTGTCAATATTGTATTTCCTCTAGGAATGATGATAGCTGAAAACTGGATAAACGACGTCGCTTTGACTCTTGGAAAAGACCCAGCAGAAGTGCGGGAAGGTAATTTGCTTATGAAAGGAGACAGAACATACTACAACCAAGAGATCGAAGACGATGCGTTGCAAAGATGCTGGAATGGTTGTTTAGAGCAAAGTCAGTACTGGAAAGTCAGAGACGAAATCTCAAAGTTCAACTCAGAAAACCGTTGGAAGAAGAGGGGCGTGTCCATCATCCCCACCATGTTTGGCATTTCGTATACAGCTTTGTTTCTAAATCAAGCAGGTGATTTATGCGTTTGAATAGTTAGGTACAAAAAGGGTTGTTAGAAGGTTTCCTGCTTAATTCGATAGTAATTAGTTCGAACAAAGGAAAGTTTGGTTAACAACAAAATGGGTTTCTTACTTTAGAAAAAAGATATTTTTTTGAATTCTAAAGATGGCCAAGATTCCGATTGGCTGTTAAAATTATTTTTTATATTTGTGTAATTTCAACCCCATGGATGATTTTGATGTTTTTATTTATTTAGTTGGAGTGGTTGATATTAATTATACCTTCAAATGGCCTTCAATCAATTTCTTCATTGTCAATTAACGGTTTTTTTGATGAGAGAAAGCGTGACCAGTTACGCTACAGAGACACTGTCAGCAAACAGACTTTCAGAAAACTGACACAGACAATGTTTCAATGCCTGAAAAAAGGGGAAACCAGGGACGTCGACAGCGGTGTTTAGGAGAGGGGTAGGGGCTTAAGCCATATTGAAAGTGCACTCAAACCAGATAATATATATATACACATATATATGCTTTTATGTCTCTTGCATGTCTCTTGCATGTCCCGCTCCCTCCTAGTCCAAAAAATGTTCCGTTGTTCCTGAAAGCAGCACGACCATATGCAAATAATTGAAGAGCGTGGAAGAAACGATAGGCAGTCAAACAAATCGGGCTTTGCAATATCTAGAAGAAAGAGCGATGGTAGCCTATATCGGGAATATAAAGAGGCAGCAGAGTTTCTAAACTCCATCTTGTTCCTTGTAGGTGCACTTGTATCTATTTACGCCGATGGATCAGTGCTTTTGTCACATGGTGGAGCAGAGATGGGGCAAGGTCTTCACACAAAAATCATTCAAATTGCAAGCGAAACTCTCAAAACCGATCGAGAACATATCCATATCATTGAAACTGCAACCGATAAAGTGCCGAACACATCACCAACAGCTGCAAGTGCCAGCTCCGACTTGAATGGTATCAAATTCATTTTTACGTTATTTTTACGACCAATGTAGGTTATAACAGACAAAAGTGTGCGAATCTATTTCAATCCTACCAAGAGGAACAAAGATTTGATGAAGTCTTCAATCAACCGTTCGTTTTTGTATGTCGATTGAAGATATTTTGAAATTCTCGGTCTCTCTGTTTATCATTAAGTTACAGAGAAGAAGAAGCGTATGCTAACATCACCCTGCCCCAAATTCTGAAATCTCTAAGATTGGGAGAGACCACAGTGGGGAAAGATCATTTATTCAGAAGGTTGTTTTAAATTCTGTTTTGATGAGGACAGGAGTTCGAGCTGTGCTTTGTTTCCAACTGAAGCTTTAGGACACTGAGAAGCTCTGCTTATCGGGCAGAGTCCTTGTTCTCCTCGCACGCCTTGAATCGCAGACAGTTGGTGACTCCCCTCACTCTGGGTCAAAATTAGGTCAAGTTGGAGACTCGAACCGCAGACCATTGAATCTGTAATCCGAGACCCTAACAAATAAACCATCCCCGTGTTAAGAAACCTTCTAAATTTCTTATCTTCTATCTCACAGACATTCGTAGAAATAGACGAATAAAAACCTCTGATTTCCGTTAGCTGCTCTTAATATCATTCATTCTGTTACATCTCTACTTCAATCTCGTTTCTACTCAATCTGCCTACAGTCTGGCATCACATTCCTTCTACATCATACCATGTGCTTTCTAAATAAGGTCGACTAACTATGTTTTCGGTACAACAAACAAAAAAGAGCCAATTAAATACTAAAACATTATATACGTTCACCAATGATAAAACTACAACAATAAATGTATATGAGTCAGCTAATGCGCCTCACTACCAAAGTGAGGCATTTGTGTTAATACCAGCTAAAACAACAAAAACTAAATGCCAAAACAGTAACTCATACGTGATTAACATAAACGCTCAAATCTATAAGATAAACTGTTAGGCATTGCAGGAAATTGGATATCACCAACACCTCGCACCCTATTATAGAGTACATTTAATCATTTCAACCTTTGACCTAAAATGTTGGACAAAAGAAGTTTTTAGCATCCAACCAACCGTTTAAGCTTTGCAAGAGGTTTAGACTTACTTTGTCTCATTTAAGGTATGGCTGTGTACAACGCATGCTGCGAGCTGAGTAAACGTCTCGAGCCATTTCGAAAGAGTAAAGGAACTTGGAAGGAGGCAGTAAAAGCGGCCTATTTCAATCGAGTTAGTTTGTCTGCAACAGGCTTCTACGCCACGCCAGGTATCAAATTCAATTCTGAGACTAAAGAAAGAAAACCGTTCGGGTATTTTACAAATGGTGTTGCATGTTCGATTGTGGAGATCGACTGTTTAACAGGAGACCATCGCGTTCTTAAAACCGACATAGTTATGGATGTTGGCAAGTCTTTGAATCCAGCGATTGACATTGGACAGATTGAAGGTGCCTTTACACAAGGCTATGGTTTCTTCGTCATGGAGCAAATGGTCCATTCTCCCTCTGGTGTACCATTTACGCGTGGTCCTGGAGCTTACAAGATACCATCGTTTGGCGATGTACCTTTGGAATTCAATGTCACACTTCTTAAGGGTAAGTGCAATAAGCAAGTTACCTTGAAGCAAATAAGCAAACTTATGTAAAACAGACTAGCAACACTCTTTGGAAAAAAGCTTTGCTCTTGATTCAAGCTATGCCCATATTCTATTTCAAATCAAAATATGCGAGCATAGAAACCTTCAGAATAGCTTAAAACAGATTCTATAGAAAAGCTTATAACTTACCATCAATTTATCGTATCAACTACAGTTCATCCCATCTCCACGCCTTTAGCTTTGTGGTTAATGAAGGTGCATTTCTTTATGATTTGGCGGCCGATTCAAGCTATAGAGAATATTGAGGTTACTAAATCAAAAAAATTGTATTACGTCCATTGATGATTAAGAGCTAAGATGCCTGGTTGAGATGCTTCGCGAGTTAAGTTAGAGTTGCCCTTAGTTAGAGCCATTGAGGAGTAAAATAGCAAATATATAGGGGTGTTAAAGACAATAAAGATGAGGGAAGAACAATAATGTGCCGGTCCTTTCTATTCACCAGCTTCACTCTCTTTCAATTTCTTATCATATTTCTCTCCTTCGATTGCTTTCTACTTCTAAGAGGGTCCTGTATCCAGGGCATGACAGTCATCATCCCAAAGCATGAATTTGTGCGAAATTGGGCCTTTTTATTTTCCTTGTTTTCGAAGTAAAAGAAGAGTTTAATTCTGACCCTCTTACGATCTTATGGGAGCCAGCGCCGTCTATATGACATGACAAACACTCTGATCAGTTAACAGCAGCTATATGATATTTTATTTTTTTCATTTTAAAATTATTTACCAAGGGTACAAATTCAGTTTAAATACTGTTTTACAATTAGCGCTGCAAAATCTACCTATAAAATTAAAAAGTTATATACCATGAAATTTACAATAAAAAGAGCAGAATATGATACTAAGGTATGGTCTTCCATATTTTGACAGATGCACCAAACCCACATGCTGTTTACTCTTCAAAAGGAATCGGTGAGCCGCCATTATTCTTAGCATCTTCAGTGTTTTTTGCAATCAAAGATGCAATCATAGCGGCCAGAAAGGAGCGCGGGCTGAGTGCGGTATTCAAAATGGATGCGCCCGCAACCGCAGAGAGGATTCGAATGGCCTGTGAAGACGAGCTCACGAAGAGAATTCCTATACCTGAAGAAGGGAAATGGCAGCCTTGGGGAATTCAAGTTTAACATTTTTAACTGTACTCTCTAAGACTTTATCAAAGCAGATACTACTTTTGCTCTTTAGCTACAATTCTGATATATTTTTAATACCTATGATAATCGTAGTTGAATTGCAGTAGAAGATTATAATGAATTGAATTGTTGGATAATTGTTGTTGAATGGTTTTTAACTGAAAAATTATATGTTTTTAATTTTTACTTTGATTTACAATATATAATCTGACATTTATATAGTAGAAGTTAGGCTAAAGATAAGATGCTGTTACTCCGAGTTTTCTGCTTGCGCAAACATCAGACAGATTATAATGAAAATATTCATACTACCCCGGATAAGTGTACAAAAGGTGTGATAAATTTTGATAAAGAAAATGTTGTTAGATAGAGGTTAATTAGTTAGGTAGAGTTATATTATTCATGAGATACTCAGAATCAGTTCTCCCTGCCTCTGGTAACAACTGAATGTCGTAAAAAATTTATTACATTCAATGGCATCAAAATATGGAATAAAATACCCTTAGAAATTCGTTCTATGTCAAGTAAAAATTAATTTAGTAAAGTTCTTTATAAGTGGTTATTGCAACATTATTGAAAATCACGAATCTTCAGTCAAGCACTCAATTATATCGAATATTAAGCTTAACCCCCTCCAATGCAAACCATGTTTGAAACTAACTGCATTGTTCCCTCCCCTATCTTTTCTACCGTGTTAGTTTCTAGTTGCTTTTTTTTCTTTTTCATTTCTATTTTTACCCCCTTTTCTTTTTTGTTCTTTTACTGTTTCTTATACTAAAAATTTCAAATCATGTAAACATTTAAATCTTAATATTTTTCATGTACAAATGTATTACATTTTATAAACCAAATTATTTTTTATTTGTAATCAACCGGCACTGGGCACGAAAACCTTTCGGGTTTACCGAGCAGCGTTGGTAGCGCTCGGGGTCAAATAGGGAACGGGGTCAAATAGGGAAATCGGGGTCATATAGGGAAATCGTTAATAACTCCAAATATTGGACTGATATCTCAAAACAAACCTCAGAATCAGATTCGGTATGCCTCAATCTACCTTTTAGATGCTTATTTAATTCAACTACGGAAATTTTAACAGATTAAATGATAATGTTTTTCTTCTACGTTAGCTTGATGCGTGTCTCCGTAGCGACGGGAGCAAATAGGCAAAACACGTTGAAAAGCTGATTTAACCAAAAATAAATAGCAAAAGGTAGAAATAACAATATAAAATACATACTCTCTTCATATGCATCCAAATTTCACACATCCTGCAACGAGGGTTACAAGATTTCTCTAAATAAATCACATGAGTGATCGACGCGCTCGGGGTCAAATAGGGAGATCGCTGTTTTGGTTCAAATAGGGAAATCTTCAAAAACAGCAAGGAAAAAACACGAAACAGGGAACTAACCTCATTTCAGCACGTAAAATCGTCCAATCTATTGTTAACACCATTTAGCATGTTAAAAATCAAGGTATATCATTTGATAAATTTATATCAAGTCATCATAAATTTAGGCCCTTGTTTACAGATAGATCTCCTTCGCAGTTTCGGGGTCAAATAGGAAAGCTTTATCAAATCCGTTTTTTTTGCCGGAAATCATTATTCCAATAACCTTTTTGATTCAGGAGAATGTCCTCAACTAAAGATTATTGCAAATTAATCACTCTCGGTCCTTGGAAATGATGAACAGATTTTTCTATTGACAATGGTGTTTTTCAATACATTTTCATTTTATTTTCAATTAAGAACTAGTTGACAGTTACCATGCAATAATATATAAAATTACAAATAAAAACACTGCTCAAGAGTTAGACCAAATCTAGTAGATATTACAACAGTGAAAAAATTATATAGCAGAAAAGTTACAGTCTAACGAAAACCCCCAAAAATCAGGCAGCAGTACATGGACCCCAGAATGGCCAAGGGGCAAGGGGGCAGGCTTCAGTAAAAAGGCATCTGAAAAATTCCCAGCTTCTATTGACTCTGTTGTAACTGTATTTCATTTTGGTTTCGTAAGGTATCTTGTAAATGAGTTAACTGCTCTTATTAACAAGGCTTTTATATGAATTTATTTAGTGATTAGAAAGGGCTGATGTCAAGGGCACTTTTTTGAAAAGGGCATATTTGCTCCCTTTGTCCCTCTTAGGAATTGGCAGGTGAGGTTGTTACCCACCCGACCCCCCATTATGCTTTCCCTGCAGCAGTAACTGAATAGGGCTCTGCCGTGATTCTATACAGTTCTTTTTGTAAGAAAGAAAGGTAGTGTAGAGATTGTTCTGTAAAGCTTAGAGTGCCAATACCTCTTTAAGTCTTTTTTGGGGTCTTTTCCATTTGAGTTCTTGATCCTCTAGAACTCTTAGGCATTTGACGTTGTTCACAAGTTTGATATCTCAATTTGGAAACAATCGTTGAAAGACAAGTTCAGGTATTGATAATTTCCGCAACTGTATTAGACAAAAGGAGCTTGAGGCCTTACTAAAAGACAACTCATGCAATGGACATTATAGGATCTTTAACCTTTCTTGAAATTCTCAACATTTCACTTTTTGTAGATTACGTTTTTTACTAAATTGTATGTAAAAAGTGTCCCCAATTAGCAGAAATGCTAAATCAATTTGACACTGAAATAAAGTTATAATAATTATTATTATTATGAAGATATGTGGCTACAACATCTGTTGTACTTTTTGCAAGTTTGCAATGTACTCAGGGACGGATTTTGCAGGAGATGTGTAGGGGGTGTGACACACCCCCCCCCCAATATTTCTGTATCCTTTTTGGCAGCCAGTAGTAACAAAGTAACGCAAAGATTTTACTTTTTATCTTCTTATCAGTAGCTTGGCAATGGAGGGGGGGGGGGACGAGGCTCGGAAAGTTGGTGTATGGGTAAAGTGAAAATATGCAATGAAATTAGTACCTCAGTGAGTTTATATTTCAGACGAAATTGAAACGTCTTTGACGACTTCAAGCAAACGATTGTAAGAAATATTCTGAAATGTATTTCAAGCTAATCTAATGGTTGTATCGCAAAATGTTTTGTTCAAATTGCTTGCAGGAGACCCTCCTTTGCACCTTTACAGAATATTTGACAATTTCCCCTAGTTATAGGTTTTGGAACTTTCAGCTGAAAATCGCAGATTGTTTAAATATTATCATGAAAGTAGTAAAAAGCTGCAATTCTGAAAACTGTCGTACATTGATGGGACTTATTGAAAATGTCAATGTAAGTAAACAAATTCTGTGAAAAGATTTTTATCGTCACGTCAATGTAAGTAAAAAAATACCGCCCAGCATACAACATTTTTCCACCAATAATCTCGCCACATTCTCTATGGACAACGATATTGTGGCGTCTGATACAAGGAAACATGCACATGTTGAAATACAAAGTTTACACTAATTAATTGGGGCCTCAAATGGGGCCCCTGAAACAGATAAGGCATCCAATTCCCCCCCCTTGTTCCAAACATTCAACAGCCCTGTCCTCCATCCATTCTATACATACAAACCCATTCCCAGATCAGGTACCCTCTTCTTCCTCTACCCAACCCATTTGGCACGCCCTTCCCATAGCCACACCCAACCCCGCCAACTCTAACTTTATGCTAACCCTAACCCTTCCCATTTCTCCCAGCCCTTTATTCCCAAAGCCACGCCGTAACATGTTTATCCTCTTCACCCACTCAATTTAAATGCCTCCATACACTCTACAGTCCTACTTTAGTAAGCACTCTGTGTCGATTGCTACTTTTTGTTGATCGTTATAATATATATATATATTTTTTATTTGTATTTCCTGACCTTTGCAACCGTGATCCTGGACGCAGGATTGCGAGGGGCGCCTACGAGAAATGGACATACCGAATTAAAGCCCCGAAATGTCCCTCGTGGGTTTCTGGCTGATGAGTTGCTTTTTTATCATTTTCTGCCCACTTACAAGCTAGTTGCTTAAAACATACAAGGGCACACACAACCACCCCCCATCTGAGTTTGAGGCTGTAACCAGGTGGTAGTGACTACTCCTTATCTCCTTTTTTCTCATTTTTCTATTTTGGATTTTATACTTTGATTCACATATTGGTTTTTTAGTTTTTACCTTCTATGCCTATAAAAACATTTATCTTTAGAATATTTCTGATTTCGGGCCAAAAAGCGAATTTTAAAGATGTTAATTGAATTTTTCCTATTTATCCCAGCTATGACAAGGTGTCTATCCCTCTCTCGCCGGTAACTGTTTTCCTATTTGACCCCGAAACTGCGAAGGAGATCTATCTGTAAACAAGGGCCTAAATTTATGTGATGCATTGACTTGATATGAATTTATCAAATGATATACCTTGATTTCTAACATGCTAAATGGTGTTAACAATAGATTGGACATTTTACGTGCTGAAATGAGGTTAGTTCCCTGTTTCGTGTTTTTTCCTTGCTGTTTTTGAAGATTTCCCTATTTGACCCCAAACAGCGATCTCCCTATTTGACCCCGAGCGCGTCAATCACTCAGCTGATTTATTTTGAGAAATCTTGTAACCTTGGTGCAGGATGTTTGAAATTTGGATTGATATGAAGAGAGTGTGTATTTTTCTTTGCGATTACTACCTTTTGCTATTTATTTTGAATTAAAACGGTGCTTTTTAACGAGTTTTGTCTATTTGCTCCCGTAGCTACGGAGGAGCCAAGCCTCAAGCTAACGTAGAAGCAAAGCATTGCGATTTATACTGCTAAAATTACAGTAGTTGAATTAAAAAAGCATCTAAAAGGTAGTTTGAAGCATGCAAAATCTGATTCTGAGGTTTGTTTTGCGATATCAGTCCAATATTTGGAGTTATTAACGATTTCCCTATATGACCCCGATTTCCCTATTTGACCCCGTTCCTTATTTGACCCCGAGCGCTACCAACATGATTGGGTTTACCTCAGTGTCCTTGGCAACGTTTAATTGACTATCTTAGCAATGTTATATAATTTTTTGTATATCTATTATAATCTTAGAAGTTGTATACCAATAAAAACTGTTGTACGGTTGTTGCTGAATGATAAAACTTGTTTTCGTGTCGGCATTTGGAGGTTAATTGCTAATGATGGTTTGCATGTTTTCCATACAACTGTAGCTTACTTTCATGTTGTTCTGGTTGAAGATCTGATGGAATTTGTGATTCTTGCGGAAGTGTTTGTGTATGAGCTTGAGGAAAGTTCTGCCGATGTTAGTTTGTACATTCTTGCTGTATAAAGAGAGGGGCAGAACCAAATTATGTCGCGATGTCTGTTTTTTCATTCTGGTGTAGACTATGTGCGGTTGTTGTATTTCAGAGTGTCGGAGTATCCACTGGGCATTTTCGTAGATGGGCTTGGCTTTGTTTCAACCTATTATGCAACAGTTGAGATTGTACATTCTTGCTTCGCGGAATTTTGTTGAACATTGTGGCATATTTGTCTTCGCCTTTTGAGCACATGGTGACCTTGTAATACTGTTGGTAATACGTAGAAGTCAGGCATTATTCTGAAGAAGTTAGAATGACATAGTGACTGAAGTCAAACATTTGTAGCTTTTTAACGGTAAGACAAAACTGTACAAATGTAAGTGAACTTTGAATATGCAATTAGAACCAAAAACCAATCAGAGCTGCCGTGAAGGGGGCACAGGGGGCTCAGTCTCTTGTTAAAACCGAGAAAGATTTTTAGGGGCCCAGCCCCACTTGATAAGGTCAAATTGTTTATTTAGCAAGGGTAATTTACCCTTTAGCATGTTGATTTTTCATGAATGAGCCATTTCTTATAGGCTTTTTACAGCCGTTGAATAATTTGAGCGATTTCATTTACACAACAGAGTTCTTTAAAACAAATGCAGTATAGATGTGATCGTGGGTGTGGACTTGGGTGTGGCTTCTAAAGCAAAGCCTCTCTTTCGAAATTTTTAGGACGGCACCTCTAAAACAAATCCATTGTGAAAACCAATCTGGCGTCGTGAGCTGGGGCCAAAAAATAAAATAAAAAGCTCTATATACTACTTGAGATACGGTAAATTTCGATTTGCCACCAAAAAAGATAGAATTAATTGCCAAAAGAGAAAATCTGGAATCTGTTAAGGCGTTTAAAAGAGAATTCAAAGCTAGTGGTTTGAAGATTGCAATGGGAAAGTAAACTGACAGTTTGTACTTTTATGCAAAGCAATGCATCATGAAGGAAATACGTGAAAAAAATTCCAGGTATTTTCTCTCGTAGAAAGTCTGTCTAAATAGCTAGCTTTTAAAGCCAATGTTGAGTCAAGAAACAGTGATGTTGTCGGCAGCTACATTTACGATTACAACGAGGAAGAGCACAGAGAAGAAGCGAAGACGAAGGCGAGGAAGAGGGGGGTGAGAGCGGGACGAGAACAAGGCGAAGACAAAGAGAGGACGAAGATGAGGACGAAGACGAAGAAAAGGGCGAGGACGTGGACAAAGACAAAGAAAAAGACAAAGATGCATCACAGCGCAATGATGCAATTGTCATGTGACATTTTTTCGAAAAGGGGCCCTGTGGCGTGACCTACTTGAGTCAATCAAACTATATCGAAGATTACGTTTTTGTTTGTGTTCGGTAGAGCAACTTGTGCCGAAGCAGCAACGGTCCAACGTTGCTTACTGTGATGAGGAAATGTAGCCTCGGCATCTGATTTGATGAGAGATGTGGCAATGTACTCTGAGGCAGCTATTATATTCAAATTGATGTAATTCTTTTGTTGATATTTTTTTCTACGTGTAAGAATTAAAATATAAATGATCCCCTAGCAATGATGAAAGACTAGGTCGAAGACGAAGACGAGAATGAAAAGGAGGACGAAAAGGAGGATGAAAAGGAGGACCAAGATGAGGACAAAGACGAGGACGAAGACGAGGACGAAGACGAGGATGAAGACGAGGACGAAGACGAGGACGAGGACGAGGACGAAGACGAGGACGAAGACGAGGACGAAGACGAGGACGAAGACGAGGACGAAGACGAGGACGAGGACGAAGACGAGGACGAAGATGAGGACGACGACGAGGACGAGGAAGGGAAGGAAAAGGAAGGAGAGCACGGAAAGCTGTAATTATCTGCTGAAATAAATTGTCCTTGTAGAGTTTGCACTGAATGCTTTGCTCTTGCAGTTTTGTTAAATTTTTGCGTTTGTTAGGAAATATATGCTTTGAAAAGATTAATAAATCCCTAGCAATAACAAAGGAATCTGTTTTTTCATTTCATTACTCAATTATTTATACGAAATAAGTCATTTTAGTACATACATATTTATAAAAATGCACAGTAAACTGCTTTCCAAGCGAGTCCTGTCCAAAAGAAAAGAAATATAAAATCATGATTTAAGTTTAGTAAATGAAATGTTTAGATTTTTTAAATTTTAAGAATATTGAAAATGTTAAAATTAAATCTATTTAACCTTTTTGTTTTCCTGATTGTGGACATCTCTTGTAAGTTCATTGTAAGTTATTGCGCCTACAAATATGAGACGAATTTTTGCAGAGGCGGGTCCAGAGTATAGCAACCTATACAGAGAAGCATAAGTCAGATTTTTACAACAAGAAAATAAAATGGAAACTTTTAAAAAATTTTAATCAGTATTTTCTTTGGCAAATTCTTTAGTCCGTCCTAGATGTGCACCTGTTGATATCAACAACCTGCAGACGACAGGGCATATACTTTCCTGACTCTCTTACAGCCTCTGCACATAATAGTCGAGTGGCGATTCTAGGTATCTATCTGGTCGGTATTTTCTGAGTCCAGAAACTTGTTGAGAAGTTGAGCTTGCCTCTGCAGCGGTACAGCAAACCAATAGGAATCAGAATTGACCAATGCAATTGTTTACTGTGGATCTATGCAATTGTTTGTTGCAACCAATGAAATGGAATTGATAATCACTGCTTCACCCCTGCTAAGCAACTAGCTGAGTTATTCAACCTTGAAGTGTCTGTTCTGTATTGTTGTGGTATGACCATTGCGTTCTGGAATGTGGGGGGTCCTGGTTCGAATCCAACCGGGGCCGGGCAGCTCAGAGGCTAATCCTTCGAATTGCAGGTAAATTTTTCCTTCTCTTTGTGAGTTGTTTCTTAGAATTCCATTTTGGAACCTTTATTCAATATCAATGATACTGATTTTATTCAGAAAAACTTGGACGTCTTCAACAGAAAAAGGCGTGGCTTCTCTTTCTCTTTCTCTTTCTGACCACCTTTGCATAGGCTGGATCCGGCTTGTTTGAGCCTTGATTTCTTTCATACTGCCTGTAATGAGCCTGCATTTTTGGAACGTGCTGTTGAGACAAACCATTTAAAACGTGTCGGGTGTCGAGTAGCATGCACGTGTAGTTTTAATATTTTGTAGATCTGTACTCAGTCGAGAACCATTAACAAATAAATAAATGAAAAAGATCTCATTCGTTGTTGTTGCTCGAGAAGATGCGCAGAGAAATATCGAGTTCTGTCTGTTTCGATTCCAAATTTCTTCTTATTAACCTACTCTGCCATTATTTATACCATTATTTATACCCTAAAAATAAATTTGCTGACAAACGATCTGTATGGATAATGTAATGATGATGCAATTTGATGTAATGGCGATGGAAATATCTATGCTGAGAAGCGAGAGAGGCTGAGTAAGCATGGCGCAATGTAGCAATGTAAAACTGAGGGAAAATGTGGGAATTAACAGCGCTATGAATTGAGTAAAAAATTTATCGCTAGATAGACTGCCCTCATTTCCTTATTACTATTCAAACATCGTTCACATTTTTCACCATATGCACTGAATAACAAGTATTCTCGCAATATCTCAAATGCATTTCGCATGCAGCTTGCTTTAGGACACACAGGCTTTTCCAAGAAATATCCACTAACGCAATCATCGCCATTTCCAGCAATATCACTGGACTTCTATCATGTCTGCTATAATCTTTTCATTTGTTAAAAGAGGCTCCGTGCTGAAGAGATTTTTCCAGCAGAGAGGACATCTTCAGCTGTCGTACCATCTGGAAAGCTTTGATGCACAAACAGCAAGTTTCTACTTGTTCTTGGAGCTCTTTAAAAGGACCATAGTTTTCTCTCGAAGCTGCATCTTGTCGCCCCTTAAAAATTCCAGCTTTCGCAAAACAGTTGACTATGGTATTGTTATGACCGGGCACATACGAACGACAAAAACAGACGTGGCTCTATCGCATACAGTATTACCACAGAATAGAAATTCTGTGGTATTACCTTCGGGACAAGAGCAGGGTTTCCGCTAATCGGAAGTGTCCGCCTTTTGGAAAGTTTTGCAATGTAAGTCCCAAATTTAAAAATAGACCCGAGTTAGGGGGAGGCTACAGTCCCTCCATCGGAAACATCTAGCACCTCCCCCCCCCCCCTATCGGAGGAAATTTTAGGTGGACAGAGATGCAATAGCAATCATTAGAACTGATTCTTAGCGAACAGTGAGCAATGTTGGTTACGTGCCACAAGACATTTAAAAAAAAGCTTGTTATTCTTGAAAGTACCAAAATTTACATTACAGTTGAAGTTATTGGAAAGAGGTTGAATCGTGGAGGTGGCTATGGTCTAGAGATTCCAGTAATTAACCACTTTCATGGACAAGAAAAGTTAGTAAACTGGGCTATAAAGAAGCTTGAAGCTGTAAAAAGCCAACTAGATTTTCAAGTGTCAAAGTGCTTTAAATAAACATTTGAACAAATATTCATTCGTTTCAGTTTTTTGTTCGTATTCCAATTCTCTTACTACTGAGCAATCACTCTTTTCCTATTTATTCGTGAACCTCACATGTCTTCACATGACAAGCGCAATACGTCATTGATTAGCATTGCCTGATATCACAATTAGAAAACACATGATTCTACCGATGTGCCTGCTAACATGACATTAAATGCGCATTGTCAGTTCCCTGCGTTACAGTAGAGGTTTTCACTTTCTCCCACGCCAAGTCTAGTATCTGATAAATGAAAAAAAAATGTGATACATATTCTTTTTTTATTTTGTCCTGCTCACTAAAAACAAGTTTAAATTATCGAAAAAAGCCGATATATTCGAGTTATCTGCGGTTCCGGTCTTTTATGCAAAGCATTGCGCAAGGTTTCAAGGCAGTGCAGTTTCAGTTCGACTTTGCGTATCAGTAATCGGTGTTTAATGTCATTATCATTCTCTTTAAATTACGCCGCAAAAGCTTCTTTATTCATGTTCTAAACGGACTTGTGTCAAAAACGGAATTTGCCTACAATCCCTGCCAAAGCCTTGAAACTCTAATAGTGTAGTGGAATTAGATATAAAAACGGTATAACCCGGATAAAAATAATATAAAGCTGTAATTTGGCACAGATGTTCTATACTAAGTTGGAAATGACCAGAAAAAAGCCCCATCAATTAGACATTGGGAATTCCTTATTTGGGCAAATACCATAATGGCACACTGACCAGTAGTGGTTCAAAATTTTAATGTTGCTAAAACCACATAGTATTTACATCTTTTGAAAGATAAATTCATGCTGAATAACTTTTATTTAACATAGGTACCCTTAGAATATGCAAATTTAGTGGTGATTGGGCAGAAACAAAGTGGGACGTGTGAATATTGAAAAGCGCGCGGAAAAAATGGCTGATCCTCTTGCTGAATATTTTCATTTTATATCGCAAATTCTATCGATGCAAAACCATTAAGTGTGTGAATAAGTTAAAGTATGATAATACCCACTCAGCCCGGGCTGAGTTAAACCGGGCCCACTCAGCCCGGGCAATACCTTCGTACCCGCAGTTATTACCAGCAAGAATATTTGTTTGCAAGGCACAGGGTAGATCCTTGTCTTTTTTCTCCAGCAAATGAAGATATCATCAGTGTTTGCGGAAGAACAGAATTTTAGGGAAATTTGTCGCAGATTGCGGAAATCTGGCAATTTCTCAACGGAACGAGGGAATTCTACACACTTGCCGGACTCAGATTCTCTCAAAATAATACACGGCTTGCAGAAATTTCAAAATGTTCAGTGGGATTCTTAACCTGCTCCTTGTTGGATAGGATTTCATCATCGCATGTTTTGATCTTGTTAATATATAAATTGTTCATAAATAAACTTATATAAATTCAGTGGTGGCGCCAGAAATCTTCCGACAAAGGGGTTGGAGCTTCCAACATGGGGGCTAAATTGACTATAATATGCAGTTTTCGTACGTTATTTTGTTGAATTAGCTCCGACAATAACCTAAAATTTTTTCCGATAGGGGGGCTAGATGCTTCCGATGGAGGGACTGTAGCGCCCTAGCCCTCCCCTTGCGCCACAACTGTATACATTCTATTGCCCAGTTGCCCCTTATCTGCTATTTTTTACCAGAAAGTACTTATTTCCACATTGTAAGGGCGTGTATGTTGAATAAAAGTTGTTCAGCATGAAACTGTCTTTCAGAATATGTACATATAATGTGGTTTTAGCGACATCAAAATTTGAACCCCTGCTGATCAGTGCGCCGTATGGGATTTGCCAAAATAAGGAATTCCCAATGTCCAATTGATGGGTTTTTTTTCTGGTTATTCCCAGTATCGTATGGAACCTATGTGCCAAATTACAGCTTTTTAACATTTTTGTCCTGTGGTGAACTGGACCTTTCCAGCCAGTAAATTCTTAATAATGCTAAATAAGTAGAACACGCTAGACAAGTTGACTAATAATAAAATAATTCTAGAAACTTCTAGAGTTAGCCTTACGTAAGATGCTGTAACTTACTTATTCAAGATTGTATTCCTCCACACGTGATATTGTACGAGTATATTCTAAAAATTTCTTGTTGAACGGTATATAAGGATAACGTAGCTTGCTGTAGGCATTCAGTTTTTAGTTGAGGATCTGTTATGTGAAATTCGATGAATACATAAACACGACGCATTTTTTATATCTTTGGAGAATAACAACACGGGCCTTAGCTGGAAAACGTACCTTATCATAGCATTGAAAGAGACGCACTTTTTTGTGAATCTATTTAGTGTGTCACAGGGAATAAACATTTACACCAACGCGGTCTTGGATTCCCCACAGTCCGGATAAAATCGTAATTCCACCACACTATAACGTCTGTAAATGCAGCCTTCCCCTTCATAGGAAAAAAGTTGGCTTTCTTTAAAGGAGACAAAGGAGATTAAGTATAAAGGAAACTTCTCCGTGTGACTTGTGCGAAATTTGTCGATACTATCAACATTGTTTCAAGGGAAATGAGGTGATGTACTAAAACACAAGCAAACTTGCTCAGTATTCAACCAGTTTTGGCAGACATTGTACGGTCAAAGCCCTACACAAATTCTTACAGAGCCTGGAGCACAGACTGACAAAAGATGGCTAGGCTATCGTTCACAAAGGATCATGCGTTACGGAAACCATGAATAATATTTTTTAAGTTTCAAGCTCACACTTACCAGAATGATCCTGCACCAACAAACACTGCTACCTTAGGCCTTAAACAACTCTTTTTGACATGGAGGCCCTACTCTCATGGGAAGCTATCAACTGCTTTGAAGTTGCCAAAAAACATCACATGGGGCCATTCTCACAAACATCTTCCAAACATAGTCACTCAGCCGGAACACAACACATATCTTGTCTGACATTGCCTTTTCTAGCCTTCTTTGACTTATGTCTAAGCTTCTCGGATTTACACACTTTTCTTATTGAATTAACACGAATCTAATTGAATTAACCGCCTCGGAATAGATGTGGTTTTAGATATATCCATTTTTATATAATGTGTAGCCAAAAAGAGCAATATATGGCAGATAAATGAGGGAACGCGCTCTATCCCTACGGTCTCATCAAATTGCCACCCACGTTCGGGAAAACGCTTCTCCTGGATTTCCTTTATAACAGAGTAGACTGGGAATGCACTTGATAAAGGCATTTTAGATGAATAGTTAGAGCCTTTGGTTAGAATCTGGCGTTTTCACGAAATCATATTTGTTCAATTACAATGCCAATGTGCTAGCAAGCACAATCAGTGATGTTCAGGAGTGACTTCAATATCCGAACAGATTTTAGACCAAACTCAGGCTGAGTGACTTGACCGCCCCGGAATGGATACCTGGCTGCTTTATTACTACTTTTTGTTATTACTAAAAACCATGGCTTCTAAAGAAAAGACACAAATGACGACAAAATGACCCTTATCTTTCCTAAAGAGATGTAAAGCTTTACCTACAAGGTCATAAAGGGACCAAAAATTACGTCTGTAAGTAACTCAATTAACAATACATTCGAGATATTTTCACCTACGCCATCGGTACCAACGTAGAATCTACAAAATTCTAAGCTACTAGATTACAACTATACTACCGTGCAGGCCAGTTGAAGTTAGAGAGGCTAGTTTGTGTAGTACCGCATTAAAAGCCAACGAGATACCAGTTTTTTAGAAGAAGGTACAGCACGAATCGAAGCACGGTAAGTATTTGTGAAGGGTTTCTAACCAGTACAGTACTTTAAACCCAAACGACTGCTTTCAAAGTAGGCTGGTGGGCTTGCAGGGTTGACGGGGAGAACTGGGTGGCCGGGAAAATACCAGACATCCTAAACTTGTTGGCTGTGCATTGTACCTCAGTAGTCGAAACAGTGGCGGACACTTGGTCAAATATTGGGGGGGGGGCAAGCCTATTGTTTTAATAAGATGACGTCACATTTCCCATTGTTTTAGAACAAAAGTCCATTGTTCTCTAAAGTATTGGTGGGGCGGTCGCCCCCCCTCGCCCCCCCAAGTGTCCGCCACTGAGTCGAAAACATTCGCGAGACAAGAAGGTCACATTCTTAACAAAAGAGTAGGGAAACGGCTATTCTATTGTTCAAAAATTTTGCTATTCAAACGAACAAGTGAAATCAGTCTAAACAACACACCATCGAAGCTCTTATAGGAAAATAGCAAAAACTGTAATGGTTCACTTAAATGCACATTCTCTGACTGCAATAACAGGATGACCCATTCGATAAACTCTCAGCAGGGGCTTTCGGGGGGGGGGGGGGGTAGCAATTCCTCTATGGATAGGTTGCATCAAGTATTGCATAAAGAAAATACAAAAAGGTAGCGAAGAAACAGGACATAACCCTACATTTTATGAAAACACAGGTTTAGTCAAGTTTTAACTCCCAGTAGCAATCGGTAAACACGCCATAAATACTACAAGAAAAATAAATGCGCCATTCATGAGGCAATAAAACATCTTACACAGCAGTAGTCGGTATCTTCTAAATGCAATTTCAATTTCTGCTTGTTTATCAATACCAGCAAAAAAGAATGGGGCGACCACATTCTCATATTTAGAGCTACGTCATACGGTAGCAACGTATAGATAACCATAATCCTGTGCAAAAATGATCCTATTCAAAGAATCTTTTATGAGGAAAATGTTTTTTCCAGTTGTTCTTCAGTTGCCTGTGCTAAGAGCTCTAAAGATCTTGGAAACAAACTTGAGCTTTGAGAGAAGATAGCACTTTGTTGTCCAAATTCAGAATTAATGGAGGAAGTTACAACTTAAATGGTTGTCTATCACGGAAAATTTAAAAAATCTTATTATAGCTAAAGCCTCGTCAAAAACAGACTGTAGGTTAGAAATAAACAAAGGAGGTTAAAGATCGTTTAACAACGTTTTAAACAAGAGAGTTTGTTGCTCAGATTTAAACTGAAACTATGCACTGCCTTCAGAGTACAAGCGAAGTAATGGGTTATCCTATAGATGCAGCAACTAGGCTTCAATACCAAGTCAAAATGCCATTTCCATTTTCCTGCGCCTCCTCCCGTACAATAGCGTTAATGCAACGTATTCTAATCAAACCACAGCACAGTTAAAATTCAGGGCAAATAATCAGATTTTGTCGAGGTGCAGTTATTCAATTTGACAAGGATTGTGTAGGCCCGCGCTTACGCCTAGTTTATTGGTAACTGAGGCCAAAGTCTCAAAGTTTACGATAGGTAAAAAGTGATAACCAGTATCTTTTAAGCACTTCTGCTGATCTCGTTTCAGATCCAAGTCTATGTTCCCGTTAACAACCCATGTATATATTTATATACATAAATTTATATATTCAGACTACGGCCGCTACTTGCATACGTGTAAGTCCTCGACGAGTCATTAGCACCCGCTTTTGCAGGCTCGTTTGGAAGAGAGAGGAAGTCCCACACAAGGATAGTGTCATCATGGGAACTGCTTACAATCTGGAAATCGTCAAACTGCAACCGGAACACCCGACCTTTGTGTTCCTGGAAAAAATAGAACTTGAATTAGGAAAAAATATTTTGAAATCCTGTGAAAGAGCGATAAAATGTCGCCCAGGATCTAGGTAGGAATGTTAAAAAAAACAACAAAATTTAATATGATATTTCGAAAACCCATATCACCGAAGGTCAAACCCCTTCCCCTCTACTTTGAAATCCTGTTTCCGCAGCTTTATTTTGATCCACAGTGTCAGACATCTCCTATTACATCTACTGGATCACTACCCTGGGTATCAAGACCCATGAAAATTTACAGGGAGAAAATCTGGAGAGAGTAGCGAAAGAGAGTGAGACAGAGATTCTCTTATCTCTCCCCCTCTTCCCCCCACCCCCAGTTATTTGGGCTCTACTACCAAGTGTACTGTAAGAAGTAAGGAAGTTCACCAAAAGACCATATCAGATCTGTGTGAACATAAGCCTGTTTGGTAAGAATGTCATCAAATACAATACGCATTAACTATTTTGAGAACGGAATGGAAACTAGGGTTGAGGTGATTCATGACCGCAGTGCTACCTTCTAACGTTGGATAATTCACACCTGTATCTAATCATTATAAAAATCAAACTAAAAAAGAAAAGGCGAAAAGTAACAACAGAGAGAATTGGTGCTCTGGCAAGTTTATGATGAGTGCAATAATAAGGCGAAAAATAAGGTAAAGAATGTAAACTTTGATGGACTATAGAATTCTGATGCGAGCTACAAATATAACTCAACATAGATGACATTGATCCACACATGAAACAAAGAGCACCAAGGTTCAGTCCACCATGAACGTTGGAAAGACAGCCTCAAGTCTCCTCTTAAGAACCTATATATTCTCTAATTTACTTGTAATAAATCGATTTAATTTTGATTTACCCTGGTAGTTCAAAATAAAGAATGTTATTTCCTTGCATGTTCCTTATCAGTTGAATAACAACAAAGCAAATGACAGGAAAATACCTCCAACGTTTTGATGCATAATGATGAGACTGGTTTTCTCCGGTCAAGAGCAGCCTGTAGGTCCCATATTTTGATTTTACCATCATACGCCCCACTTACGATGCGCTTGTTGTCAAATCTGATGCATCTAGAATATAAACAACAAAACTGTTACCGCTCAGAACCCCAAAAGAAGTGCCCAGAACAACAAACTGCAGTTCAATACAGCTCATTCTACCATAATCTACCAATTCAAGCTCCTCTCTGTTGTTGATAAATCTTCCTAAAGCTTTTGTGTTACGTAGAATAGCGGGTTCTTGATACAACATTGCAGGTTCAGCAGACTGGGTAAAAATAGCCTATGCAACTTGAATTGACGTTAACAGCTATGCCGTGGTCAGTCATGCATCCAGTGATAGCTCCAAATTTTAATATACAGTCGACCCTGTCTTATTGCAACTCGTTTTATTCGAACTTTTACTAATTCGAGCAAAATTCACAGGTGCCTTTGAACTCTCTTAACAAACATCTGTAATTCGAATCTCTATGATTTGAGCTTTTCCGAATTCCACCAATCTTATTGGTCCCCTCAGGCAAAAAAACCTTTCTAGTTGGAACTTCCTGCCAATTTTAAGAAAAAATATCGTGATATACATTTCATGCTGTCTTTACATTCTCTCCATTTTAAGGATATTGTACTTTTCGGCTGTTATTTAGGCCCTTTTCTTCAATATTTGTTGAGGCGATTAGAAGGCCAAGTTTAAGGAATCTTAGTCTGCCCCGTGCCGAGCTCTGGATGCTAACGGCATTGCCTATTTTTGTGTTGCATTCTTACAAAAGTCCAAATAGGTTGGCCAAAAGTTTTTCCTTTATTTACAACTGTTGTGCAATTATGATTATATAGATAAAGGTACACAGCTCATGCACGGGGGTAACTGAGGCAAAATCCAGGATTTTTGAAAACTAGTATAAATCAAACATTTTTTTAATTTGAACATTATGATGATCTCCCAGAGTGCTCGAATTGCACTGGGTTGACTGTAACTTTTTAGAATAACATTATATAGAATATGATTAGACCGGAGAGGAAATTTCAAGGAAAATGACGGACGGAGAGCAGGATGGGAACTTATTGCCAACTTTTTAGCAATTCAAGTTGAATTCTATTGATGGAAAGTTCTTAAACGACAATGACAGTGAATTAAGAAGAAGGTCGTCTCCTCTTATGCACAATTCGTCACACGATATAGCGCAATCACAACGTAATACTAACCTCACTAGCTCTTCGTGGCCCTCGAGAACTTGCAGACATGTGCCACACTCGATGTCCCAGAGTCTGTGAGAAATTAAGCAATGAAAAGAAATAGTCAAAGAATTCACTGTTTACTTTAAAACTATGAATAAATGTAAATTTAGAAATAACTAAACAGCAGGAATCGTCGTTCTGCAACTTTTAAAGCAGCCCCCTTTCTAGGATATGTCCCTATCTATCGTGACAAGTGAATTTTTACAATACCCGGTTAAAGTTGGTGATAAACAGCATATTCAGCACAGTTTTATGGTCAATTTTTACTTGCAAATGTTTCTTTTCTCAATATGAACTTGAAAAAAGCGTTAACCCTCTCTCATTGAACCTCCCTCGAAAATACCTCAAAGATATTAACTACTGGGGAGCAATAGTGGAAATGTAGAACGCTCTTTGAAAAGATTCACTTTTGTCAACCTCTTGCATCTTTCCCATTAAAAGGCTGATAAACATAATTAAGGCTTAATCTCGTAGTGGGTCATGTCTTAGAAGAGTGCCTGTTGCTTCTGCAAGAGTTGGAACGAAGGCAGGAAACCGAGGCAAAAAATATTTTCCGGACGCCGGTAGGCTTCATGGCTTGAAGCTTAACTGTAATTTCCAGTACCCACCTGATGGTGTAATCAGAGGAACCACTAACAACAAGACGGTCTCTGTATTGGAGACATGCGATGCCGCGTCTGTGGCCGTTCAGTGTGCGAACAAACTCACACGTGCTGGTATTCCATACCTACGGTTGGAGGAGGATTTAATTTAGTATTTACTAGACAGAATCTGTACCTGCATCAAAACGAAAGGGAGATGGCAACATTTATCAGAGTGGATACGTTGCTTTTTCTGTATCATGCTATCATTCTCAATTATTCATATACATGATGGTAGTTGTTGTCTTCCCCAATCAATTTGGCTTTATCGTGCTGATAGCGTGAGCCCCAAACAATTAGGACAGGTTACTATTTATTTTAGAACTAAATAGAATGGCTGCAAGAAGACCAGGCATTGCCAATGTTGAAGAAATTTTACTCATGGACAACAGGAGACATGTTTTCTGCTGGAAAGCGAATACTAAATTGCTATGTTCACTTATAACCGACGTGGCAATGAAAGAGGCGGCGTTTAATGGTCTGGAACCTAGCAACGGGCTGCCATATTGCTGGCTTTGTGGAACAGCCTTACCCGCAATCCCTTACAGCATGAACCAAGCTCAACCACAACAAATTCAAATAAATATACACAAAGTATTAATTAGTGGTAATTCGCAGAGAGGGCTATAATTGGCATAAAAACTTTTCTCTGGGGTTGCTATCTATTGTCGGATGAGGCAGATTCGAGTTCATTATCATACGTACTGTTGAAACTCTTAACCAACGACACCACAGAAACCACAGAGAGTAAAAAATGCTACACATATTTCGAGATCATGTTTTTAAGACCTTAAAGACGTAATTCAACTTTGTACAGAGATTTCGTCGCAGTCAGCAGCGGCGGTTTCGGGGGATCCAGGGGGTAATAGCCTCTGCGCTAATGGTAGTCAGGAGGGCTACCTAACAAAAAAAGGCTTAAGGCAACTAAGAAAAATATAAAACGTGTAAAGAACACGGGCCACACAGATGTTTTTGGCCCCGCACTCCCTAAAACCGCTGATAGCAGACATTTTCTTAAGAGTTTTTTAACTGCAAAAGCAAAATCCCTTAATCTAAAGAAATCACTTACCTTTATTGTTCTGTCCCCCGATGCAGATACAATGTATTTGTCATCAAAGTCGACAACATTAACTGCAGCACGATGCCCGACAAGAACACGACGAAGGGTGATTTTACTTGGTGACGTCAGGTCCCATACGGCAATCGATCGGTCCTAGAACATAGATCAGGAACTGTTTACGCACAGGAATAGCTATTCTCCGAATTGACAGGTACATATAACTAAAGGATCTCTTTGTGATATACGCAATATGATATGAAATAAAGATAAATAAAACTGTCACAGAGGGAGGGGGTAGGGACAAGAGGGTAGGGGAGGGTAGTGGGAAGGGGAAGGGAGGAGGAGGTGGAGGGGAGGGGAGTGGAGTGAAGTGGAGGGGAGTGGAGTGGAGTGGAGGGGAGGGGTGTGGAGTGGAGTGGAGGGGTGTGGAGTGGAGTGGAGTGGAGTGGAGGGGGAGGCTGTGAAAGGACCAAAACTCTTTTACGACTAGACCATTGCCAATCTGAAGACATAAACAACATATAGTAAGCGTCGCTTCCTATCTTTTTGGAAGAGTGAAAATGATTATGGACAAAAATATACCCTATTTAGCCCCTGTAAAATTCCATGCTTGGACTTAACAAAAGTAATACAACCCCCCCCCCCTGCCTTCAACATTAAAAATATTTTACATTGAGAATCTCAAAGCTGCAAGTCTAAGCTAGATAATTTTTGTGCTATAAATGTAAATTCATTGCGCCACAAAGCTCTAAATTACTTAAAAATTAAACATAAAACTGAAATAGCGTTGTAGACTTCTAACATTTCAATTCAATTAAGAAAAAAGCAATATGTTCCATTGTGACGTAAAAATTACTTTAAAACGCCAATGACGTAAAGTAACATATATGCATGGAAAATGACGTCATAAAAGACATTTGTGACATTGATTGGCAGTGGTTATGTTGTGACATTTTTAAAACTAAATTCAGGGAGAACGACACATCCTTACCTTTGAGCAAGTGACCATGACGCCATCTTGAAACCGTAAGTGAAGCACGGCCTCGCAATGGTGTATCAGTGTATTTACCATCTCACCTGTGTCCACATCCCAAATCCTTCAATGAAATAAAATAACAAAGAATTATTAAATATGAAGTGAATAAAAAAGTAAACAACTATGATATATGAGTAAATAACTGAATTAATAACTGAAGTATATAAAAAACTGTCTAATGCAATATAAACAAGCAGAGGTCCTAACAGAACATCGGACACTTTTCCCAGTTAATTTACTCAAACAAGAGCATCATATCTTTTAAAATAATTAAACTTGATACTTTACCTTAATTCTGTAACTGAAGCAAGCAACGATTTCATAAAAATTGTTGATAAAATTCAGTTGAAAATCGAATAGAGGTGATTATTTGCACAAATGGAAGGACATATTATAGCTAGATGAAAGAAATTTGGGGACAAATAATGTAGAGAAAGAAGGTAGAAAGTGTACTAGTGAGAAAAAGAAAAGGGTTTCCACTATTCAATATTATCTTGATTCTTCTATTTGCAATTTTTGAATAGACATAAAACTTGTTATTACCAAAGCACTTGTCATTCAATTGTTGCATTGTCATTTACGGTTTTTCTGTGTCAGTGGCTCAAAGAAAGATGAGCTAGGAAGGCCATAGTGAGTCTAGCGTTAGGTTTGCAAAGCTGGTGGTGGAATGATACATAGATGGTTAAAGAGACAGATGTAAGCAGAGAAGAACATGGGCCGATAACATCAAACAATGGGTAACATCTACCAGTTTAGGAGAAATAAAGAGAAAGGCTGAAAATCGTAGTTTGTGGAGGAATCTGGTTGTCAACTTTCGGGGGGAAGACGACACTCGATGATGATGATGATGATGGTGATCTGGCCAGTGTATTTAGGAAATAGAAGGCCCCCCCAGCTTTTAACAGATTGTGCAAAAGCAATGACTTTCTATCATTATTTTCCCATACAAACACTCAGACATACCTCAGATCACATGATCAAAACATTAAAACCAATAAAAACAATAAGCTCTTTGCTTTAGCTTATTACAAGACAACTCATCAAATTGGACCAGGCACAAAACATTGGATTTTGATAAATGGTGATTTGTTTACCTGACAGTTGCATCACTAGATCCTGTCACTATTATCTTTTCATCATACTGAAGACAAAGAACTGACCCGGTGTGACCTGTCAACACTTTTGAACACTCCAGTGATTCTCTGTCCCATATCTATCAAAACACGAAACCCAATTACAACAGGTTCTGATTTAAGATTTCAAATCTGCTCATAAACATCTTTTTATTGATTCAAACTTTTTTTGGCAAAGAAGATCTGTGCAGTGTTTGTTCCTTACTTATCATAGCTTTATTCAAGTTGTCATTTGTACAATAAAGCCAATTATCAAAAACACTAAACAACACTGAAAAACAAAAACATTAAAAATTCAAGAAACAATTACAGCCAAACAGCAATATCTAAAGTTTCCAGCTGCCAAAATGCTCCTCAAGCACAATTACAATTATTTTATGATAAAACAAATGTTACCAAAAGAAAGTCATTATTTATTAATAATACTTGCTTCTGTATAACACCATTGCCTGATGAGAAACAATAAGATGATGACAAAACAACAAGGTACAGTGATTGCTTCCATATTCAGTTACAGATATTTGTAATTCCAAACTAATACAATCTATTCCAACCCAATAAATAAAAAAATTTATTTAGGCAAAAGAGAATTAAGCAACACAGCTCTGAATGCTAGATAAGAGCTCTCAGTTTTTCTTCCGGCTCTTTAAAGCACAATTTTGTAAAGTTCACTAATATTCAAAAAGCTGATTTTTTTAACTTATTTTATATGTTGAGCAACTGTGAATTGTTTACAAATGATGATTTTGACTCTATAAAAAATGTCATTGCAATTTGCACTGTTAACAGATACCCTAAAAAACTTTTCATTGATTTAAATAGCTTGAAAATTTGTAAATAGAAATATTTGAATTGCTTTGCATATAATAACCCTTCTGATAGAAGCAACTATAGTTATTCAGAACATATTTTTATATAGCAAAAGGTCTTGGCGACTTTGAAACAAGACTTTTTTATAAATTACTGCTCTTTGTTGATTTTCCCTCTGTTAAGGCAGTAAAAAACATATTTACTTTGACAGAAGTTTATTTTGACCTATATGCAATTAAAATGATATCTTGATCAAATGAGCACAAATCAATATAAACAAGTTTCAAATTAGTTTACTTTTGCAGCTTTCCAAATTTATGTAATCTCTTGAAGCATAGCTGAAACAAGCCATTGTATGAAACTCTTCTCTTATTACAGAAAAGATTAAGGTGAAAGCATATTCAACAGGCCTGGCCATAAGACTTTTAACAGGGGAGCAGTAAACAGCTCTCCTAGTAGTATTCAGGTGAGCTATAAGAAAAGAAACAAAGGAAAAACTGTTTTCAAGGAGAGCAAGTTTGCTTTATAGAACAATTTAGGAGAGCAATCTGTAGCTCCCCTCTAGCGTTTGAGGAGAGCCTGGACGGGAGCAAGAGCTATGGCTCTCCTCAAATGGCCAGGCCTGTATTCAATGAAGATTTGAAATACAAATTGATGTAATAGCACCCCATTGTTAAGAGGTACAAGGAGCATTGCCACCAATTCATCAACAGGAAAAATATATAAGATTTAAGGTTATCCTCACCTTTATAGTATTATCTCGAAGCCCACTAACAATCTTTTGTTCATCATATTGCAAACAATAAACACCTTTTATATTTTCACTTCTGCAAACTATTTTTTGTAGACTGTGCTTTCCACTTCTCCAATTCAATTCTAGGGACTAAAAATGGTACAAAGATTAAAACAGTTGCAAATGATGTTCTGGTTACCCATCATACTAGCTCTTACAATAATGATATCAGTCATATCAGGGGATCTAACAAAAATGTAGATAAAAACTCGCTACAAAAGATGTCTTTCATTTTGTACACAAGTGGGGGCCAGGCTAAAACCCCAGAAAAGCTAAAACTGTCATTAACTTTTAGACAGTTCATAGTTATAATTAATTTGAATATAAATGAGGAGAGATAAGAGATGTTTATAGTTTTTCTTATTTGTAGCCATTACAAAATGAGGTTGTTTCCATAAAATAGATATCCTAGCATACCTTCTCATAAAATACAGAAGTATTTGCCTAGCATAAATTAACTATCACATTTGTACCTGTATCAGAAACAACATCCTTAAATAAATTTTATATCACACACACACACATATATATATACATAAAACATAACACATTTATGTAAACATGTTTTTACTTTTATCATTGAATTTCAAATAGCTGAGGTCAGGAGCACTCTCTGCAACACAACAAAAGGACATATACTCTTGCATTTGTCACTTAGAAACACACATGAATAGCAACAAAATTGTATGGTAGACAAAAAATCAAGTGCATTTCTACCTCAATATCTTTTATAATACTTGGGTAAAGTCTTCTATAATGTGTATGGTCATAGCCAGGGATACTTCTCCAAAGTGAGTGACTCCTGCAAAGAAAAGAAAGCATTAAGTTTGCAAAAACGCTTTTCTCATCAAGCAAAGAACATGATTTCACAAAAGCCTCCTCTAAAGGAAAAACATTTGTTTACTTTATCAAAATTATCATTTAACAGGTTACCTGTTTATATTCCACTCCAGCCTAAACAATAAAAAATTCATGAAAAAATACCTTTCAATTTCCTCCTCTTGAGACCTCTTTTGACAAATGACCTCATAAAATTATTTTATCTTTTAGATGTTTCCAAAATCATTCAAATTTATGAAAAATGCTTCTGAACACCTCGTGCAATCCACAGTGAAGCTTTATTTGCTAAAACGGTGGATAACACAAGGCATTGGCATCAAAGCATAGCTTAATAACAAGACCTTTCAAACCAATAAATCTGTACATCTGAAAGGCACCAAGTTTAAATCCGCTAGAATTTCAGTTAAATTTTTTCATAACATCCTTGTTATGTAGGGTGTACAAGAATATGTTGCCAAAGGGAAATCTATTGAGCAAATAGGATTATACCAAAGAAGACAGATAATAAAATGGCAAGAACCTGACATAAGAAAATAACTCAGACTCTTTCTACTCCTAAAAAAATAGTGACACAAATTTGTGGAAATATCTCGGAACCAGCACTCAATAAGATGTCACTGAAATTATGAAAAGCATGTTAAACTATTTAAAATTCTTACCATCCTCTTCTTTCTGAAAGTCCTTGCCATAATGGATCAGTTTTCACCTTTCTTTGTATGAGTTTTTTCCACAGCATTCCTTCTGATATTACCCTATACCATTCTTTACACACAAGCTCTGCATTTCGTAGAGATACAGCATCAAGGTATGATAAAACTTTTTCAGCAACCTGGTCTAAGCCACGTTCTGAAACAATAAGAAAATTACAGGTCAATTTGTAGATCCTTGAAATCTAAAATCAACAAGGTACTTTATGCCATATTTAACAAGGATGAGGAAATGATGAATTCATACGATTAACAAAGCATCAAAAATAGTTATCTGACCAACATTTCTAATTCCATGATACTACTGGACTTTTCAAAATATATTTGTTCCTTTAAGTAGCCAGCCATTCTACATGATATTCATTCAACTTACTGTCAGCATATAAAATTAAAAGAGATTTATACAGAAAATTTCTTTTAAATTGATAGTTAATCTAACAACATATGTGCATTTTTGTTCTAAAAATGAATAATATGATTTAAAACTGCCTCCTGAAATATGTATACAAATATCTAAAGCAGAACATTCGCATTCCAAACTCGCTAAGTCTGAGAAAGTAAGACTTTCATTGAACGAAAAGACAATCAGTGAATCAGACTCGTACAAATACCTAGGTGTTACCATGGACAAAAATTTGATAATGAAAACGCATCTTGAAAAGACCTACAAGAAAGTCTTGTCAAGAACAAAACTGCTCGCCCTTCTACGACATAATATCAGCCCATGGGTAGCAGAAACGATATACAGAGTAATGATTTTGCCACAGATGTTATACTGCAGCAATAGCATGCTCGGTATGTCAAATACACATAAATCACAGTTTGAAAGAACGCATAATCAAGTCCTAGACATCATCAATGGAAAGAGCCAAGGAGTGCACCTCAACTGTTCAAAGATTATTTCAAGAAAATTTTACATCAGAAGGAAAACCATGGGAATAACATCAATCTCTTGCTCCCAAAAGTTTGCACAGAAGCTGGTCGAAAGACATTCCTGTTTCAGGGATCAAAATTACATAACAAACTACCTGATGTGTTGAAACAAGAACAGTCTATAATGAATTTCAAGAGATAATACAATCAACTTGACAGTGAATTTTAACTTTTAAATATGTAGTTTTTAGATATTTTCAAATTTGATATTGAAATTTGACATCTTCTAACCTTCTTTTTAACTTTAATTTTAACAGGACCTTGACTGATAGCAGCTTCTGCGCAAACTGACCAAGTTTATTATCCTGTATAACTGTCAATTATCATTATTATTATTATTATTTATGACTGCTTTCTTTAATGATGTATTTTTTCAGCATAAATTTAAACCTTAACACCTATTTCCTTAGAGCGATCCAACAATAGTCGAAAAGCTGTGTTCTTTTCAACACTTCCCTATCTAAGAAAGTCAATATCTTAAAATTAAACTTAGTCAAACTGAAAGTAATAATGGCAAACATTTAGTCATAAAATCAACTATTTAAGAATCTGTTAATAGCAAACTCAAACCACAAAGGAATCATTTTTCACCTCGAAAAGATCAAAATGCAAGTGGAAATCCAAAATAATTTGGGTTGGGTAACATATGGATACCACATTAATAGGAATCAACAATTTTGAGACAGTTTGGACAAAACTTAAAAAGTGGATTAACTCTTAATGAACATCATGTTGCATCATTATATGTATATTTAGTTTTCGATTAGAATATATCATGACTATAAAATTAGTCAGTCACACATGCAAATTTCTTAATTCTTTCAAAAGCAGTAAATTGCTCCATAAACTGTCTTGGTAATCAAATGTAGTCCTTGATTTGAATTTTCTGAAGAGCATTTAGAAAAACCTAAACTCACAAGTCTATGACAATAAATTATCATCATACGCTTCAAGCATTATATTTATTTGCTTTAGGGGCTTTGGAAAGGCAGGGGCCTTTCGATCTAACAACCACCAAAATTTCCACTTCAGAAATCATCAAAAATGTTTTTATATATAAATATATATACTATTTACCCCATATTTGCTGCATCTAAGTGCCTGTCGCAGTTGTTGTTCCATACAACTGATCTAGACTAAGACCACTGCCTACTTTGTCTGCTTACAGTCATTCAGCATAAACATAGGTATACTTCACTTGTATATTTTAACTATTTAGTATCATGAACTTTATTAAAAAATAGGCCACTAACCAAATATGTGTGTAAGACTTATGTTAGAGGTTTTTCAAACTATTATTATTGATAGAAATTCCATTATTAAAATACATTGCACTTCATCGTTCACAAAATTCTTCATCGTTTAGTTACAGAAATTTTGGCAGCTAAATAAATATTTTCTTCCAGTTACTAAAGTTTTAACATATTATTAAATTGCTTATGTGTATCTTGTGTTGCTATGATGCTCCCAAGCTTCGTGAGAATTCTCCAATAAAATTATTCATTAAAAATTGTATCTTCGTAATTGCACCCCTTTTTTAAATCACACATATTACTTCAAATGTATTTCTAAAAATTGCGGTCCAAACTTGGGTTAGTTTGTAAATCAAAGGACTTTCTTGATAATGAGACAAAATAACAACAAACAATAAAACTTCATGTCGCCAGGCCTAAGCTCAACACACTCTAAAAGAGTTTTATTCTCGATTTTGCTACAAAAAGCAATCACTCGGACGATATTTCTTTCACCCTCAGAAATATCTTCGGCAGAATAAACTGTCTGGTTATATTGTCCGCTTTACGCTCTACGTGGAATATGAGACGTTGCGTTATTGCAGAAACTTAGGCCAGTTCTGTGATCTAACACGCCAATGATAGCAGATGCTTGTAAAAATTACACTTCTCCTGATCGATTTGAAACAAGATTAACGTATTAAATTTGATCTTGAAATTCAAATAAACTAATTCAGAACTGACTTCTACCATTTCAATTGACATTACTCTACCTGGAAGTGCCGAAATAAAGTCTCTCTGTAGCATTGGTTTCAAAAAGGCGTTTATCTGTCCGTGTTGATAGTGGGTCATTCGTCCTAACATTTGTTCTGCAAACTCAACTTGTTCTTCTTGTGACCACCCATTGAAATAAGTGAAGCATAAGTCTTTTTCTTGCTCATAGTTTGAGGTAGAAGATGAGCGTGATAGACTTTCATTCTTCTTTTTCGATTCAGATCCTATGATTGAAGGCGTCATGTCCACATCCATGCTACGGTCCTTCACCATTTGTTAAGAGTTCGCATTCAATAACTCGGCGAGTCGGTACTAAAAGTCTATCTCCCGTTATTATTAATGCAGTTGCATCTGTAATGATGAAAAAAATCGAAGTCGCTGCACTTTCGAGCGACAATACTTAACGAAAGCCTAGCCACATCCGTTTTCGCATAACACCTTCGGCCATTCCCCGTTCACTCTTGAAGCCAAACATTGTGTCTCACAGAAATCTGATCTGACGTCACAAAGTGAAGCAGGGGGTAAGATGGGTCGTTATTAACAACATCAAACACACAGATTTGACAGCTATAGGAAATAGATGAAAAAAACAAGGTTCTATTCATAGCAATAAAATGTTAACTTTGGACTGGTGAATATGATTTAAACAAATACTCTCTAATCAGTCATTATTTACTCTTCAGTATTTGGCAATTACCCCGTTTTCCCGAAGAAGAGAGAAATGATGTCACAGCCTCACTTTCAGCTTCAATTTCGAAAAAGAGAGGCCAGTTTCACAAATAGGTATCAAGTCTTGAAATACAGCAAACCCTGCCAAAAAGAACCTAACAATTTAAAAACCCACAGACTGCCTTGTTTATCCACGATATTGAACATAAGCATTAACATATTACATGTTAATTTGGATGCCCCCCAAAAGCAAAAAATATACACTGACACTGCTATAAAAAGCAAGAAATATATAGAATAAGAGCCTTTGACCATATACACATTTGATTAAAAATCAAGAAGAAAAGTGTGCTCTTGTTGGCTGGGGTTTACCGTGTTCTTGTGCTGAAATTAAGATCAGGCACTCTATACAAGAAACCTAGCTTTTAACAATGAATTTTTTGGATCCCATAAACGTTGGCAAAAATTATACAGCTTGCAAATTCAGCTAATAGCTTTGTATTATTTCAAGAGGCTGGCTAGTTCATTGTTCCATTAGAGAAAATCCTACATGCTATCAATAAACTTAACGATTCAGTATTGACACACTTTGTATTTTCAGACCTACCCTATGGGCAGGCTGAGATTGAAAATGTAGCCTGTCATTGGAACGAATAGGGAACACCCGAAAAGACAGTAGAATGGGAAGGAGAGGTGCAGTGCCCCCTCTTTTAGCCACGTTAGAATATGAAAACATTAAAACTCGATAGGCCTGAGACAGGGCTTGAGTTCTTTGGTCTAAACATTTTTATTCCCGGACCTTTGGCCGAAATCAAAATCACACATTTGTGCATTTAGATCCCTCTTTCCTTGAAAAACAGTTGCGTTTTTATGAGTTAGATTGAATGTAAGAAGATACAGATTCAAACAGGCACAAAAATATAAATACCAGCTATTTTAGTGGTGTGCAAAGGCCACCCCAGCCTTCCCGGTGGCGTGGGCTTTGATTTTTTTGAACGTTGTCATTAAAAACCCACCATCTCATCAGCTGGTCACAACTGCACACGGTAATCAATGGTACTTATAATAGGGCGAAGGAGCTAAAAGTATGCTTACCGCTTCACTAGAAAATGGCTTTAAAATCTGCATAGGAAAAACAGGGAAGACAAAAAGATGATAAGACCATGCCTGTCAAACACTTGCCCCTGGAAAATTAACAGAAAACCTGGTCTTTTGGTAACGGACTTTTCGTTATAGTAAGCAACCGATGTCTTATTGTTTTATTTTTATCATTCTTTCTCATTTTTTCATCATCTCTCTCTATTTAAGCAAAGTTATTACTATCTAAAAACTTCAATCCCTTTAATTATTTTTACATGAGGTTTCAAAAGTTTCAAGAAAGTTTAACAAACGAAATTTCAAAGAAAACGAGTTCTTAGCCATAGCTAAATAACATGTAAGTGTATAATGGTCAACACATATATGCATGCATAATTTTGACAAAACTATTCAGGCCAATTGACGCCCAATCAAACCATTTAGGCATGTATGGCTCCTACATGCAAATCAAGAAGTCCTGTTCCTCATTTATTCTTCTTAACCTAGCTAATGACTAATTAGCCGTAAACCCCGAACAAATCTGTCACCGGATAATTCAATAAGATGGAAAGTTTTTTGCGGGTAGTCCCAGAAAAGTATAGCAAAAATACACAGTGGTTGTACGAAAGAATATCACCAGTCAGATTTTATTGTAATGTGTCCAGCAAAAGCTTATAATTTGGATACAAATGGTCTAACAGTTATCAGCAGCTGTTTTGTGAGCGATAAAGCGTTATTTCCAGATGCTAACAATGGAATGAAAATTGGGCCTAATTTAACAGGCTAGAAGGTCAGCAGATTGAGGTGCAATGAAACGATTGGATTGTTAACAAACCCCAATATTCATGGATGCTATCTGATGAAATCATAGACAAAAAATCATATGTGATATACAAAATAGGAAAATTGCATGTAAATTCTATCATTAAGGCATAACGATTGCAACGCATCTACTTAAATTTCATAAATACAATATCATTGAAGATCCCTACGGCATATTTATTCGTCTATAGACATTTTAATCTAATATCGAGACAGCGAGTCCTATAAGGGCTGAAAAAATCTAAGTAATTGTGACAGAGGAGCATTGCACTTGTCGGTAGCAGATTAAACAGCCACTGAATTTCTAGTATGCAGAAAAACGGACTGAAATTGATAAATTTATAACAAACTACATACAAGGATTGTCCCCCTTCCCTTCTGGGCAGGATCGACGTTGCTTTTCATCTAAATTCGACGAGGAAATGTTCGGGTAGGGGCAATATTTTGGCAACAAATTAATCGTGATGTAAAAACACAGTCATGGACGTTTTCTATGAGTAAAAATTTGGTAAAAGGGCGTTTCCTGGCAGTAAAATGACGTGGCCTAAAATTTATTGTTTTGTTTCCACTACAATAGCCCAATGGCCGATGCCACAAGACTGCGAACTGGTATCCTAATAACAAACGAATAAACTTGCAAAACCAAACGAGCATTTGCGGGCAACTGTCTGTATACAAGGGATGTTGCCTATAGAAACCTGTTCCCAGAACAACGTGACGTAACAAGAGTAAGTGAAAATGTTAGAAGCACTCGATGTTGTGTTTAACAACAATTATTATCCTTAGCTTAGCCGTAAGCCATAATGGAATATTACGTAACAGAGTAAACTGTAACTTTAAACTATAAAAGCTACTACAGAAATGGCCAAACACGACATTCCAAAAGAAATAAAATACTTTCAAATTCAGCCGACCGTAAATATATCACTTCGCAGCAGTTATCTTCTTACTTCAATCTTGAAAGAGGGTCCTGAAGGGTAAACTTGGAAATGGGGTCCGCTTGTTTCGGCATTGGACACTTGGATGAAGGCAGCTGAGATTAGGAGATCATCCTTAAGCTTGGAAATGGTTCTGGGATTTGGGATGAACAACGCATTGAATGTTTGAACTTTTGCGACCAAACTGCGAAGGAGCACTTAACAACGAATGGCATGGGATTTTGCCTACAAAACGCCTGAGAACTGGGATCATGATCCCCCTTCATGATCCTCTTAAAACTTCTAACAAATATTAAACATGATCTAGTCAGCCCCTAAGTCCCAACAAAATGGCTTTTTACTAGAAAGTATTACGAGAACGAGCTTTTACATATAATAAATAGATTGATACAAATAACGGAGTTGGAATACTTCCAATTAAAATTAGGGTCCTTCAAGGGAAGAATCTTGCCCTTAAAATCTCTCCCATTACACGTTGTACGCCAGTTTCCTGGCAGTTGTCAATCAACAGTTTTGGATTACCCATTATGCAATACACATTCTTCGCAGAATAGACTTCGATATATAACTTTAAATTAACGTGGCAACCCTCCTTCTTGTAGACAAATAGAATGCGTAATAACGACTTCGTTCCTTGAAAATGCTCTTGAACTAAAGGACGGTGGGCTACCTTACTCATTAGAGGCATTTTTCTTGCTGGCCTCCCCAACAAATGGGGATTTTCTTATTGCTGAGCTCCAGTTCATTTAAATACAGAATACTGCTGATTGCGAATCGAGAAGTGCTAAGGAGAATTTTTTGATTAAATAACCGTGATTATCAATCCACTTCAATTTGATTATTCTACTTAAATTTGATACCGGTCTCTACTTTCTGTTTTTCTTGAGATCGTCTTGGAGCCTAGCAATTTCTGTGCCAAGGGTATTGATGCTTTCCTGCAAGAAAACAAGACACAGCAACATCAAAGGCTAGGAACCTTTGTAGTGACTCTACTTAGGCCATTTTACAAGCACTTCCTACTCCTTCATCGATCATGCCATTGTCATGACATCAACTTACGTCATTCACGGCATCACCTACCACAGGACATTCCCTTCACCATTGTTTACACATTCACACATCTATGTCATGCTGATTTCTTCCCAAGTCTAGATCTTTCCTTTTTCATTACATCATTATTACATCATCCTAACTCATCATTACTCAGCACATCTATTTTGTATATAAGTATGTTAATTTATATGTTAGTCAGTTCAGTTCAGTCCACATCAGAGTTACACAGGCAACACATCAGAGTCTCTCTCACTGGCTCCGTGTTCTCTGCACGTTAAATAAGAGTCGAAGCAAACATCAACGATGAAAAGTCACAGGATAAGATAGGAACCATTGAAATTCATGCTGCACTAGTATAGTTCCTATACCTTGTTTGACATCACTTTTACGCAGTTTTAAGTCTCGATCGAGATATGTCCTATTCTTCAGTGAGTGGGTCGTAAATACATCAAAGTAGGAGGAGTTGTGACATTACCTTACCCTAAAGACAATAACATAGGGGTGAATAGTGTCTACTACCACCAGTATGTGATTCCCTGAAATCTTATGTTCACTTCCTTGTCCTCTAAATAATCACTTTGTTTAATCATCAACCCTGGTGCTTCATCACGTCCCGTCTCCACAAGCGACACATCTGAGCATCTATTCCCGCCTTAGTCAAACTAATTGCCACAACCCTCCATTGATATAAAACTGATAAGCTTTGCCCCCCTCACCCCTTGCCCCCAATTAGCAGTGCCATCCTTGCTGCGATATTAGTAAAAAAAGAACACGAAAATTGATATGTGTGCAAACGATATTATTTCGATATCGTGGGCAAAATCCGATTTGACGAGGGTTTAAAATATTGTCAAGCAAGGTTTGAAAATGGATAGGGATTAGCGGTGCTTACATTTCTGGTCAATATTTAGAATAACTGTGGAAATATCTATGCCGGTCGATGAAAATAGCCTATAGATGTCAAAGGATATGTATCATGGTAACGTTCAAAATAGCCTTCATATTTGTAAACCAAGTAACGTTTAACTCCAAACATTTGAAAATATTTTGTTGCATAAAGTATACAGCGTTCGTAACGAATTGGAAACGTAAAATGTTGAACTGAAATGCGAAATTCTCAATTATAGCTGCAAAGTGAAAATTAAAATAAATTCGATAACCGATTTTTTTGATAATTTAAACATGCTACAGGGTACAAAGAATTTGGGATTACCATACTCCCTACACATATGGGATTTAAAGAAAAAGACAACTCCAGCTAAAAAGGACAGGAAAACTTCTCTGTTTTGTACAAAAACTATGAAAATCTTTCTCTTGAAACGCCAAGATAATTCAGGGACTATTATTGAAGAAAGAAATATTTCTTAGTTGATAAATTTGATGATATTGTATGAGTTCATATTTGATGGTTGTTTATCGTGCATTTTGGAACATTGCCGCACTACCTTGCTTCAAACTTCTGCCGTTCACTAGGGATTCTAGAAAATGAAGGGAAACAAGCCCGAGAGACAGCAAAACCTTGTTTACAAAACAATATCAGGAACGCCAAGGGACATCACACAGAAAGCCGAACTACACGACATAACATACCAACAAATGCACCGACTGTGGTTCATAAGGAAACAAGGCCTTCTCTTGGGTGTGATATTTACCATCCAAAGATCCTCCTCGGTACAAACTTCAAAACCATACATTTTTGTAAATAGTTATGCCTTCTTAGGATCGAGGTACACGAAACCCCGTTCATCTCAGACAGGGAGTTGCAGGTACTCGATACAAAAACAGTCCGGTATCGCAGTACGAATCCGTTTCATGGAGAGAAGTAGCTCCGCTCAAACATAAGATGGAGTCACTCTTCCATCTCGATATTTGTAAACCAAGTTTTATTTTCTATCTCGATTAAAAGCGTTAAGCTGATATTAGTGTTGATCCAAATGGAAACAAGCTGATCCCAGAATAGAAGCAGATGATTTCTAAGGCAAAGCAATTAAGAAATTTTAAAGTATTTAGATTTGACAGACATCAATCCGGTAGATTGAATAGGGTTTGGAGTCGAAGTCAATATCAAAACAATTCGAAACAATGTCATTGAGATGGCATGAAGCGAAAAAATCCAATTCGTTACCTCGTATAATTTTGGCACTCAGTTGGACTCTGAGAAAAGTTTGGGTAATGCATTTTCGATGAAAAATGAAATGCAGGGGCGGCTGGGAGCGGTATTAGCGTATATTATTCTAATAGCAAATTTTTTCAGCAAAAGCTCTCATAACGATAAAATGCATTGGAAAACTTAGGACAAAGGGCATAAAACACTGTGTATCATTAAGAAACCGTATACAATGTATCGGGCTGGCTCTTCACTTTCAAAAACAGAATATACTAACCTTAAGTGTGATATTTTTTAGAAGTGTGTCCTCAAGAACTGATTGGAATTTTCTGTTTATTTCAAGTGACAAATCAAGTGTCATGTCTTTGTCTGAGACCCGTGATGAATATACAGAAGCCATAATGCCTCCTTTTCTGGTCATTTCAACCTAAGAGCAAAAAAATGTTCCAGTCAGAAAAACCATTGACGATTAGTTGTCGATTTAAATACACAAAGAGGCACAAAAAACTGGAACAAATACAATCCTAGAATGATCCAAATCTAACCTGGAATGGTTCTAATGACCTAAATTGGTAGTTGCTAATTTAATTTGATAGTTATTATCATGCAAACCCGGGTAAGCCAGTTTTCAGCTTCTTTTCAAATGGGAGGATTGAAATCATAGTTCAATTGACAATGAAATATTTCAAATGTGTCAGTTTATCTTCCAATATCCTATACTATATATTTCACACATTTGATTTACAGGAGTTCTAGTGTTTGCAGTGTTTACAGGGTTCTATCATTTGTATAAAGCTGTGTTTACATTAAAAAAAGTACGGCCTCAGTAATTTTCCAAAGTGCAAATAATGCACGCCTTTATTTTCCTCATTCCACAATGCCTGGCACCGCCACTGTCTAAGAGTGCAGAACAAACTGTTTTGACTGTTTCCTAATTCTTGAGTTTTGTACTTAATCCGTATTGTCATCACTGGCTTCTGTATGAGCTATTCAGAGATAAAAAGAAGCTCAAGACTCACTTTGTTTTTATCGAACCTGCTCGGAACCAGCGTGCCAGACTCTTCCCTTGTTACATAAAACTGTACAATTCTAGAAGAACATGAAGCACATCAAAATCAAATAGTCAATATAACAGGACATCCTTTAACTGCATTATAGTGCGTAAAATGCTGGTGAAAATACGACAAGTGGCGGAAACTAAACTCCTAACGCAGAGAGGGTAGCAAGAGCAGGCAGTGAAAGCCTCCATTGGCCCTCGCTCGATCCACGAAACGTCGATTATTGCCTCCTGAAAACATTGAACTTACAAGCTTATTTTCCTTTATAAAGTGGGTCTTTTAGAGATGCTATAGCATAGCATGGTTAGTTAAGCATGTCGCTACAAAATAACCTATGTATGGTGAAACAGGGCCTTATGAAGTTTCTCAACTAATTTTTTGATGATTCAGGACGTTTTTTGAGAGAAATCGTACGATAAAGATAAAGAATTATACACAGCTTTGACAGTACCAAGTGAATATATAATGGCAGCGATGAAAGTAAAAATTTTACCTATTTTTCTTTTTGATGTCCTCGACCAAAGATTTGTTGTGTTCTTCGAGAAACTCAATTCTTTCGTTCTTTTTCGCGTGTGCTTTTTGCAGTCGACATATTCGATCAACGAGAACAGCCTTGTCAACTTCAATTTCACCTGACTGTACACGATTATGGCGCGGCTGTACGATGCTGTACTCCCCATTGTAAGTATTGAAACCCTGAAGACGATGGCAGAAAATCAGAAAATGTAAACCAGTCAACTTCTGATTAAATCGAACTTATATAATACTCACATTGAGACTAATCTCAGCATTAACAAATATAGTTGTCTATGGAACTACAATAAAAAAATTAATTCCTTTTATACGATGTTATTTTAAGTACAGACTTAAGTACAATCTCTGCTGTTGACAAAAATCGTAGGATATTCAAGAACTTTCACAAGATAGCAAACTTTGATGGAACTATTAAATATAAACAGTTTATCTTAAAAGAGGCAACTATTAGCGAAAAACTTCGAAACATTTTTATAAGGCAATTCAGTAGGTCGAATAAGAATAATTGGAGTAATAGTACTGTCGAGTTATGGGACTTACATTGCACATTACAGTAACAATATTCCCCAAAATTGGCTACCTTTATTCAACTAACTTTATCAGAGAGAACACACGCGGTACGGTGATAAGGAACTCTGGTGATTGCCCTTCTGTAGGCATTGACGTTCTTCCAGCTTTATTTGAATGCCTCATAGGACAAAATTTGAATTACACTTTCTCTGATAATATTTCGAGACAAAAACCAAAGTGCCCTCTTAAATAAAACAACATAGAATTATCAGAAATATGGCTGAAACTGAATCAATTCACAAACATGCAAATTTTAACAACAATGTCAACATAGAAAAAGTTATTTGGGACTCCCGCTCAAGAAGTATTTGTATTATAAGCAGGTGAGACCGTTTTGTGTTTACCTGAAATGCTGGATTGGAAACTGTGCTAGTATTACCACCATTTGTTTGAACACTTGCTGGTGGCTGGTTGCCAGAATCATTCGACAACCGATCCAAAGAACTGTTTGAGGAAGCTCTCGATTTTAAGGGAAGGCCATCTTGAGAATTCGATAGACATTCTTCTAGTTGCTCGATACGTCTAGAAAAAGAAAAAAACATAATTGTTTTTCGGCATCAACAAATCTTGTTAAAATCAAATATAATAAATTGTGCTACCTTGAAAAAGACAGCAAATTGTGTTGAAACTTATAAAGCAGCAAACATCCATCTTGAAGAAACTGTATATTTGGGCTTTTTTGTTCTCATCAGTCTGATATTTCAAAGATTTCAGGCGTCCGAGTATTTTATCTAAGGATATCTTAAACCGTTTCTGTATAGTAACAGCCATTATATCTTATCCACCACCGTTATTACAATAAAAAACTATTACAGAATATTATATCGTTATTATACACAAAGCCATAAACGAATCGTTAAATCATACTGGTCCAGAGAATCCAAAAAATAACAAGTAACAATGAAACCTAGCAATTTCCTTCAAATTGTCATCAGACCTTAATATTCTGTAACGCTGATTCATTGTAAAAAATTTCTTTCTTTGTCGTCCTTTGAAATTTTCTTTGTTTTGCTCATGAACTCTATTTCGAAAACTATGGGCATACATTATCAAATTCAATCTGATCTATCAAACGCCCCCTCTCTCATAAACGCATCTCTCATAAACGCCCGCTCTTATAAACGCCTCTCCCATAAACGCGCTTCTTTAATAGACCCTCCCAAAAGCCAAAAATTTTTTAATAAACGCTGAAGCGTTTAATAGATCAAATATGGTAGCTTGAAGGAAAAATAGAAATAATAAGCTGAAAGATGATTTTTGAATATAAACATACTTTTTCGATTGCTGAAGCTGCCTTTGCAAATCCTAAAATCCAAAGAAAACAGACACTAAACTAAAACGTACCATTTTTAAATATCTATTTCCCTTCAATTTTAATTATTCATACTTTAGTCTTTGCTGTTAAGCTGCAACAGAACAGTTGGATCTAATAGGTCCTTTTGTTGTTATCGATTACGAAATTAGAAATAGAGCTAAGGATGTCAAGTTTTGTATATATTTACATAAAATTGATTGACTCGATAATATTTGTCAGCTAGATGCTATTATCGACATAACTTGATAAGTGTAACTTAAAATCTTAATCATGGCTACAGCGTTCAGGAAAGTGTTCATCTTCCATCTGGAAAAGACCGCCAGTTTTGAGAACCTTCTCCAGAAAAAATGAAAACAAAGCAGGGCTTGGGCGTGACAATTAGGTTTCCGTTGCAAAAACTGGCCTTCCCTCGTGGTTCGCCATGTTTATTGGCCACTGCATTGTCCCTAGAAAACTTAGGCCATCTCATGGTTCTCTATTTAAGGATTTTTGAGCTATATCTTACGTGTACTTAACACTTCTAATAGCACTCATTGGATATGAGTAAAGAATAAAGACAAAAGAATGAATAAAGGCCTTTGGAAGCAAGTAAAAATATATGTACAAATCAATGCAATACTTGAATCCTTTGAGGTTTAAAATCAATATCTAATGAATACATAATGGTTTTCTCTTTACAGTTTTATCAAACTTAATTTACCCCACATTTATTTTATGCAAAAATTTTCGAAAATTTTGATTCCGGATTCGTTAGCATTTCTAATAGCATAACGCGCACAAACGCTTATTGCAGCCTCTTACCTTAATTGTTGACGTATTTTTCCTCTTCTGAACTTTCACTTCGTCTTGAGCTTCTTCTAATCCCAACGTCAATTCTTCCACTGTAAACAAGAGTTACTAAACTTACATTTTTACGCACAAATATCATTTCAAATGTAGCTTAAAAATCTTTGTAACATCTTCCAGTATTGAATATTCGTAATAAGCCAAAATATGCATTCCTTTGAAATTTTCACTGGACAATAATAGCAATGATATGATACTAAGGATTGTTTATAGAGGATAAAAAATTCAAAACATGCTATATACAGAGACAAATACACGTATATACATTTTTTTCTGTAATCGAAAAACTCCTTTTGCATGATTCGAGCTTAATTTTTGGCAGACAGTGCCAAATACTGACATCAATAGACTGGCAGTTATCGTGTAGCAAAATGAGCAGTTTAATGGTCTGTCTGCAACTTTTCACTCGATGTTCAGCCAATAGACTTAGACAGATAATCTTACACAGACAAACTCAGACAAGCCTATGAATACTCTTTTAAGTTATAATTTCTGCAGATAAATCACAGATTATATAAAAGTCTCGGTGGAAAACCCTAGTTTGTACAGAAAATTATACAACCCAGATATATTCAAGAGCTGAAGCATGTTTCCGGAGTTATAAATGCGATCAAACGAACATGTTTGCTGTTTCATGCTGTGGCGCAACGAACCAAAGTTACATTTAGTTCAGAGCTCCCAGACACCAAGGATTTCTAGGGGCCTCACATAAATGTCTGACTCCACTGAAGACACTAGAAAGTAGCTTTAACAACTGAAACTTGAAAAAGGGAATTTTAACATTTTGATGGCAAGTTTACAATAGGCTCAACTTTTAAAAGTTCTCTTGCGCCCTTAGCTACCGTTACGTCACCAGGTCCACGTCATCTTAAAGTTTGCGATTGTAGTTTCAAGCAGAAACATACCAAGCTTGCGTTTTTGCTCAACTTGCATTACCAACTCTTCTAAGGCATTCTCAAACTCTTCCCTTTGTTTTCGTAATGCTGTATTCTAGTAGAAACACAACTCATCACAGTGAAAAAGAATATTCAATTACATTAAAGGACAGTCTTCGCATAAGAAATAGGTTATTGGATAAGTTAAAATAAAACGTGGAAATGATCCATCCATTGGCGGTAGATTTGACCGTAAAGGTTTTTAAATGGTGATTTTGAATGTCTTTGACTATTACTAAAATGGTATTATGAGATATTGCCAAAACATGTATATCTGGTTAATAGGATGACAAGTTTGTGAATAGGCCTCTCGACGTCTTAAAATCAGGGGTTGCCTTATTGAAAGCTATTTAAAACAGACCGTTTCGAATCATTTCGTAAGTTCCATGAAATACTTGATGTAAAATCCAAAAAATTATACGCTAAAAGACCTTATTAGAGGTCATTTAATAACATACTTGTTCATTACCAAAAAACGTATCCATCTGTAGGTAAAGAAACTGTTACGTGTTCTTAGCAGAGCTAAAAAAAATTAGCTGTCCTCTTTAAGGCGTTGAAATTTTTTTTACAAAAACATCAATCCAATTACGAATGATGTGAACAGAACATGATCTTACATGATCCTTTTGATTTGAGTGGGAATCCTTCAGAGAACCTTGCAGCTCTGCCATTTCAATTTCCATTGTTTCAATCTACAAAAGAGGAAAAGTTTTAAACATTTTCATCAATTCTATTTAATTGGAAACTACCTTTCCAAGTTTAAGTACGACGATGGAATAATCAAGACAAAGATAAAACGCGAATTCGGGACGCCATTGCAAGGGAACTTAATAAAGCCAAAAGAATACAACCTGTCGAAGAAGTATCGTCTGAGATAAAAATTCCAAAGAAAAATTTGGAAAGTTTATCAAATACATTCTATAGCTTGCATCAAGTTCGAGAAAAATTATAAATGCCACAGTAAAAGAGACATTGAAAAGAATCGTACAGGGAATTGGAAAAAAATAAAAACTATAACAAGGTACAGGCAAAAAATAAATAAACTAATATGGATAAGTAGAAACAAGTGCAAGATAGACAGTCACAGTAAAATAGAGAACAAAAGCAAATGGCAGAGCCAAGGACAAAAAAAACTTCTGGAAGACAAACCAATCAAAGAAAATACGATGAATTAGTGTTTAAAATAGGAAATGGAAAAAAACAAAACAAGATAAATACAGAACCACAATAAAATTCACACTCGTGACATTCTATGGTCATTATCAAACAAAATCAGGAATGCAGAAAAATGGGAAACGAAAACACGTAAAATCAGCAATGGACTAGAAAACAAAACATACCCTTGACTGGAAATCAAATGCTTTTGATTTCCAACTGGCGTTATTTTCTGTCAGTTTTTCAGTGAACGAGAGTAGCTCAGCCTCTCTCTGCTTGCAGTCTTTAACCTCGTTTTCAACATCCAGCAACTGTTTCCGGAGTCTTTCTTCCAACTCTACATAGTATGTAACTTGTTCTTTGTACCTGTGAGGCCAACAAGGATGACTATGACTAGCTTAGTGTATTGCTTAGTAATAGATTATATGACATTTGTTAACTGAAGAATTGTTATCAAAATATTTTGAAAAAAGAAACCCTAAATAAATATACGCCGACAGATGCTGATTGACATAAAATGCTTTATCGAGGATTGAGGAAGATTTAGAAAAGAACGTATATTCAAGTTGGTAAAAAAACAGAGAATGAATACAGAGAATAGATATCAACTACACATTTCGTTTTTCTGCAACTGTACACATTGTCTTCTGTAATCAATAGTTTTATCCTTCGATGTATATACTTTATATAACAAGATTCTGGTGAATTAGATCCTTCTTATCCTTGAACTTGTAGGATATCTCCTTCCATCCAGGATATATCCTTGAGCTGGTAGGATATTAAATCCTTCTTGAGCTGGTAGGATATCTTGTCAAAAAACACGATCAATCAAACAAGACAAGACGAAGCAACATTCTCTTTATAGTATGAATGCACTTAAAAAATGATATAGAAAATACTGATTGTTACCCTTTCAAGTCTTGGTTGGCATCATTAAGTAGTTTGTCAGTAAGAACCGATTCTTCTTCCTTTTTGCTTAAGAGTGTTATTCTTTTCTCCATTTCAGAATTCTTTATCGAGTAATTTGACAACTTTCCTTCCAACATTGACACCTTTAATACACAAGAATGCTAATAAACAATTGGAAAATTTACTTCGATTTCAGCTTGATGATTGCACGTATAATAAAGAATCACAGATGTGGCTAACCAGGCTACAATACCAGATGATAGTGTTTTCCTTAAGACAATAATCATGCGAGCAGAGCCTCAGTTCCGATTTAGTCTCGGTTTAGTCACTTATGTGCATCCGTTCTATCACATAGCATGGTCATTTTACCTACTCGTGCAAAGTCAAAATGGAAACGCTCTTAGAAAGAAATCAAAGTATGTAAAAAAAACTTAAAAATCCTTCATTATTTACTGGGAGGCTGCCGGCTGCATAATATATCCTAAGAATAAATTATGAACGTGCAAGTGTGTTTTTGACTATGGCTTTTAAACTCAGTAAATACCAAGTTATCTATACATTAACTTAAAGTATGATTATGATATGGTTCAAAAGTTTGGTGGAGACTCACAGTCGTTTTAAGCTGTGAAATTTCGCTTAGTGCTTTTCTATGCTCAGCTTTCAATGCCTCCATTTCTTGTGCCCGTTTTCGGTGGATCTAGAAGAAAGTGAATGTAAGGTTAACGATCAAGAAATCATAACAAAATTAACAATTTGAAAGCTGCGGAAAGAAAAGACCAAACACAGATGATTGCAATGCAAAAAGAATGAAAACAAAAACATCGTTTCGATTGAGCAAATGCGGGCTGTTAACTTGGACAATGTGGTTTTAATAGAGGCAGTGAATTTTAAACACCTACACAATAGCGTCCTCGAAGATATCGTACATTCTTAATCTGAACCAAAAAAACTTACAATGGTGACTTATGATGTAGGAAACTACAAACCATTGACTGAGTGAACAAAACACGATAAAATGTGAGTGTAGAAATGTAAGGTAAACGGGGGTAACCTTACCAAGAAAATGACTTTGCCGATTTTCAGTAGAGAAAAAAATGAGCTTGAGCCCTACAGTTCAATGCTAAAATGCTAAAATAAGCAGAAACTTGAGACGACAAGACAACTGTTTTTCTCAATGTTTTTTCGTTTATTTTCAAGCTTACTATTAATTCAAGTCACCTCCTGAAACAAGTGTTGATAGTGTAGGCAAACGTCATTACATGATTGGTTGTTATTCCAACACAAAACATTGATTGTAGCAACAAAACATTTGATGAAGGTAAGATGCTTGGATGTATAGAACAGAGTTGTTTTAAGTTGCCGCACTAACATTCAAGCTTACTGCAATCTTGCAAATGTGTACAACTTTGCCCATACGGTATCAAAAACTAACGTCAGATCGGTAAAACAGTAATTTTCATTAAAGAAAGAAAGATATAGTTGAATACGATATTAGTATTTCACGAAATAATGCCAACGGGTATAGTCACTCCATGGACATGTATTTCAGTTTGGTGGATTTTCTGTTGTTTTTATCTTAAGAATAGCTACAAATCCTTTTTTGGTGGAAATCTTGAACATTTTGCAAGAGTGAACTGCCCCGTCATATTTCGCAGTGATTTTAGATAAAAAAGTTATTTGAAGACAGAGTGCTTTGGGCAATTCAAGTCAATACATTCTGGTTACCTCATCTTGAACTGCAATTTCATGCTCATGCACTTTCAAAACATTGTCTTTTTCTTTTAGTTCTTTGTCAAGTCGAACTGATCGCATTTCTTCTGAATCCTGTAAATAAATTAGTCTACCTCAAACTGGATCCTTAACAAGTATTTAACTGCGAACAACTTTGAGAATCAAAAGCTTGTTTACATTTGTACTTGTAGTAGTACGAATAGCGAATCTGACGACAGAGACAACTGCTAAAACTCTTGCCAATGCCAGAGACACAGGCCTAATAAACGCATCTAATATGCTAACTACAAATCGGTCCCTCTTTAATCCTCTGCTTTAAACGAGTAGAAGGAGGGTACAACCTGAATTTGAAGCCCATTCATTCTTATTCAAATGGCTACATCTCTTACACGATCAATCGATATACATCGAGATATAGAGGTCATCGTTAAAGGGTGGCTCAAGATTTTAAATTCAAACTTGAATAAAAAAGGAGTTCAGATATCATTGGTAAGGTGTTCTTGATGCATTTTTATCTCAAAAGGTATTTTTTTTTCTATACGGACAATTAAACTCATCGATAAGGGATGTTTCTAGAGTATTTCGATATCCAAATCACCTTTTGGATATAACGTTTCTTAGTTCAACAAATTATGCTGTTCCCGAAAACCTATTTAGCATTAATAAGCTGCCAATAGTGGCTGCGCATCGTCTAAAAAATCCCCCCGGGGGGGGGGGCGTGGGCTTGGTTCGAGCTCCACATTGTAACAACGATTGTAGAATGATCCACGCACCTGGTATTTCTTTATCATTTCCTGACAAGCTGCTCTAATTTGCTCGCCTTCTTCTTTCATCTCCTCGATCTTTGCATTCGCCTGTCCAAGCTTTGTTTTTGTTTCCTGGAAATTTAAAAAATATGCTTTCTATGAGAATATGAAACATTATATTATGATAGAGAGCAAAGCATCAAGTGAACCCTCCCCAAATAAAAAACTTGTACTTTTTCTCTTTTATCATTTCTTTCTCTTCATTTTCTCCACCTTCTATTTATGTCGCATACGCTGATCTGGTGTTTACTCAATATACATCTAAATCTTGATATTTTACAATGCAGGAAAATTTCTTTGGTCAGACAAAAAACTCCCAGCATTCTGTTGCTTTTCTTAGGTTGAGGTCATTGCAAACTATTTGATATCTCTAGTCCAGTCAGCACCATCTCCGAATCACCGTCAACAGAGAGGGTTTCAATAGAACAAAGGGGGTGAAAATCTTTTAAAATTTTAAAAAAATTAAACAACAAGCCGTAAAAACCGTGTTACATGGTCACAAGTTCATTTGACAACGGCATTTAAAAGCATGAAAATTCGAAACTGATAACTTTTTTCCCAGTCTCTTTTATATGCCGCAGTTTATTGAAAAAAGACGTTTTTGTCAAAGAACACAGCTAAAGCTCATGAAAGGGAATGATTTGAATTTATTGAATGTTTCTGGCAAACAGAAAACATTCAATGAGAACTCAGAGGTCACAAATTGGCTAGAAATTATAAACAACTAGCTACCAATGTCTTTTGTGATGGTCAAGCTGCATGGTCGCAGACAATTTTGGCTACATGCACTCAAAATACTGCCCAGAATATGCGAAAATAAAAGCAGGATGGAATCCACACTCTTTGCCTAGGCCGTGATAGCAAGAGGATATTACAATACTTAGGTCATTCACAGTAGCTCGATTTCTCTATAGAATTAAATATTGTTATAACCTAAATGAATGATAGGTTGTTTGTGTTGTACAAAATTTAGGCTGCGGTTTGATAATATAAACATGTCATTTAACAGAAAATGCTACTCCAAACTCTAAGCAACCTTTCACTGATTGGGCGCAGTATGCAACAGCAAAAAAAATTCAACTTGAGGCAGACTTCAACAGTTAGAATTTTCAAATTTGTATGTACAACAAAAATTTAGCAGAAAAATTCCAGATAGAAATAGATAAACTGAAAGATATTGGACAGTTTAAAGTAGGGGATGTTTTCTACCAATTGTAGCCATGCATTGCTCACTTTGTTGTTAAAAGTTAATTATGAAGCTAATCTGGCAAAATCTATTCCGCTTCAGTTCATATTTTAACAGAATTTTCAGATAAAATGTTTGACAATTGAATTCTAATGCAGATTTCGAGAAATACATTATGGTAAGGAGAAAAATGAAGCAAATTCCATATCAAGCTTTTTCAATGCTTCAAGGAAATGGTCTGGTATTTTCAATCTGCTTCAAACAGATGTGTACGTTGCAAGAAATTGAAGTAAAAACCAAAAATATGAATCTAACTTCAGACAAAAATACCTTATGTGCTTCAAGCTCTTGTTTTAGCTTATTTTGTGCCCACTTGACTTTAACTGATTGAGATGACTCTTCATCCTTGAGCTTTACAAGTTCCTCCTTCAACTTGGCCAGTTCTTGATCCTTTTGGAGAAAAATTATCACAAGTGGTACCAGCAGATGACAAAAACATGATTTATATACTTTCAAGTGCCTAGTAACTTCCTGCAAACTCTTTATGGGCAATGTTAATTAACAGATATGTTTTGGAAATTTTGTTTACAAGTCATCTTAGCCTAATCATACAACAAAATTCAGAATAATTTCCAAAAAGATGGAGTATAAAATGCATTGGTGTGTTGCGTCTAACAAAGAAGATTTAAGTTTCTTTCTCCTACACCAAATTTTTATTCCAGTTCAAACTGAACTTGTTTGTAAACTCTTCACATTTAACTGGTCCCATGATGGTACTTGATAACTTTGCAACCACCCCATTTCCCCCTACCTCTTTGCATTATAATCAGTGGGCCTGGCTGTTGTAGACTAAAGATGCAATTACATTAATATAAGATGAACTAATGCCTTTTAAAAATATCAAATATTGATGATTTGTTTAAGAAAATACAGGATTATCAGCTTACTTTCTCAGAAACAGAACCCTGACATTTAGCATAATCATTATCTTTCTGTCTTGTAATTGTCTTTAGTCTTTCGATTTCCTAAAAAAAATAAATGTAATTAAAAGTATGACATAAATTTGATTAGAGGATCCATAAGGATTCAAAAAAATATAAAACTACAAACATTGTCAAAATTGTTGGGAAACCTGGATAAAGCTATTTTTGAAAATCCCCCCCCCCCCCATCAATTACAATGTTGCTCAAAATTGATATTTTGATGCTGAAGGTAAAAACTTGATCACTGAAAGCTGTAAAAAAGTACTGATAAAAAAAATCAATATTGTACATGGGAAGAAAGGTTTTATTTTGGAAGCAAAAGTGATTTGTGGAGAAGGTAACTTAGATGCATTGTTTGCTTGCATGCTATCAAATGACTTCTAGAGATAAGACAAGAAAAAAAACTAGAATTTTCCCTCTGGTTTTGCAAACCTTTTTACTTTCAGCAAGTTTTTTCTCTAATGATTCAATTTTTTTCATCTGACTGCTTGAGCTTTCCTCTATTTTGACAATCTTAAGCAGCAAAGAATCTTTTTCTTTCACAGTTTCTTCATTAGATCTTGTGACCTGCAGAAACAAGAAGTTGAGCTCATGTTACTAAAATATGCTGAAATGGAAAAGATTTGAAAAGCTATTAACAATCAACCAAATTTGGATCAACAGATGAACTTCCATGCAAGTATAAAGTTAATCTAAGAATAGATCTCCACACTGATTCTGAAAAAAATCCAATTTTGTGGCACCTAATTGTGTAGTAAAAGGATTATGTAAGATACAGTTAATCTAAGATCTAGGCTAGTGACAAAAACTTGAATGAAATAACTCATTTTGCTTATTTTTCTTTGGTACCTTTAAACATAAAACCAACCAAAACATCACAACTTTGAGATGTTTTATGCTAATTCCAATAACTTTCAATTTTTTGTAATTTCCCATCAAACCACAATCATTTCTATAGTCAAACCCTCAATAATTGAAAAATCACCAAAATGTAATAAAATATCATTAGATAGCTCTCAAATCAACCATATCATAAATCACAGAATAGGTCCTAATCTCTTAAAATGGAACAAATTTTGGAACAAAGCACTGTCTGTGACAAGCTCTGTGGGTTTTATGCAAGCTAGTTGGTCAAGGCACCATTAGTAGTTCACACAGATAGAAAGTAAAGCTGAAACATTCAGTGTTGAGGGAGGGGGCAAACAAGTGAAACCTTCTTATAAAGAGACATCATTATCTCCATAGACAAAGAGCAACTTTAATTGAGCTCAATGTCCATGATTAGACAAATAATCATGCTGATCATCATCTGATGTCCATGATTATCAGAAATGCTGATCATTGCCAGAATGAGAGATGAGCTAAAAAGTTTTCTAGTTGTTTGTCTACATGACGACTTACAGTTGAATAAATAAAGCAAAAATGAACAAAAAACAGGGCAGGAATTACCTGGTCCACTCTGACAGCCATCTCTTTCTGAAGGGCAGTGATGGCTCTCTTTGCAGCTATATCATGAGCAGCTAACTTCTCTCTGGCATTATCCCTATCTTCTTCTAGTTCTCTACAATTGGCCTCCAGTTCTGAAACAACTTTTTCTAATTTTACGATATCCTCAAGTTTCTCAACATGATCAATCTTATCAATTTCTGTCCCACTTTTGCTTGACAACGTTTCTTGTAGCCTGGTAAACAAAGAAACAGCCTCAATCAGTTTATAAACATGTCACTGAAGCTTCTTCTAACAAGTATTTCTGCAAATTGGGAACCAAAGAAATGCCTCTAGGGACCTTTATGGTCTCACAATAGAATATTCAGTTTCAACATCATCATAATAAATCCAGACAGCCATGTTAAACAGGGACTCCATTTTTCTCATCATATGCTTAGTAACATAAGATAAAAAGTTATTAAAGCAATAAAGCGAGTCAGCATTTCCAATTGGCAGTATCCAAAACCTTAGCATAGAACAGACCACAAACAGCAGTTTAATCTTAACAAAAATCTGACTGTTTGACAACTTAATCAATTATTTATAAGTCAAATATTAAGTTCAGTGATTCACTTTGCTCAATCAGAGTTAATATAAATTTCCATAAATACAACTGGAAGGTGTAACGAAGCAGGTCAAGAGAAATAGGATAGATATGTACTGGTCATTTTTCATATTTATCAAAATAAGTGAAGCCTCAATGTGCCATGCCTTTTAGCCTATACATCACAAGAGCACACATCAGCAATGATCAAAGGTAAGAGTAGGGCACCACTTTGCTTGTCAGGCCCTGCTAATGTTTTCAGAGACAAAAGGCCACAGGGAGGTGTGATCATCTTCTAGCTCCTCCTTTGGCTTTTACCCTGTCTTTTCTCTGCTTAAAATCGAGAATGACCTAGAAGCTCAAGACCATTTGTGACTCTACAGAGTCAGAATTTTCAATTCACTATACTTAAATGATTGGATGGTCTAACATTTCATAACAAATTAAAATCCTCAAAATATGAAAACAATTTGCTCCAAAATATATTGCCCACAACATACAGCCAAACCACATAAGTAAGCTTTGCTAATTCTGTGTAGGCCATAAAATGACAGGCCTGAATTATGAATAGAGGACAACCACTGAGAGATCAATTCATAAAAACAGTTTCACATTACTTTTTAAGTTGCCTCAAAGCAAATGAAAAGAAAGGCAAAAATTACTGGGTAATTGTTATAAATGCTGATTAGCACGGATTGTTGTTCAGTATAAAGAACTAATTGCCTCTTGTTGCAGCCAAATCAGTTAAGGTGCATCACAACAAAATAGTGTTATGCCACACCAAAACATATTGAAATGTTGCAAAAAAGTAAATAAAAAAAACTGGTGGATGTTGTGTGCCATACAGAGAATCAAACATCCAATCTGCATGATTAAGATCTTCGGAATATTGGGTTTGAATTGCCTTTGAACAAGATTGTGGCACTTCAACCAGATTGCTAATCAGAAAGGAAGTTGTGTATCCATTTCACTCACAGTTTGGATCATCCGATTTGATATCATCTTCAATGAGGACATTAATTACTACTCAAAGGTTGAGTGAGTGCACTCTGCTTACCTCTTGTTTTCAGATCTCAAGGTACGCAGTTCTCCTAAAACATTATCCAGCTCTGTCCGGAGTTCATTGTTTATACTCATTAGCGAATTGCATGACTCGTCACCCTGGCCTCCATACTCTTGAAGCCTATCACACAGTTCCTTTTCTCTTTCTAAAGATGTCTTATAATCATTTTGCAAATTTTGATAATTTCCCTTCAAAGTTTCAAATTCTCTTACTAATACATTGATGTTAACATTACTTGCAGAAATGGAATCCAATGTGATCCCATTGAAATTCAAAAGTAAGGGACTATTAAGACAGGATGAGTCGTTTGAGGAAAAACCATCTCCAGGCTTTGATAAACCCAATGACATGTTAATGTTGACAGGGTGACTGGAGTGCTCATTATCTGAATCTGGAGATTTTTCAAAATGTAAGCTTCCAGGCTCTGCGGGTAATGTCTCTAGATCACAGTCTGTTTGAGAAACTCCTTCCCCTTTCTTTTTGACTCCGTCTCCTGAAGTACCCTGGGGACTTGCATGATCATGGAGACCACGTTCATTCGAATCATTATCAACTTTTCCATCAATAATAAAAACTCCCTCGATAGACTTCCTTTCTTGTCCTTCGTCGTTCAAGGAAACACCATGCGCGATCTGTAAAATAGTTGGCTTGTCACCATCATTTTCCAGTTCATTATCCTGGAACTCCATCTATTCGTTGCAGAAGGCTTGTACTATCCGACTCAAGTTAAGCATCACCGGAACTGTCTGCGGCCTAATATTATCAGATGATTCGATGTTGTTAGCGGCCGTGATTCAGCAACGTTCTCTTCCCTCGTAACAAGAACTGCAGCTACAAACATTTCAGTGATTCCAGAATACAAACAATATTCAGTGAAACAGTTCCTACTTAGAACAACAAAGAAAAAATCTGTTTATTTCAGTTCTCTATTCTACAGTCATTTTCAACCTCAACTGACTAATTGCTCGCAAAACAATCGTCTCCCGGAGGAATTCGATGTGTCACACGAAAACGAGGTAATTCACCACGCAACGAAGTACGCTAAAAGGAAAGACACTCGGAAATCCTTTCTCATTTTTTACAACAATGTTGTCTAATTTTTAGTTTAATTTTTTGTATGACCAATGCCAGCAACTTTCTTAGTGACAAGCCTTCCCTGACCTATCTTGAAATAAAATAATGCAAGTCTATATCTAGGAAAGTTCAAAAACTGGTGGGGGGTGGGGTTGTGCAAGAGCAAATCACAGGCTCCTCTTGAAGTCATGCCAAATCTGGCCTACAAAAATTGTAACTGTATGTAAGCCTATTGCGACTGTTAGTGGAGCTTAATTGGACAGTTATGAATTATGCAAATTTGTGTCACAAAAAAGTATTTTTCTAAATCAATATTATCATGGTGTAGTAAACGGCAGCGGCAATGTGACCTAAAGTGCAAAAAGTCAAATAAGCGAGCTCGACTGTATGTACTTTATAATATAATTCTGTTTGTTAAGAGAATTCAAGAAATAAAATATTTTTTCCATGGAAAATAGTCAATCGGACTTACATGGAATCATCATTCCAACGGATTTAGAATCATGTTTGAAGCTAAAGGTTCTTATGCTTCAAAATATACTCAAAGGCCCTAAAATTGCCCAGCACTTAAGTTTTATACTTAAATTCTAAATTTGGCGACAATTGGAAACTTGAAACTACCAGTATCATGAACTGATTAACTATAAAGAGCACGGTTGCTTGATGACTTAAAAAAGAGCACCGAAACAGCAACGAAGGAGGAAAATAGAACGAGGCCTGTCCAATAGGCTAGGCCCATCCATACTTCTGACTTACAGGCGCTCACAAGTTTTTGGCGACCGTTCTTATCGAATGCCATGTATAGAGCAAACAGATGGACAACCACTGCATCAAAGGCCATACGTGGATCCAACCGAACAGCTGATAGGGTAAGTCAATTTAATGGCTTGGCTCTTACCCCTTGCTTAAGTCAATAATTGTTGGCAAACAATTTTATAATCCATGCCTCCATGAGCTCATCAAAGTCTATGTTTGCAACAACAATTATATGAATATCTCTTTGAGTGTAATTCATTCTAGCCTAAATAGCTGCCCCAAAAAGGCAAATGAATGAATCATCTGCAGGAGCATCCTAAGGACAATTCACGCGCGTGAAGATGTGGGATGGAGCAATGATTTGACCTGTCTTCTTATGCAAATTTTAATTTCTTTAACCATTTTTATGCTACAAATACTTTGGGGCCGATATCATTTTTTCCTGTTTAATAAACACTTAATGCATACATATTTTATCTGAAATCAAACAAATTGTTGTGTGTAATATAAAGTTAAAATATAACTCTTGGGTCTATGACCAGATATACAAGTCATTTTAAAGTTATATTTAGCCATTACAAAATGAATATTGCCTCAAGATTCAATTGACCAATCATATTTCTCAGCCAGAAAAAATTATCAGCTGCCCTCATTTCTGAGCTTTCTTCATACATGAGACTCTCACAAGGTTGCTGTAAAATTATCATAAGTCATGGTTTATTAGCAATGCATCCTGAAAGATATAATATTTGTCTCTTTTAGATCCTTTTAAGGAAGGAAAAGAAAGTCCAAGATACATTTGCTAGAACAAATATTGCAGCTGCAGGACGAAGGTAATTTGACTCTATTATTTTCTGCAACGTTGATGTTTTCAAATGAATGTTTTTGGCTCAATGTCACACATATGGAACTATAGGACTAGAATCATGCAATATCTTTATTTCTTGTTTGACCCAAAGAGCCCTTCAAGTCATTAATGTTATGCTCTTTGATGATTCTAGACTCCTTTGTTTTGCTTCCTATTTGTTTTATTCGACTTCCTGTATGATTTTGATATTTTGCAAGGTTTTTACTGCACTTTTTCGTGGAACAAAGCCCTGGGGGTGTAGGCAGATTTACAGTCTTAACTGTCTTTGTAATACGGCATGCAAGTGACAAGAAAAACTGCAGGGCTTGTCAAAAGCTACACAAATGGTGCTATACCAACCCCAGATGATTGTATTAGATCTTATTACACAGTCACTTACTCTATACCAGTGTTTCATCTTTGAATAATAGTTTTTAACTCTTTAGAATTGATCAAAATTTATAATGCTTTTTTTAGAATTATATGCAAACTTTGGTTCATTCAATACAAAGAAGAGTATATGTAAAATTTTCTGTGATTTTAAAAATGATATGTTCAGAAGTTGAAATGTTGCAAAAGCAATGTGGCTATCACCTTTGAGTTGCCTCGTAAAAACCATGTTTCCTTAACCAAATAATTGCTTATTTATTCTTGCTTACTTAGTGCACTTCAATGTTCTTTGTTTTCATCATTCTATCTACCTCACTGCAAGTATTCTTTTTGAGTCTGTGAGTCTGTTAAACATTTTTTCTCCAATGGTCTTTATAATTTTTTGCATCTCCCCATTGCTTGCAGTGGATTCCATGCATTGAAATTTGCTGTTTCTGGTGTCATTGCAACTGGTGCTGCTATTGGATCTGCAATTTTTTATGCTGGTAGAAATGATCAAATAAGGGATGACTTTGAAAACAAGGTCCCATTTGCAAAGCCAGTTTTATCATCAATCTATGGAAAAAGGGAAGCACCAGTTGTAGATTCTGGAGTGGTTGGAGATGAATTTGAAAGCCTTCTTCCATTAAAGAAGGATGGAGACTTTATTAATGAAGTTACAGAATCAGTTTTAACAGAGGTAGGAGTTTTAACATACTTTCAAGTAGCCATATGGTTACAAAAAATTGAGGTAATTAGATGTTATGATATCTTGGGGAATGCTCCTTACCCTCACCTGGTAAAAAGACTAGGAAAGCAACAGTTAAAATTGTAAAGAAACTAGAAAAACAAGAGTACAATCAATACATTAGATACTAGAAGCAAAAACGGACAAGGTACAGAATGCAAAATGAGATAACAAAAAGGCAAGGAGGTATAGTTATATAATCTGAGCTATATAATTTGAAGCTATCTAATAGGATAAATCTCTTTGGAATAAGTCTATTTGGGATAAGATTTTCAAGTTTAAAAATGATGCCTTTTTAAAGAGTCTTGTGTTCTGTAAAGTTTGTTGGATCATTTTTTAGGCAGCCTCTTTATCTGGTTTACTCTTGAGTCAACATCTGATTGATATATATTCAGATAAAATTTTAAATGTAGCTGTAATATGAGCAAAAAGACTGCTCTTCCATTACAAAGCCATCAGCAAAAATACCATTCTGGGGCTAAAGATGGCATCAAATTATATTTGATAACCAAGAGCTGGTGGGGCAAGACACTCTAAACTCTGCTTTAGTTCAGTGTATTGATGAAGCAGAGATTTTTCATCATATCCACAGTGAGAATCATTATCAGGTTTCACAATAGAATATGTTCTTTTGTTATTGCAGGACCCATTACAAGAGTCACATCATGCAGAAGAAACCCTTTTTGGTAGGTTATATTAACCATGGAACAACTATTGTTTGTCATATAGGATAACAAAGCAGTTTTTTGACTTGTGGGTTCACAAAACAGCTGCAAGACAGCTTTGTTTATGTTAACGACACCAATGCTTTGTGGTCATTAAGCTTGAACAATAGAGCAGAATTTACAGCTGTTCTTATGAAGACTGTTATTCTAACAAGCAATCACTGCTCTTGTAATTTATTTCAATAGGATCTCAGTGTAGTGTTAATTAGGGCAATATAATGCTTATTCAAGAATGTAGATATGAGATTGCCTCAGCTGAATGGTTTTATTGTGTTATCAAGAATAGATGATGTGACTGTGAAATGGCCTCTGCGGAAGTTTTGCTACAGACATCAACATTTGCTACAGAAATTATCATCAAAGTCATTGGGTAACATGGGCTTGTATCTCTCCTTTTTGTTGACAATATTAAGGGTGTTTATATCTTATCTTCTGCACAGAGGAAGAAAAGGAGGTTGAGGTAGTGGAAAGTCCGGCACGAAATAACGTGGTTGTCATAACAACGATAGATGATCAAGCTGCGGTGTCATCAGTTGACCTCGATATCAGCAATGCAAATTCGAGAAAGGAGAAAAAGATAAAGAAAAAGAAGGAACCGAAAGGTGATTAGATAGTCCATTTAAAACTGCCCATCAAGACCACTTCTTCGAGAAAATGTGTAATAGTTGAATTTTATGAAGTGAATGTGCAATACATTCCTGTCAAGGTTTCAATTCGTATTTTCAAATAATACCAAATAATTGTTGTTGGCTCTATCCTCATGGCATATTTTCTTTGATTTCTTCATATGGCTAAACCCCGGTTTCAAGATTCTTTTTAGCAGCGATGTAATTTGCAGGGCTCACTTTTGCCCTTAAAACAGTAATCACTTTTTCCAGGGCCATTCGAATCGTAGCGAAAAACCAAAGCCTCCACCACCAGTAGTTTCTCAACAATATTGATAGGAAAACTGCAGTAAAGATGCCAAATTTCTATGCAAAAACATCGTTATAGAGATTTGATCACAATAAGATTGAGAAACCTTGCAAATCGTATTTTGTACAGCTTCTTCTGTAATATTTTCCATTTGCTGCAAAAAAAGCAAAATGCAAACTTGTTTTGCGGCTATAAATAAATATTACTGCAATTTTTTATTTCAGTGAAAAAAACAAAAGAGAAAAAGAAGAAGGGTGCCGAGGAAGAGAAGAAAGAAGAGCCTGTCGTAGAACCGAGTGACGAGTTGGTGGCCATTACTGCCGCTGGGATCACTGCTGCTGAAATAGTTAGTAAAGAAGCCCCAACTGAGGAGACGGTCTCGGAATCAGTAGAGGTTTCGTCAACTGAGGTAAGGATAAGATCTGCAGAATGTTTTTTGTTGTCTACGATTGCCAAAACATTTCTCGGTATTTTGAAAAGATCTTGGATAAGATGAAAGCAGGTTCTGTTTTGCAAAGTAAAGTTGAAGATGAAGTGAAGAGAATCAATTGAAAATGTTGCTGGCAGACATCAACAAGTTTTTTTCTCTTACGTTTTTTGAAATATTTTTTTACTAGAGCAACACTCTTCATTTCAAACCACTTCTCTTCTGGGTTGATCCAGGTTAGCCTTTATTGCATAAAATATAATTTTTTTAGGAGTTGGCACCAAAGGAAATCCTTGAGCAAAAGCTAAATACTGATGAAATTGCTAGGGTCAATGAACTTGTTGATCAAAGGGCAATGGAAGTGCTATTGCAAACGTACGTAGAAAAGTTGCAGATAATGCACGATAATGCTGTTCAAAAATACACTGCTGCAACGGAACAGTTGCAGCAATACACGAGTCAGCTTGAGAAAGCGCTTGCCGTCGAGGAGACGGGAGAGGCATTCGACACTGAATGGAAGGCAGCTTCTGATTTAGAGCATGCGTCACAGGTATGTGCGCTCCAGTCACCTAACATAGGGATTGGAGTGCTTGAATTTTTTGTGGAACCTTTATATTTTTAACTCCATTTATTTTTTCAATTCGACTAAGATAAAGACCTGTTCGCGTCTTTTAATCTTTATGGCAGCTGTTTTGTATCACAATCTTATAAATATGAACGATTTCAATTTTTATTTGGTTGTTTTGTTGTAAAAAGCCCACCCAGTGGTTATATGCTTTTCTCGGTTATAGGGCTTTGGCTAATGAAATGCGGTATCCTACCCCCGTTTCTGATGTTTAATACTAAAGACTAGTGGTACCTTTTCTTTTTAATTTAGAATAATTTGGTTTGAGTTAAGTTGTTAGTAGTTGAAAAAAGTTGCTTAAATATATGGTTACAGCAAATACCTAAACTTGCCTTAAAGATCCAAGGAATTGGTTACAACTTACGTGGTAGCTTTGGTTATCTTAGGAATAAGATTTATTGTTTCCTTTGCATGCATCCACTTGTGCCAACTTGACTTCTTATTAGCTAAATTCAACAAAGGACATATGGCTTGAACCAGGGTACCATTCAATTTAAATCGTGCTGTTTTGGACTGATTCTTGTATTTTTTCCAGGAAGTTTACAATCTAACTCTGCATTTTCCAGGAAATAATGGACGAAGCAAAAGATGCAGAACAAACGTTGCAAGAAAACATTGAAGCTATTTATGCGATGATCAAAAGCGTCAGGAAATCTGGTCCTAGTGAGCTGGCTGACTTGGCGCAAGATGCAGCCACGAAGGCCTCTCTTGACCTCATCAAAGTGACAGAGGATGTTAAGCAGTCCAGTGAAGTTCTCGTGAAAATGGCAAAGGATTACATGGTCAATAAAGATGCTATGAAAGAAGAATTTATCATGACGTCATCATCAGAGGAATTACCTGTTTATCAGCAGGAAAAAGAGGCTCAAGCTCCGTTGCCTTTTAAAGACGTTTTGCTAACTTATGCAATGAAAAAGGTGGATCTTTTGAAGCAGGAAATGGATAAAGCAAGGGCCGAAGGAGAAAGAAAACTCGAAGAGGCTTTGCAGGTTGAGCGTCGGGATGGAGAGGAGAAGACGCACGCGCAACTGCAAATGCAAGAAGAGAAGATCAAGAGGGAATACGAGGTTATTTTGCAAAAGAGGGTAAGCAAAATAGTTGACCAAGAAATTATATCATTCTTTTAGATTTAGTCATGTATGTTGTCTTTTGCTTTCATTTGACCGCTGGCTGTTTTCAACACATATGGATAACAGCTATGTCTTTAGGGGAAGTAGCCTGCGATGCAGGCTATAGGGGAAGTGAGTATAACGATGAGACCATTTAAAGAATCATTTATCGTTCGCTGTACATCATAATAGAAAATGATGTTGAAAATCAACGAATTTTATTCACTAAATATCCCTATCATGCGAATAGTTTATATGAATAATGCTTATTATTTTTAAATATTTAGCATTCAAAAGGTTTATTTTTGGAAAAGTCTGCTGGAATATGTACTTTGTATAAAAGGTTCTTTAAACGTCTCTGTAGAAGGGCTAGGGAAATTGTTTCGGTTGGTCAACAAGTTATAGAATTATGCCGTGTCAAGTCAAGTTGTCATCGTTGGTCTCAGACCTAAGCGGCCAATATGCCTCCAGTTATGTAAATTTTTAGCGATAAACAGATATGTCGATAATTAGCATTTGTATGTTTGCCGATATGTTTGTGAATAAATCTGGGTTGATTTCCTCCAAAATAGGAGGCTGATCTTCTTGAAGAATTTGAAAACGAGATCCGGAAACAATTGAAGCGCCAGTCTGCTGCACATAGAGACCACTTGACAGACATGCTGCAAACACAAGCTGAGAAACTTGCAACGGAGCACAAAGACAGGTTGGACGGAGAGTTGACCAGGCAAAAGGTGGTTCATAGTGACGAAATGGCAAAAATAGTTTCACATCTACGCGGTGTTGAGTCAATGATAGATTCAGTGATCGATGTTGAGAAGAGGAACAGAAAATCCCGCGAGTTATGGCTTGCTGTCCAGTCTTTAGGATCTGTTTTGAGTGAAGAGTTGCATAGTGGTAGAACAAAGGACCTCATGCCTGAAATTTCTGCCATAGCCAGGCTGGCAGGTAAGACTTTTTTGCATTCATTTTCTAACTTAACATGACAGTGTACGGTCAAGCTAAAACCATGGCGTTTACAGTAGTGACAGCAAACCACAAGTAATGCAGAAAAGTGCTTGTAGGTGTTATTTCATTCATTCATCTATATTGGTTCTAAATGGTTTTACTCCATGATTTAAAGAATTACTATCATTAATTTTGCCAATTTTCTCCAACCCTAAAAAGGTGCGCACCAAAGGACTCTAATCATTTTAAACTCTGTGCACGTACCCCAAAAGATTCTAATCGTATTAGATAGACCCTGTGCACGTTTTGAGATTCAATTATTGAATCGTGTGAATCTCTCCAATCTGGCTTTTGTGTTTGTTGCAGATAACAACGAAACTGTGCAGTTTGTCCTTGGAACGATACCAGAAATCGCCATTGTGGACGGGGTTTGCACCGAAGAAGGACTGAAAAGCCGTTTTGCCGATGTTAAAAGCATTTGCAAGCGCGTGGCGATGGTTGGTGACAATGTTTCTCTATGGACGTACTTGCTGTCGACCATTCGCTCATTCGTTGTCTTCGAGACCCAAGCTAAGCGAGATATAGCGAATGATGTGGATCCAGAAGCAATCACCCCGTATGAAGTACTAGCTAAAGCACAGAACTGTATCGATAGCGGAGATTTGGAACTTGCTGTGAAATTTATGAGCTTATTAAAAGGTTTGCCAAGGAAGTTAGCCTCGGATTGGTTACGAGAATCTAGGGCATATTTAGAAACGAAGCAAGCATCTGACTTTCTTCTAGCGTTTGTGGCATCGGAAAATGCAGATGATTTTAAGGAATGAATAAATTTATGTTAGCTTAAAATGATTTGTGATAGTGCAGTGTTATAGAGACAAGCAGAACGTTTTGTGGTAACATTTCTGGTGCTGAATACGAATACTTCATGGGACAACTCCCAATATTTTGAGGCAAAGGAAACACTCAAATTTTTATGATGTTTCTAATATCTACCAAAGCCTTTCGTCATAGAAACTTCTTCTTCTATCAACAATTTTTGATTGAGATACATTCCTGACACGCAAGGCCACATCTGTTATGTTACTTGTATTCAATCTGATTGCATATTTCCTGCGACTTCATGGAAATAGTAAATACAAGTCTGTCTATGTTGAATTCAAAAAGCATCTGAAAGGCAACAGAGCGGTTTTCGTAAATAATTCCTGTTGGCTTAGCTTAGATATTGTAGTGAGAATTTCATCCGTGTGACAAAGTTCCAAGATCCTTCAAATACATTAATGTTTTTCTGTGTTGCAAATTGTTGAAATCTGATTTTCAGACAATGAAATAATTTCGCTTAGTTCGTATGTTTTTGTGGTTTAAATAATCTGTTTTGTGTTTTGTTATTTGAAAAAGTTTCAAAAAGTTACCTTTTTTATTCAGTCTATTTGGTCTAATTCAACGTATCGATAGTCATTTCATTACAATATAATTTATTAAGACTGTAAGAAAATAACTTCAGGAAGTGAAAGAAAGCGGGATCCAGACTTCAACTGGAATTATCGACTTGTTACCATTAATCCAGTGTTTTGTACAGATAACAAGAAATTTACGATTTCGAAGTTACACGGATACGAGGTCTTCTCAGTCCGAGGCTGTGGCGGGAAAAGCGAGACAATATCACGTAAGCAAATCACAGCACCTGTGGCTGATGTCAGAATGGCGAAAACGTTTTTCAATTTAGTAAGTTTTTTCTAAGATAAGTTTGCGTTGTGTTTTGGTAAGACATGATTCTCGTATTCTGCATGATTCAGATCTGTGACGCCTAAGCATTTAAAAGATTATAAAATTGTTACTTCATGTTGAATTAACCTCCAAAGTCACTCACTGAAGAAATGCACCATTCGAATGTCACTTACTTTTGAAACTATGATGGCTGGGGTGTTTTTCAAATATTGTTTCAGGGGAAAAGAGGCAACTGAGCTTGAATAATTTGAAAATCGACCGAAACTGCTTAGCTATTCATGCCTGCCCATCTGACGACTGAAGGAAATGATGTTTCTTCTATTAAAAACAAAAAAACTCGAGAGACATCCCAGCAAGAAAATACAACATCATTTTTACCATACGCTAATATACTTTAAAACACCCAAAGCAAACATTAAATTATCTTAAAAAAATGTTCTTCGCGTAAATAATCCATAAGAACTTGTCTCTGCAACTGCTCAATAACGATGTGACAATTTGAAACAGTCACCGAGTCAATAGAGTGATCCCTAAAACATCTAGTCAAACGGAACATTTAGCTGCAACGGTCAATTGGCGCCCAACAAACTGATCCGTAATTATCAAGGATCGATAGCGAAGAACGGGAGCCCGTTACTACTGTATTTCTATTCTACAATAACTACAGACGTGTAATTTCCCCCTAAATCTATCAGTGCTTTTTAATCGCTATTTACACGGAAAAGGAAAATGCAACACAAAATATTTTCACGCCAAAATGACATTTGCAAAATGTAACAATCACCAAAAAGTTTATTTTAAAAACACACTGTTTGTTGTATTTTTATAGTAGAGTAAGGTTAACGCACATGGGAAGTTATCGATGAAACCATGTGCTTATCGGATCTGGGTACGAGTTAGGATGCATGCAAAGATGCCCCTAATGTACTAGTTGATGTGGGGTTTCCTGGGCAGTCATTTAATAAGAACTTAAAAAATTGACTCTTGTAGAGTGGAATTTTGTACAAACGATCAACATAGGGTGAATGGGTAATCAAAAGAAACTACATATCATAAGCTACCGACATATTAAACATTTCTCTGCCTTGGTTCACGAAAACCTTAACACCATCCACAAAAAATCCATATTTACACGTAACTAAGAGCATCATACACACTGAGAAGATCGAAGCAAGTTTCATTTCTTCACAGGGCTGCCTTTGCACCACGGACTTTTGATGATATCGACTTTCTAATTGACTTTCGTAAGTTACTTGTGCGTGATTTCAAAGTTGCCTTATCTGATTGAGATCTTTTAAGCGGCGTTGCATTGGATGACCCTTTCTGAAGATTTTCCCCTTTGTTTTCTTTACCCGTCGGCTTTTTGGCATTTTTCTCTTTGTCTTTTCCTGGCAACATTTTGCCAGCAAGTCTTGCAGCAATAGACTCTTGTGAAGCATACAGTGACTCAGTACTTGTACCAGTAAATAAATGAGATGATCCGCGCGATCTTCTCATACTTGCGCGCGGCTTCAGTTTTTTGTTTGGTTCATCAAAACAAAGGGTAAACGCAACACTTTCTCGCCTAGGGTCACTGGTGGCATCAAGGACGCTTTCCTCCTTGATTCGCGAGGCGTCGCCCCATATCATTTCCGAGCCCTGCCTTATCATGGACCGAGTGGAAATGTTTGAATCAGATTTAACATGACGCGTTGAAGTATCTTTCACATTAGATGCCTCCAATGTCTTTTCCATTGAATCCTCGCTGGCCTCGTTTTTGTGCATTCGCCTCATCTTTTTATTGTCGGGTTTATCAAAGGAAACGGTAAACGCGACGCTCTCCCGCCTCGGATCGCAGGTGGAATCTTGAATGCTTTCCTCTTTAATTCGGGAAACGTCACCCCAAACTGAACCCGAAACTTGCTTCTTCATTGAACGCGTTGATATATTTGAATCTGATTTAATGTGTCGCGTTGACGCGTTTGCGAAGCTTGCCGTCTCGAACCGTTTTTGTTTTGACTGCTGGCTGACCGCAGTTTCGTTTGAAGGCCTCTTTCTAGTTTTATTTAAGTCCGTCAATGTGGTGTTATCAAGGCCATTTCGGAGAGTGGTTTCATATTCAGCATCCTTTGTGCTATTGAGATCCTTCGCTTTGATGACTTCTAGTGGATACGATGACTTCAGATGCGGAAGACATAAAGTGTTTCGACGTTTTAATTCACTCATACGATCCCATTCACTATCAAAGTTAGTTGGCTTGGCTGTTTGTTCAAAAGCACTGCTCAGGCCTTTGTCTTCCAAAATGTCCGGTTCGTCTTCCATTTGACAGGCTGGAAGATGAGGCACTGGAATAGAGAGAGTTGTGCGTCGCTCAGGCGGTGTCCTCCCTGCCATGTACAGCAGGCTCTTTCGTCGAGGGTTGCCAAACGAAATTCCACTTTGTCGACGGAGACTTCGCGTTCGCGAAAACGTGCTTCTGATGCTGTCAACACTCTCTAGTGACGTTATTGATCCTCCAAATTTCTCTTCTTCATTCATATTAAGAGATCGCAAGCTTGGTGATCTTTTTAGCGTCAGGTCATCGCATATAAGCGTTGATTGGTCGTCAAGACCTACAATCGAATCATTACCAATCGTGCCAAAGTCACATGGCAGCATCGTTCGGCGTCGTTTAGAGTGAGCAGACCGAATGTGCTCTCCATCTGGTCCGTCAACGGCCAAGCTACGAGAGTTTTTCTCCATCTCTGCTTCTGTTGATTGCAGTTTCGACTTCGTGAACTCTAAGTCATTCTCCATAGCTTGTATTTTCGCTTCATATTTCTGGAATTGGAAAAGGTAAAATTGGAAGAGTGGATACAACTAGCTACGATAAGTGTACGGCAAACCGAAATACGAATAAAAATAAAGGGATATGATTAAAGAAGGCAGGAAAAACACAGGTAAAAAGAGAGCTTGTAACAGCAAGCCACAAGTTTGAATGTTTCAGGCCCGGATAAAAGCAAATTTTCAAAATGGAATCCTGGTGATTCTATTTCCTAATTATAATTTTTTAGACGTTATTTGTAAAGAGATCATCGATCCTTGTAAAACTATAAATTCAATGTTACTTGAATCAAGATCTCCCAATCTAAAATTTACCAATAAGAATCTCTGCAATATGGTTGGTTGTTAATTCATTTTTGCTTCTTTCTATTTTTACTACCGTTTCAGAAGCAATTTCAGAAGCCACATTCTCGCACTACTCAAATGAAACAATGCGGATACATAGTTTAATCTCTATTTGCAAATATCCAAAAACTGCATTCATAGAAATTCCCGATAGAACAAGCTAGCAATGTTCGAAGGCTACGTAAGAGCTGGATAAAAAAATGGTGTTACGCGCCGTCAAAAACCTTTACAAATTTGCTACCAGCCCTTTTTTCTCAATATCACCACAGTACTTTTACCAACAAAAAATTGCCTTTGTTCTAGTCATTTCTCTCACATAATTCGGATATTCAGATACAATTGTTGCATTTACCTGTAGCTGTTCGTTCTTGATCTCGACTTCCTTGCTAACACGATCTGCCAAAGTCTGAAGCACTCCTCTCTCTTTTGCGAATGCTGTCTCCTTCAGAGACATTTCCTCCTTCATCTTCTCCTTTAGTGCATCAATACTTTTCTCGAAGGCGTGGTTCGCTTTCTCTGCCTCTACCAGCCTCAACTGATAATCAATCTTTTCAGCTTCTATCTGGCTTCTCTCACGTGCAGTCTCTTCCAGCTTTGCTTGTAGAGCGCTGACAGCTTCTTCAGATTTCATCTCTATTTCAGCGATTCGGCACTCTACAAAAAAGGCAAGAAATGCCTGAATATGTCTTATAGAAACATTACAATTAAAGAGACACCAACGCAAAATTTCGACCCCCGACAATTGCAAAAAAATTTTTGGTCATATGAAGTGGGGAAAGTTCTACCATATTAGTATCATATTAATATTAAAAAGTTCTACCGAAAAAGTTTCACATGCTTTATATCACACATGTTGCGAGAAACAAGCGAAAGAAACCAGTATGATTGAATTTTTGGTAACCTAGTATTTTTACGGTCCGATGGTCATCAACAAATAATCGATTGATCATGCGAAATCTGAAAATAATTGTGAAAGCTTCCGGTCAATTTTCAGCGAGCATGACGACAATCACGCACTCGTTTAAATCTTCCGATATCGGCCTCCAGACGACCCGCGTTCGCAGGCACTCGTACCCTTGCTCGCTTCAACTTTCTTCCCCTAAATTGGACCCCCTTTCTGTATTCCAGACAACAATGAGCCTTTTTGTGATAATCTTTGCCGTTCACACAACAAACTAGAACGACGAACGGCGACGCCAATTTTTTCGCGTTGATGCCTCTTTAAGAAGATAGATAAATAATATATTATTACAAACAAGCAAGAATATCTTAAAAGAGAACGCGCTGATGCAAAACATAGTGACAGTCCCTTCAAAGATCCAATCTGCCAAGACACAAACTTTTCAAGAAAAATAAGAGAACAGTTTTTTGTAGAAAGTTTGTGAAAATGAAATCGAAAGGTATGGATTCTCAGATGTCTGAACTGCTTGAATTACTAAATTACTTACCACTATCTACAATTTCGTCTTTAAACTTTTGACGTTCAAGTTTGTTTTCATCTTCTCTTGAATCAAGCATGGTCTGCAATGCTTTCTTGAAATCTAATGCTGCATCGTACTGTGTCTGGAGATTCTCGATCTTTTCATTCAATTCAAGGATCCTTTCTTTCTCCTCTTCTGCTTCTTGCGTCTTGATCTCGTATTGACCAACCAATTCCTTGCATTTGTTGTTAAGCTCTTCAACCTTCACCCGTAGAGCGTCAGATTCCTTGGCAACACCTTCCAATTTAGACACCAGCTCCCCTTTCTCTTTTGCATACTCAGTAGTCTTCACGTTCAAATCATCCTCAAGATTTTTCATAAAATAATCTCTTCTTTCTTTCTCTTCTTGACCTTTTATGTTTAACTCTTCACTCAATTCTCTAGCGAATTTTAGTTCTTCTTGAAACCTTTGAACTTCCTCCTGGTGGCACTTCAACTCATTTTCCTTTTCTGTTAAGAGCTCTGCAGCACGTATTTTTTCTTCATCAAACTTTGTTGATACAGTCTCCAATTCTTCACGAAGACCAGAAGCCTGGTTTTCGAGCTTCTCCATCAGGTTTTCTTTCTCTGTCTCAAAGTTTAGTAGCATTTCTTTCTTTTCACGTTCGTGATTTTCACAGACCTCCCTATGTTCTTTTTCAAATTGATCATATTTCTTCTTTTCTGCTTCAAGAAGCGCTTTAGTTTCTGATAATGTTTCCTCAATAGCCTGGATACCTTTTTCAGAATCCTGGAGCTGTTCCTCAGCAGAATTTTTCTGACTTTCTAGATTTTCTTTTACACTTGATATTTCTTCATCTTTCTCTTTGATGATCTTTTCAATTTTATTTTGCAAAGAAGAAGTACTCTCTTTCTCGATGCTAAGCAGCTCACTAACTGCTTTAAGCTCATCTTTAACTACGTTAAATTCATTTTTAAGAACATTGAATTCATTGAGCACCTGTTCTTTCTCTGCGTCATGCTTAGCTATAAGACATTTCACCTCCTCTCCACTGTTTTCTACAAGCGTGTTCATTTCATTTTTCATATCTTCAACACGGCGAAACTCTTCTTTAAGCCTGGTCTCTGCCAATTTCAATCTTTCCTTTGTGATAGATAAATGATTTTCTAACTGGCACTTATCTCCTTCTAAGGCTTTTAAAGTGCACTTTTGAGTATCTTGCAATTTTGTAATCTCCTCTTCCTTTTGACTGATAATAAGATCCAACCTCTTTTCAAGCTCAAGCCTCTCCTGCCTTTCTAACTCTACCTGGTTAGCAATCTCAATTTTCTTCTGCCTCTCTTCGTCAATCGTACAAATCAATTTCCTGTTTTCATCGAGTAATTCCTCTTTTTCGTGACTTGCTTTCTCGATAACCTCTTTCAGTCCTTCTCCATTTTCTGTTTGAATATTCTCAATGGCAAGTTCAAGCTCCTTCAACTGCTTAACCTTACTTTCTGTTTCTTCCTTCAAAGCTAATTTAAGTGCACTTAACTCCTTCTCCATCGATTTACGCTGTTCACCAAAACCTTCCCGTTCTTTGCGCAGCGTCTCTGTCAACGATTTTACCTCTTCTTCATTCTCTGATCGTTGCTTTTCAAAGAGCGACTTTAGATTCGCTGCTTCACTTCTGTCCGCCTCGTTACAGCGCTTCTGCTCTTCCCACTTAGCTTGAAAAACTTTGACGCTCTCTTTTTCAGTCTCAACTTGGTCTTCAAGCCTTTTCTTTTCAAGTTCCCATTTCTCAGTCATTTCTTGGGCATCTTGTTTCATCTTCATAGAAATTGCTTCTACTTCCCTTTTAAGAATCTCACAACTTTCCTCTTTCCTTTTAGATTCCTCGATTGCAGCATGTAGACTTCCTGTTGACTCTAGTAGCTCTTCCTTCAAACTGTTACATTCTTTGCTTAAATCACCCTTTTCCATATTATTTGATTTCTGAAAACTTTCAATCTCCACTTCACGCTGAGAAAATTTCAAGTTTAATTCTTTAATAATACCTGCATGTTCTGTTTCTTTGGCCTCAATAATTTTTCTTGCCTCATCTAGTTGCAGATTTAAATTTTCTTCCAAAGATATCCTTTCATTTTTCAACTGACTGATTTCCTTTTCGTATTTACAAGTGGTACTGTCCATCTTTTCCTTCACCATTTTCGTTGTAGCTTTCTCATCTTCTAATAACTTACTCACATCATTCAACCTTTGAACCAGCTCATTTATTTCAGTTTTCGCACTGTCCATATCACTAATTACAGTATTGACCTTCTTTTCACATTCTGCCTCAAGCTCTTTCAACTTTTCTTCGATCTTAAGCACTTCGGTTTTCTTCGCTTCCAAATCCTCCTTACTTTTTTCTTCAAAACACAACAACTCTGCTTTACTTTCTGTAGCATTTATCTCAATAATTGCAGCAAGCTCAGCCTTTTCTGCAGTGAGTGTAGTGACCTCCTCATTTCTTTGATGCAACTCAACAGTAACTCCAGAAAGATCTTCATTCATCTTTCTTATTGATTCTTCCATTATCTCTCTTTCTTCTTTAAGATTACCAATTTCTTCCTTCTGCATTGACAAATCCGCCGCTGAGCATTCCATAAACTTTTTGTATTCTCCATTGACTGCTTCTAAATCTTTACGCACGACATCAAGCTCTGTGATGAGGGATACTTTCTCCTCCTGAACCGTCTCAAATTCTTTAGTGAGGGCTTGGATCTTATCATTCAGCTGCGATTGACATACATCCGAACTACTTTTAAGTTCATCAAATTCAGCAGATTTTGCTTTGGTCTCTTTCTCTTTTTCTTCCACTGTATGAATCAAAACGGAGTTTTCCTTATTTATCCTATCAATCGTCGTTTCAAACTTTTTTATGCACTGTTCTGACTCATTAGACATCGCATCGATTTTCTCTTTCAGGTTTTCAGTTTGGCACTGAAGATTTTGAGCCTTTTCCATTTCTGTGTGATGTTTCAAGGTAAGGCAATCGATTTCAGCATTGCATGTGTTTATCGTGCTTCTTGACTCCTGCACTTTCTCCTCAAGATCTGCAATCAACGTGCTCTTCTCCTCGCAGATGCGCCGAGTGTCTTCTAAGTGGCATTCACATTTCTGAAGCTCAGTTTTAGTTTGTTCCACTGTCTTTTGTAGTTGCATGTTTACAGCTTCAACTTCACTTTTCTCATTCTTCGTCGTCTCAAGCTCATTTGCAAGCTCCTCTCTGTCCTTGTCAGCTTCGCTGATCTTCTGGTCCATTTCCAACCTGACAGAAAAGACAGCATGCTCCCTTTCCTCTACCAAGGCAGAGATTCGTGCTAAGAATATATCATCATCTGCTTTCTTCGACTTAAGAAGATGGCTGTGGGTTTGTTGGGCCTGTTTCAATGCAGCTGTTTTCTCCGCCATGCTCTGTTCCAAGAGGCTAATGATACGAAAGAATAACCATCATTACACGAAAATTTGATTGTTAATTTGGTCACGAGAATAACTTAAATCATTAAGAGACAATCTTTGCATTTTAAAAAACAAAAGGGATCGTTGATATCTATGCCCATCTGTGTCATTGCTTGTTGTTCAAGAAAATTTAGCAGGCTCTATTCGAATTTAACATAAGTGCTCTAAAAATGAGGACCTATTCAGCAATTCAACCTGATAGATAATTTTGGAAAAATGAGATTCAGTTTGTGAATTCTGAATAAAAACAAATTTTATAAAATATAGTCTTTACAACTGAATCTACGAAAAGAATTCTAACCTTATTTTCTTCTGGAAATCTTCTTTTAATTTGTAGCAGTCTACTTCGTGTTGTTCTTCAATCCTCTCCAGTTTTCTGGCAAACTCGCTGCATTGATCTTTACATAGCTTTTCAAGGTCGTCCTTGGCTGATTTGATGTTTGTTACTTCAAGTTGTGCATTTTGTAGCTTCATTTGTTCTTCATGAAGTGACCTGGCAACATTAGCATGGAAATATCAGAAACTCATAACTACAAATTAGATACAAAAGCAAATATAGCCTTGTTGAAATCCTTTGGGGAAGTCCCCTATGGCCACATTTTCCCAACAGCTCGGGCCTTCGAATCCGAGAGAGGGATGAAAATTGTTAGAGCTATGAAATGTTCGGGTTATTAGAGTGTCGAAAGTACTTTAAAAGGGTCAAGGGGAATGCAAGAACATTTCGAGTTAACGAAACCTCGAGTTAGCAAAGGTTTGAATTATCAGACATTCGGGTTATTGGGATAACATAGTAGTTTATCTCACTGTTGCATTTTGTTACGAGTCATTCCTGTTCTAATGACATTGTTCCATGTTTAGATGCGTTGTTCAATGCCACTAAATTCTTCCCCTTGGTAAGTCAGCACAATATTGAAATCACCCAACATTGTATGAGAGGAGAGGGGAGGAGAGGAAACATCTTTGAAAAACTGGGAGGATTTTGTGTTGGTGCTTTAACAATGTGTGCAAGTAATGTACAGTCATTCAAACAAAAAGAAAGGATATAAGTTTTTAAGACAGGAAATGATAAACCACAGCTATCACTATTTACATTTCAGATCCGCATATTTTGAACAAAAAGGTTCTACAGAGGCTTCTAAAAACTAAGTAAATTTGTTGCCTTTACAAGTTCAAAAGTATCTATATTACTTTAAGCGTATCATATTACTCAAATGCAACTGATCCTAATATTTTGGCCTGTTGATCTGTAATCAATCTTAAACGCAGTGAATGATCCGGCAGCAATCATACCTTATGAACAAATCTTTCTCCTGCTCCATCTTTACATGTAGTTCTTCTTTCTCCCGTTTCAAAGCGTCACTAGCATCCTTAATGATTGACATTTGTTCTTCCATTTCACTGATCGTCGACTCTTGTGCCGATATTTTCAACATATGCTTCTCTTCCCTAAAACAAAAGCTTCATGAATAGACTGTTCCCTCTCTTTACTATGATTTAAAAATTAAGTGTGAAGAAAGAAGACCTCGAGGCTACAGAAGACCTTGAGGCTACTGTCTTCAAAGAATAGAAAACGTACGAAGAAAATGCATGAGAGGAAATTCTTCACATAAATAATATTTATGTAACAGTACCTTTCTTTAGCATCTTGCATGTCTTTTTCAAAAATACTTCTCAGTTCACATAATGCAGCATCTTTTGATTCCAGATCATTGTTCAAGGATACATTGGTCAATTTGTTTTCATTCAGTTCATTCTTCAACTCCAATATCAGCTTTCTCGCGCTCTCATGTTTTTCCTTAAAATCAACATTATCGATCAATATCAAAAATTCAATCATAATCACAAATGCAATCATAATCACCAATGAAATCACACAAATCATTATCACCACAATCGTCGCAGTTCGTTATCACCATAATCACAATCACTATCACACTCACAATCATTGTCAAAAATGAGCTAATGGAAAACCCATACCTTGGTCACATTCAGCTCTTCAGTAGCCTTTTTGAGATCTTCCTCGAGTGTAACTACATATATCTCACTCTTCAAGCATTTCTGATCATCACCAATTACAACTACAAAACAAAAACGCAGAACAATTATCATATGCAGTAAACTGGGTTTAGAGATAGTAAAACTATGCATCTAAGGTATTTTTGTTTCCCTTTGCCTGAAGATCAAACTAAGCATAGAATACAGAGAATGAACTTAAACTACAGAGACTATACTACAGAGACTAAGCTGTACACCAAAACATGTGCAACTGTGTCTCTGTAACACAAGTACTCAGTATATTAGACAGGTACACAGTTACTTTCGTTCATTCAAAATATAAAATGTTTAGCAGTTATCAAAAACGTACCAAAGGCATCCTCTTTGTTATTTGGTTCTTCAAGTTTTTCTTTTAGAAAGCCGATATGATCCAGCAGTTCTTTGCATTGCTATAAGAAAGTCAAAGATTACTGTTAGGCCATAAGGCAAGTTGCAGCAGTACGTCTCAACAAAACCAATTTTACCAAGTTTGTTCTTTCTGCATTACTGTGTCTTCAAGAGATAATCACACCGGCGGGGTGGCCCAACATCACACGTACTATCTAGAAATGATTTTTAATGTGATAGATGTTTGCCTTTTACTTTGGTCAATAGGATTTCGACAAATTTCAATGAAATTTTTCAGAAGACAGGTTCCTAAATAAAAAAAAGCTTCCTTTAGTACAAAAGGGTGACTTTGGAATCAAATTTGTGGCCAGGCTTTGAATTCGAGAAGATACACTTCATGAATCACTTTATTAAGTGTTGTATTTGAGTCTTGCAACCTGATCCTACCTGATCTTTTTCTCCAACAACTCTTCGAAATTCTTCCTCTTTTATTTCAACGCTATCACAAAGCTCAGCATTTTTTATCTTCAAAGCATTTTCACTTGATTCCAGTTTATCCATTTCCTTCCGAATGCGATCCAACTTTTCGGTCTGCAAAAGATTTTTAGGTACTTGGAACACTCTTGACTATGATCATGAAACATTGATTGGAGTTTGTCTCTTTAAAAAAGTCTAGTAGTATATCGTGCACAGGAGGGAAGAGATCCCAAAGAAGGATATTAAGTACTTTATATATACCAAGTAGTTTTCTTCTTTTGATAACAAAAAACGATTTCTTGACATGTCTCTAAAATGTGATACATCCCAAAAAAGAAGCAAGCCTTTTTAGAGGCAACAAAATCAGATACTTCCTTTACGATACTGCCTGTAGGTGCGAGTAATTAGTGTCGGTAGTTTGTTAAAATTCTATAAACGCTTTGCAAAGTTTCAAGAAGTCAAAACAGCTTGAAATACAAAAATCACGAAAGATATTATGAACGCAGAAGTTTGTTTTCAGGTCCAAAATTTCTCTGGAGAAGGGAATGGGCTATTGTGATTTTATTTGGTGCAGTGGAAGACTATCAAAATTTATTGCTATAAAAATAATGATTGACCAAATCTAAGCGTTGTCAAGACAAATAAGTCAACAATGCCACCAACCTTTTCTTGAAGTTCGGCCTCAAATTGTGTTTTCAAGCTGGAAACTTCACCAGAAAGGAGTGTTTTCTCTTCCAATGCTTTAGCCAATCTTTCATTGACCCTGAGTGATGAAACATTACAGTAAATATTAAAATGGAAAGTCGGGGAGATCTCTGTGTTTGAATGGAAGTCTACTCGATATCTGGGCATCAGAATGAGATGAAATGAAGAAAAAGAAATGAAGATGCAACGCTGGCCAAAATCTCTTGTAACACTGTCTCAGCCACAACTATGAACTCTCCAGTTTCAAGTGAATTTGGTTTACTCCAATGTTATGAAACTGGTTTGAACGTAACTTGCATGATATTGGTATAAAAGATCCTCGTTGGGTTGAGGAGAGGGAAAGCTCCGGCAAGAAGCGATGGTGGATACAAGAACAAGGTGGCTTTTGACGAAGTGGAAGAAAACGGTTGGTTTCAAGGTCTTTTTGCAAACACCGTACTTTACATTTAACTTCAGCTTTTGGCTGTTAGATGCATATCCAGCAAAGGTATATCATTTAGAGCTATTTTCCAAACGAGAGTATTGCAGGAGTCAGACTTTTGTTGCTTAGAAAGCAAGTTGCTTATGGGTATGTCTCGCATATCTTTAGAGAGTAGGTTGAAGTTACGGATCGCAGTGCTAAAAATCCGCTAAAAAGCACCCATGAAATCAATGTATGTGGTGCAATAAAGGAAAACAAATTTGTCATAATATTACCTTTCAATGATATTTTCCTTGGTATCCAACTCCACTTTAACCATTCTTAGAGACGATACTTCATCTTGTAATCCAAGGAGAATTTTTATCCTTGAATTCAAATCTTTATTCATGCTTTCTACAAATTATTAAAAAACAAAAAATTCTTACATCAAATCGATTCTTAAAATTTAATTTGAACAAATATTACATACATGAAAGTATCTCAACCTAGCAACTGAGAAGATAGCGGTTTTGCATAGGTTTTGCAAGATTATACATACCGAGTACTTCGTTTTTCTTTTTAGATTCTTCTAGTCGATGTTCTAGATCATCAATCATATGATGCTGTGTTGCAAGACTAGAATTCAGTCTTCTAATTCTCACATTTAGCTTGTTCTTTTCAAACTACAAGTAGAAAGAAAAATTAGCGTTACGTAATTATCTAAAACCATAAATTCTCTTAGAACAAGAAGTGTGTCTTTAGAAAGTTCCTAGCAAAAATGTTTTGTACTGAATTGAGTCTTAACTCCTCCCCTACCGAAATTTGATTTTAAGACTGTTTTGGCAGCAAAGAAAATGGATAAACTTAGGCGGCAGCAGGAATGGAAATTTCTTTTGACCATAAGAAGGCCACTGTGAATAATTGGGCAACAGAGAGACTGAGATGTGAAGATTTAAATCTAGATAGACACAAGAAAGTAGGAGGGAGGGCTGGGGGCCAGGGGCTACAACCTCTAATTATTACCAGATTGATTTATATTTCCTTCATAACAAAGAGCTAAACGGGAAGCAACTGAATGGACAGCTCTGTAATACAAATTTAGTTCTGATGACAGTGTGATATGTCAATGAGCTGTGTTGAGCTGCAGGTATGAAAGCATTGAACAGCACCTTGCTACATAATCACATTTTATTATTTACATAATGATAGAGAAGCAAAACACTAAATATAAAAAGTGAATAAGTCAGATGATTACCAGTTCTTTTCTATCAACAACTCTTGGTGATCCAATTAATCTGAAGGGTGAATCTGCAGCAATTGATGAGCTATGTGAGTTGTTGCGTACATGACCATTAATATGTGTAGCTGGTGAGCTGACAAAGCTTGCGAATGGGGAATATGAATAGCCAGGAGAACAAATAAAACTTGAAGGTGACTTGATTAGTAAGGATTCTTCAGCAGTCACTGAAAATTAAGCATTTATAACACAGTTAAAATCAATCTATAGTCCATACAGAAATTCACAATTATTGATAGCTTAGTCAACCAATTTTAAAAAACATGCTATACACAAATTGACATTAAAGACTCATTGCTAACAATGGGGCTTTGCGAGCGTGGCGACAGTCCAAACAATGGCAATAATTGATTTTAGACAGTCTAATAATGCATTATGGGATGCTTACGTAGCGCAATGGCTCATTGTTAGCAATGAATCTTTAATAAGAAATTAATGGTCTTATCTTTTCCTGCTAAAGAGGGTTACACAGAGGCTCTTAGCAGGCATTGCCATGAAAGAATAGATCTAGCACCACTAATGGAACAGTATCAATATCCTATCACCATTGTACCAATATCGAATGAAATACTCAAGATTTCAATGAATTCTAAAAGCTAGAGAAACCATGCAATTTTGATTCTGACATGATAATTTCTAGCTCAAGTAAGGCAGCCTACCGGCACTGCATAATGCTTCATGCAGGAGCTCGCCAAGATCTCGTTCTGGTGGTCTCTCATTTACGGCTGATATAAGACACATAAGATTCATCTGATATGCTTTTGATAATGTCATTATTGGTTCTACAAATCCATGTACACTTTCTGAATTGACAGCAGCAACAAGAGTAACTGCCAGTAACTGAAAGAAAGTAAGTCAAAGGTAAAACAAATTCATTTGGATTTCTCAAGAATTGCTATTTGGATATTTGCAATTTTATCTTCAAAGATGGCAATTGCCAATTGCCATTACACTTGATGTTTCAATCAATCTGTTACTGACCAAATGAAAGCAAATATTGCTTTCATTTGTGAAAATTCAAATAGTGTGAAAATTCAAATAGTGTGACAGGCCTAACCATTTGAGGGGAGCCATAGCTCTTTATCCCCTCTAGGCTCCCTTTAAATGCTGTAGGGGAGCTACAGATTGCTCTCTTAAATTGCTCTTAAAGGTGAACTGCTGGCCTTGAAATCAATTTTTCCTTTGTTTCTATTTTATCCACACACACATAGAAGTTACTACAAGAGTTGTTTACTTCTCCCCTGTTTAAAGGATTGAATGCAGACAGAAATAAGGTGCAATAAATTGTGATTGGCCATACTTACCAGAGCTCCTTGGTTTAGATTAAAGGAGTAAAATTTATTTTTTTGTTGTTGTTAAAAGACTTCAGAACCCAACAGGAGTGCAAATTAAAGATTTTCAGAAGTTCTAGCAAAATAGACAAAACATTGGACAAATAAAATGAATGCAAAGTATTGAGCAAACACATCTTCTTTCAAGTATTGAAATTAAATTTACCTTTGCAGTCTCAAAATGATTTCCTGCCAACACTGCCGTTTTGCTAACTGCATCTCTCAGATCTTTATACAATCCTAAAACAGGAAAAATATCGGCTGTCAAAAATCTTTATTCTTCAAAAATAGTTTTTAAAAAATGGCAGTCAACTTTGGTTACCACCACTATATTTATAATCACTTCCTAACAGTTATTGTCATATAAAATTCAAATCGAAGCATGCAAAACATTTAAAATATATTTAGAACTTTCATCTATACATATATTTCCAATAGTGTTTTGGGCAAGACTATATTTAGAGTCTACTTTAAATCTAGATAGTTATCTTCAAATTGCCAACCAAAACATACATTTTAACAAGAAAAGAAAGAATAGGAAACTGACATAAGATAAATAGTTGTGAGTTGGCTCAATATGGTGTATTTACCTTCAAGATACGTGAAAATACATTCCAGTCTCCCAGATGGATCATCTGTGTATTCGTCTGTCCAGGAGTCTTTATCGCTTTAAATTTGATGATGATAGAAAATTAATTGGAATAGTTTGTAAGATTGGCATGTATACGGAAAAGTTTCTTGAAATGGAAGGAAAAATGGTTATCCTCACAATCTTCTTAATATAAATATATTATATCTTATTTTCTGATTTTATCTTTCATGTAAAGTTGTCATATAGGGACTTTAATTACCAAAAATTATTGTTTTCCTATAGCAGAAAAACATCATAAGTAAGTCTATGATTGACTTGGACTGTCAAATCTATAAAATCAGGTGCACCTCAGTCTCAACATTTTTTTCAGTCTTTTAACCTGTAAGGGTCTTGTATTTTACAATTTCATCTCAAATCCAAATACCCTGTTCACCATATAGGCTCAGCCTAAATATGATGATTAAGGAATGAAAAAAGCAAAGATTTAAAAGACAAACTGCTTACACAAGTTTAAGAATGTCCAAAAGAATAAGCAAAGATTTAAAAGAAAAACTGCTTACACAAGTTTAAGAATGTCCAAAAGAATAACACCATCGTCGAATAACCCAAAAGAATTGATTTTTGGTTTATCCAGAAGTATTTGAACCTTAAATCACAAGAAAAGAATTAAAAAGATTTTGTACCAGGACAATGTGTTCAATTTGAAGTTTAAATTGTTGAAGGAGAAGCAAACAATTAATGGAACTTTAAATAAAAAAATGAAAAGACATATATAAATATTTTCAACATTTTTCTGGTATATAGATTTACCAGAAGTTGTCAAAATGTATTGCAATACAACTGAGTAATGATATATTTGCAGGTCTATGTGCTACATGAGTCTGAAAATTGGTAAAAAGGGTTAGCAGTTTGGCTTGAAAATTCAAAAATGTTTTGAAATTTTGCAGCTTCAAAAAGGGAAAAGTTGTGCACATATAAGATGAAACTGCAAAATATCCATCATTCAGTACAGAAAAAAATTCGATTTCGGGATTTATCTGAGTTTGCTTGGCTAACAAAGAATTTTCGGATTATATTACCATGTGTGATTTTTCTTATTTATTAATTTCCAGCATTAATGTCCTAATAATGTCGAAATTGATCCTGAAGTCGGACATCGAACTTGGATGCTTACATTGTAAAATAACATTGCAGAATTTAAAATTTATTGTTGTTATTACGATCTGAAATCGATACAAATATTATAAAAATGAAAGGAAATTGCCAAGTTGCAAATATCTTCCACACAAATCACCAGTACTGGTACTAGTACATTTTGGCGGCATAACAATTTCCAAATGCATACGCTGTTTTACATTGGAATAGGATTCTTACCCATTTGAAAAGTGCTTGGGTCTTTTGTTTATCCATCTTTATGGAAATCGATTGCAGTTTATTTGAGCTAGACGATTTTTCTTACGAACGAATACATAATTTTAGCAAAAATAGGCAGCCATAAACATACAACCGACGATCTGAAACCTTTGCGCATTTTCGTTCGTTTTTTTGAACTTACCGAACAAACGCGCTGACCAATCAAATTCGTCTGTTCAGTGTCACAGGGATACGGCAAGCACATTCCTCTCTCTCCAATTCAATAATTCAATTCATCTCATTTTTTCCCACAAGGAAGAGAAAACAAGATGTCAGTTCTTCAATTAGGAGGAAAGATACCTTGTAAAAAGCCGACGTGATACATAGTTTTAAACACAAATAGGAAACTGAGAGGTATACTCTATATAAATTTTGCTCTTTGAGAAGGATTTGAAGCGATTTTGGAGCAGAATCTTTATGATCTAAAGCTAACAACCAAGTAAAATTTAGTGGGAGGCTTCAGTAAATAAAGTAAGACACGGAGTACGCATTGAGGACAATTTTTACACTCAAAGGAAATTCACTTTCAGTTTCACAAAATTCTGAAATAAGCGACTTATTGTTTGCATATAGGCAACAGGTATATCATATTATGATTGCTAATATAAAGTTTGTTGTGAATGTTTAGTGGGAACAAATATTGACTTGAATGTTTATTAAAGCAGCAGGGGCTTTTGCATTTAACAAAATCATATTATAACAAAATCATCTTTAATTGTCAGTAAAAATGCAATTCCCTACATAATCAATATATGACCCACACTTCTGTTACAAAAGTATTTAGAAATTTCACAGAGAACTTTGAAATATTAATGTTTCTGCTGCAAGCCCATGATGTTCAGAAATTATTTGTTTATTGTAGCATCCTCTGTTTTTGTGTCTTTGCACTGTAGTAACATAGTTTTTGGCTAGGATCGTTGCTAGCTATTGTGCTCAAAGGTTTGCTCAGATCCCATTTGCTGTCAATATGGTTGAGCCATCCTTTATTTGCCTATAAATTTGAAATTTTGCTGGACACCCCTAGATGCAAAAAAAACTCCAAGAGGTCGTCATGTGTCACCACACAACACCCCACCCCCTCTCCTTAAATACACCACACAGTCCTGTTTTTGCATTAGTTTATGAACAAGTTTGTGAAAAACCAACAGAGGCAATTTAGCTGGCCAGTCCTTGACCAAAAATATAAGATAGGTTTGATCCCACAAGTATGCAACAAATTGCTTATTTTGTTGATACCCTTTTTGTAGCTGCCTCGTGACTTTATTGAAAGAAAGCAATTTTAATAAATGATTAGTTGTATAATAAGATTAGATGAATAAGACTATAGTTTAAGTTAGTTGCAAAAGGCTTTTCAATTTTATCAACCTGATAAGAATATCTAACTTCAAAGCAAATTTGCTTGTCTACTTGAATTTTAGCAGGTCTCTATAAATTATCATTTTTCCATGTAGGTTGAAAATGATTCTTTAAATATTGTATGGTCAGAAAACATTCAAGGCCATTATGGCAGAGACACTGAATACAGAAATGGTTGACACAAGACTTGACAGTCTAATTGCAGAGATTGAGTCAAGTGATGCACCTATTGGTCCAGTTCTGAGGTTAGTTAATGAATTTATTTAAATGCATATTAATTTTTTGTAGGGTTTCAATGAAAGATATTTTAAAAACAGTTTCACTGGCATCAGGGTTTCATCTGTTTGTTAGTCCTTTTTCTTGATTAACCCCCATCATCATTTTTCAGTATTCATGTAATATCAAACCTCCTCCATTTCCAATTTGAGCAGAGTCCCTTCCCTCCACAGTTTGTTTTACACTTTGATATTGTACTCAGTGGCCTAGTTCAGGCCATGCTGGGAATGGCATGCGATCGCACGCCCACGCCTTGGCACACGCCTTCCGTTGCTCAGAAGTGCAGTTTATCGCACGCCTTAAATAATCTGAACACTTTATTCTAAAGTGACCAATATGGCCCAATGTAATTTTTTTATCATAATTCAACTATGAACGAAAGGTGATAATCACGCAGTCGTTTCTATTTGATTTCTACTTGACGAAAAATTTGGCGAATATTCTAATTTGCTTAAAGTTATGGTAAACGTTTTCTGGATGAAAACATCCACTTCTCGATTTCTTCAGATTCTAGTAGCCGGACTTTCAAGGCACACGATGATACCATGTCTAAAACTAACAGAAGTTTTGAAAGTGACGAAAAACTCCTGTAAACGAAGGTTTCCATAATTTTTTTATCAAAGTTTTGAGTTGAGGTCTGAAAATCGCTCGACCTTTTAGGCCGATAATCCTTGCTTTGCAGTTGTGGTCACTTGTCTCATTTGCAATAACTGCAGTGGAATCACGATATAACGAACCCCGGATATAACGAACTTCCCGGTATAACAAACTAAATGCCTGGTCCCTTGGATTTTGCGTAACAAACTCCTTACAAATTCTCTCGGTATAACAAACCCCGGATATAACGAAATCTCGTTATCACGAACCATTTTTAGGTCCCTTCATCATAATTACCCTAGATATAATGAACTTTCATAAATTTTTCATCTGTTATTTTTGTTTATTTATTTTCGGTGTTTATTTATCACTTTCTCTTGGGGAGAAATCATTTTTATAATCGGCAAAACATGCCGATGATACATTTCAAGTACTGGCTGATAGACTCAGACCACGAGATGAAAGTTTGATTGCGTCAGAAATTACTGCAAATGAGTACATTGACACTACTGAATACCTTTTTACATATGAGACATTGGCAATGAGAGACGACAAAACTTTATTGAGAGACCCAGATGGAGAAGCAGAAAAAGACAAATAAGAATGTGAAGTAATTGAAGAAATCATTCAGGCACCAACTAGGAGCGAAGTTATACCAGCTTTGCCAATCTCTTGGTCCCAAGTTATAAAAGGAACATTAAGATTTTCATTTTCAATGACCAGCCAGTTGTATTATTTGAATTCAGATTGGTTTTTTTGAGTTAAATGGTACATGTATGGCTGTACATGTGCACAGAGGTTGGAGATAGCCTAAACAAGCCCACCACAGGTTTTTTAGGCGTGAACTGCGAAAGGACCCCCAAAAAACATTATCTCTCGGTTTAACAAACTCCCGATATACGAAATATTTTCTGGTTCCCTTCAGAGTTTGTTATATTGGGATTCCACTGTAGTTACAACCCCATGTTACATGTAAGGCTTTGTTTATTTAGACAGGCTTATTGATCTTTAAGCTTTAAATGATTTGACCCAGATTACACTGTGGTTTACGAGTGTATCTTGCAAGTGCGATCAGTAAAATCCCGTTTTCTCAGGACTCACAATTCCTCTATATACAGTTTACTTTATGTGCATTTTTCTAATCTGTATGCAAATACAAAACATTTTAGAAACTTTTACTAATAAAATGTGGGCAAAAATGTTCCAAAATTAAGAGACTTTGAATTGTGAGGATTTAGCTACTGTAGCTTTCTTACAAAATATAAACGTGCAATTAACCATTTAATTCGTTCTAACATTAGTCAACAGATAAGCTTTCTTTATGGTGAAGACACAGTTAGAATTCTTAAATTCTGAGAACGATATTGTCAGGAGAAGCAGACCAGAAGGGTTTATAAACTGCAGGATTACATATTAATTAACCTACCTTATTGTTAATATTTTTCTCTTTAATATGTTGGGTTTGATGTTAATAAAGCTTGTTTGATAAAATGTATTGATTGGACTAGCCTTGCTTATGTTTTCTTACGATAAAGTTATGTAGTCTAGTCCTTATACAGCTGACTGTATTATTAAGTACTTTGGTGCAATAGCACACCATTGCACGCCTTGGCACCACAAGGAGTGCGATTCATTGCACACCTGCCATCTTATTCCCAGCATGGCCTGTAGTTTGAATAAAACCATGTTCTATGACTATTAGTGATACAGTATAAATTACTTGCCATAAAGTTAGCCTAATGTAACATACTGTAACACACAGTACAGAATTAAAGAAAAAAAGATATATATTAACAAAATATATATAGATTATAATATCATAAAAACTACACAACAAACCATTAGACATTAAAATTTAAGTTGAATTGAATTTTCCATTAGAATAGATCAGAATTCAATGGTGTTTTGCAACTTACTTTGTGTAATTGTAGGTAAAACCTTAATTCTTCCATATTTCTTTATAATGTATAATTCATCAATGTCCGTTGTCAATATAAGACTGCTTCTTTCAATTAGATCAGTGTATGATGAATGTATCCAGCAGCAGTTCCTTTCAAAGCTTGATGACAGAATCAAAACACATGACAAAGAAATAGAGAGAATGTGTAATTATAATTACCAAGGATTTGTCGAGTCTGTCAATGAACTGATCAAAGTGAGGTCTGATGCAAGGACTTTAAAGGTATGGTCTGACAGAACTCTGTTCTGAATTTGTAACTTATGATTATCATGCAGATGAAAATGTTTAGGATCAGCTTTTTGACCAATCCAATTTGCCATATACCATATTATTAGTGATCAGTTAATGTCAAAGCCTCTTGTCCTGTGATTTGTGTCAATAATTCAATGTAAATGTGGCCTAATTGATCCAAGCAGGAAACAACGTATGGATATAAAAAATAAACTTTGCCAATTATGTTTGTTTTATAAGTTGCTTATGTTCATTCATCAACGTATTGAAAACTTTGTGTAACTGAACATAGGTCCAGGTAAAAAAAGCAGATGATAGAATGCAGAGTTCTGGTGGTGAGGTATGTGAAAAGATTTTATATGTGCAGAAAACATATTTTTAGCTTTGTGTACTGTTCTTAATAATATTCCTACAGTCCTGGTGATATTAGGTGGGCAATCACTAGACACACCTCCACTCAGGCCTAAAACTAAGAGGTGTTCATTTTATCACATTTTATCTATTCTTTGTCTCTTTTGTTTCTTTAAATTTCTTATGTGTGTGTTATATTTGTGCTATTTCCGGGGTACATTATAACTCGTTGAGGCCTCCGTTGAGGCATGGATTGCACGTCATCCATGCCTGAATTTTTCAAGGCTTGCATTACCAGCACCCCAACAAATTTCATATTTCCAAGGACTGTTCCTATTATAACAGATTGTTTTATCTTTAGTCTGCATTTGTATTCCTGTATAAATTTTTTTTTTGGCTGCTTACAGCTGATGTAGTTCATTATTTTGTTCCTAAAATCAATTTTACCAGACAAAAATAGGTTTACAAGAGACCCCCTGGAATTGCACTCCAATTTTGATCAATGTATGGAAAATATGAAGGGCTATCTAACCTGCTGTAGAATTTTGAAAGTTATGCACAAACTATTTAGTGAAATTTCTAGTGCAAAATTCTACCCTAATATAGGAAATGTCCATAAAACATTTTGCATGCCACTACTACCCCTCCCAAAAAGCAAGAACTTTTGGGTGCAGGTGTTAATAATTCATTTACATCCTTTCTAGCTTGTTGCTAAACTGGAACAGCTAGAAAGTTGTCGAGTGGTACAAAAAAATATTGCTGCTACTATAGAGACCCTGAGCCTTTGCTTGCCAGGTACCAATCAATTATGCTTGAAATAATGAATTAATGAAATAAGAAAATGATATTGACAAATGAAATTAAAAGTAAGGCATATTGCAAATTGCAAGCTACCCCACACATAACAACGTATTCTATTAAATGTATTTGAAAAATTTTGCTAGTTACTTTGTTTGCAATCAATATATGTCTGGTAATACTTTCATAGGATCTCACTTCTTGATAGTCTATTGTGTAGGATTTTTTGAAAAATTGGATGAAGATCTTGAAGAATCAAATTTGAGTTTAAATTGTGCTATGGAAAATCATAAGAACTTTGAATGCTGTGAACATGTTTCATCGCCTATTCTTGTTTCACTATTTAAGACTAGAAATTTGATTCCACATTGATTGTTTTTTGGATAGAACTTTTGAAGAATATAAGAATTCCTGATAAATACTGGATTTGTAAACGATTCAACTAAGAAGCATCATTAATTGATAAATTAAATCTCAATATTTTTTATAGTTTTGGAAATGTTTTCAAAGTTGAAGGAGCAAAAAACAAGCAAAAAGTGAGTTTATTTTTTTATTTAGAGTACTCAAAAAGAGTTGCCTTTCAATAATGATATTCATTTGCAAGGGGCTCTTCTATAAAATCTCAAGAAATAAAAGCGAAGTCATTACCTAAACCTAACTGGAATGTATCTTGATATTCTCATATACACAACTTGATGACTAGGCAAAAGAAGGGCACATCCATGGGTACTTAACCTCTTTAGAGAAAGGTTTATAATTAGCAGCACCGAAGATTTCATGTTCTGGTATAAATGATGAATATCTGTCAGGATTTTGATATTATCAGGGTTGCTTTTGCTACCGTCACCCTGTTCTACAGTATATGGATTTGTCTTTTTCTTGTAAACAGAGTCCTGTGAACTGTTAATCCTTCCTCTGGATGATTCCATCAAGCCCTGAAAGCCCTTTCTCGCAGCCTTTCACTTTGGGATCTTTATGTGTAGTACAACACTTCTCATATAATCTAGGTACTACTTGGCTTTGCGAACTCTTGAACAGCTCGAACAAACGTATTTAGCTAGGAGCAAAAAGTAAGTAATTTGCAAATATCTGCTTAAAATTTCACGGAGCTATTTATTTGTTATACTGCTTAATATGTAACTTACCTAGCTAAATACTGCTACACATAGAAGAGTTTTTCTGGTCTTATTCACCCTGATGTCTTTAATGACGACCTATTGAATTTTTAAACCGTTGCAAAACTTTCAGTTTGAATGAAAAAGCCTTTCTCAGCTGCATCGCCGTGTGTTCATATAATCATTATATCCTGTTCTTTCAATAGTTTTAGGTTTACGGAAATAATGAAAAGCCAACTGCCTGCGTTTCGTGAAGGAATCAAACATTCTGCAATGGAAGATCTCATGGTAAGTTTCATCTGTCTTTTAAAATCCTTCGATTATCTGCGAATCTTTCATATTGAATGTTTAAAAAGAATGTTTACATCCTCTCTTTTCTTGGCAAAGTACAGCAAGCTATTTAAGATCAGCCAGAAGATCGAGCGACTTGGTTTTCAAGTCCAATGTAGGCAACTAATACTTGAGTTGAGTTTTCCTGTATCTCTTTATTTTTATGGGGTTTTCTTGTATATCAGTAGGTGTACGGAGGATACTTGACGGTAAGTGAAGACATGGGTAAAGACAGTAAAAAGATTTAATTTGTGACATTGAAAGGAATATAACCTAATGATGATATGATGCCATGGAATTTAAAAAATAAACATGGCCTCCAAATAAATAAAAAATGATTTGATGCCTCCCAGAAATTTCTGCAGTCACTTTCAATCTTAAATCGATTGCCTGGTAGTTCCCTTTTAACATTAGAAGTTCTAGCACTGGCATTTCTTTTGTTCAAAGATAGCTTTACATTTTCACGTTGCATTTTTGAAGTGTCCAGATTTTCTTGTTTTTAGTTGTTCTTGGAAAATGTACGTGCTAAATCTGAGAAGCTCGGGAGCATTGCAATGAGACAGGTGGGTGAAAATGTGAAAGAATGAGAAAACAGCGTTTGTAACTTAACAATCTGCTCTATGAAGTAACACTTTTGTATACATAAAGTTATTTTGTCTATACAATTAAGCCTAAATCTTTGCAACCTGATAGATATCTTCAATCTGCACTGCAATCTGGAATAGGAATCGAGAGTTCCAGAATCAATGTAAAAACCACTTACTATTTTCTCTATTCATGTTGCGTTGAACTTTAATTCCTAATGCTCTTATCAAGTTTCTATTCATTCTCCCTTTTCTGACAGGCACATCAGCAGTACAGTCTGACCTTATTGCACGGTGTAGATGTTAGCACAGATGACGATGAGGTACATATCTTTAACCATCAAATACATAAAAATAGACAAGCAATTTTTTAAATACAGTTTTTATTGTTAATGTATTCCACTTGTATTGTGTTTGTCCATTTTAGAATAAACTCAGTTTTCAACAACCCTCACCTACTACTAGGAATATATTTTGCAAGAAAATCTGTTTCATTATTCGATTTCTTGAAATGGAAAGTCACTATATAATGAAAAATCAATATTTCGAATTTATTAAGCTTTTTTCATATTTTGGACGGATTTTGAAGGTTAAAGAGATGGAATAACAGTCTCGCTTTACGTATACCACATTAAAACTTTTATTAATATAATATCTAAATAACTCTGCACAACCAATCAACTTCAGGTGCTGTTTTTCTGTATAATCTTTCTCTAACGAAACATTGATTCTTTTGATTTTAGGAAGTGGATTTATGTCCAGCTGATCTGGTTGATTTCTCGCCCGTCTACAGATGCCTTCATATCTTCACAGCATTGGTATTCATTTCTAAGTTATGATAATTTATTAGTCATGTTGTTTTTTCAGGATTGTATGTAAGAGAGAAAGATTTATCTTTGTGTCGTTTTTTGTTGCGAGGCTTTATTAGGTATGGAAATGTCTGCTTTTGGTATTTCTTTTCTATTATTGTCCCTTTTCTGTCACAAAAACATAGAAGTATGCAATATTACAAAACTCAGATTTAGTTATTGGCGAGGTGTTTGAAAATGCGTTAAAATTCTTGAGCAAATGGCACAGTACAGGACTTGGGATGCCACGCTCCCTTTATTGCCAAATATTGTCATACGTATCCCTGACTGGTATTCCCCAATGTCTTACACTTCATCGATGTGAACGACTGAGTTAGTGATGCGATGTACTATCATGTGGAAAATGTTCACTCGACTTTCCAATGCTTTTTCAGGGTGAGCGAGAACATTTTGAAAGACATTACAAAAGAGAAAGAAAACAGCAATCTCGACTAGCTTTTGACTGGCAAAGTGCTGGCTCTCATAATATTGTAAGTATGGTATTGAAATTTTAAGCCCATCTAAAAAAAGCAATGATGGTCATATCCATATCCATTTGCAAAAACATCTGGCTTACATATTTCAACATTTTGCAACCAAGGAGTAAGAAAAGGGTTCATCCTTATATGTAGTTAAGGGAATAGCCTTAATGCAGTATGACACAGAAATGGTTTGTGGTGAATGTTCAATAGGAAAATAAGAAAGACAGAAATTGTGTCGAAATACATTCACCCTTTTCTAATCATTTTGTTTATTATATTTGTTTGTTATGATATCTGACGCTTGTTACTTTTACCGCAGCATGAAAGTTTAGACGCCTTCCAATCCTACTTTCACGTCATCGTGGGGTAAGCAACAATAAATTCCTAATTATTACCCCTCAGTTTGCCTGATTTGTGCATTAGAGGGAGCAGTTATAATTGGGAGGGTTCTAATTAACTTCTTCCTACTGAAACAACCCAACATGGTTGCCCTCCAAGTCTTTCTACTTCTGAACGGAATTACTTACAAACATAGAAACAGGAGAGCTAGAATGCGCTAAAAGGTAATAGTAAAAAGGACGAAGACACCCTTACATTCATGTCCTAAGTTTTATATTCAAGAATGACAATGTGAATATCAAAATTTTATCAGATTGATAAAATTCTAATCTTGGTTGAACAGTCCATATGTGATCGATGTCAGAGGTGTAGAGCTAGGGGGCTCAGGGGGCCCTATGTAAATGCCACAAAGGAGCCTACTACTTCTTTTTCCTACTACTCCATCTGAAACTCTGTGTGAGCTTCCTCCTTGTAGTTTTCATAGCAACGTATCTCTGATCTATCTATGTTGTATTCTCAAGCTATGGCGGTAAACAAATTCTACAAAATGTTTTTTTCTAAATCATTTTCCCGAGTCCGCTGCCGGTCTCAAATCAACGAGAACATTTTTATTTCAACAGCTTTTTCTTAGTGGAGGATACGGTCATGACAACAACTCAAGGTGTAGTCACAAGGTATGTCGTTGGTTTGTCTGAAGACCAGATTGTATTTGTCTTTAATATATGTAACGTTCACCAAAAAGACAAAGATAACCAGTATGCATCGTATGCATTGTGTGCAATCATTGAACACTTTTCTGTAGCGATGCTAGTTCTTCCAAACGTGGATCTTTCTGAGATCTTGCTTAAACTATTATTCATAATTTCTAATGCCTCTCTACTTCTTAATGCATCTTTGCCTTGTGTTGCATTTGTTTCTGCGAATTAGTGAGGGAATAATCTTTGGATGAATCTGGTGTTGTCTGATTTTTCAATTTAAAAGGTATTTTTTTATTTCCTGAAGCTGTTTACTTAGGGTTTGTATTTGTATCAAATGGAAGCAAGTGACCATTAAGCATGGCTTGATTGATAATATTTATACGTAATTCGATTGCAGGGGAACTGTGGACGAATTATGGGAACATGCTATTCCAAAGATCAGGTCGGATCTAACTGCCCAGTGTGTAAGTTCGTTTTCTCCAGTTATTGCTATCGCTTTTCGGTCACTATTTGACTTCTAACTGAAGCTGCTTTAGAAGCTATTTTAAAATTTGTCTCGATGCCATTCAAAGTCTTATATGATAGCGGTACTTGGAGCTTATTTGCGCTGGAGGATCTTTTGTATCGGGAAGAACGAGCACTTTGCTGCAGAAATCACATCATTCTCTTTTTTCTTCTCAACACGAAGGAACGGGAGGCAAGTTCAAAATGAAACGTACTCTTCTCTTCTTTCTTTCCTCTACTTTCTCTTTTTCTCTTTTCTATCAGACTCAACACATGAAAATCAATTGAATTTTTTTATTCTATTCCTGTATTTTCGTCTTTTTATGAATCTTATTTGTAACACGATGTACTAATGTTTACATTATTCTAATGTTACAGGCAAATCTAGAAGACCCAGAAATGATGCTAAAAGTAAAGGAACTGGTTGTATGGTTCAGCCACACGCTAGCTGTGAGTGCGATCTATCGTTATTCTTGATTGTCATCTATAAACGCTCTGTTTTCAGGGACTATTTTTTGGAGGATTCATCCCAATTTTGTCACTAACAATTTTCCACATACTAGTTGGCTGAAGTCAAAATCAAATACTTCAGTCTTACAAAGAAGTGTTCTGTGAACTCGAAATTTATCTTTACACGAGAATCAAAGTATCAACAAAAATTTGCTCCACTTCTTGAGGGGTATTCAACACGCTTTTCTACAGTTTTGTTTCATTGTTTGGCTTTTTCGACAGGGGTACGGGTTCAGCGTCACTGCATTGTATGATCTTTTGACCAAAATGAGGTTTGTTTTGTTTTAGTTCTTTCCTTACTCTAATGAGAATCGCAGATTAAATTGGAAACTGAATTTGTCAAATGCTTGAGGTCTCCAACAATCGCTTGCTATCTGCTAGATGTTTGGGGGCTTACTGCTAGGACAGAGAAATGAACTCGAAAGTGGACATCTCGGGGGCGTGGAGGGGGGAGCGGTCGCCTCCAGTATTTTGGAAAATAATGGTTTTTTGTTCTAAAAAAAGTGGGAAAATATGAGGTCATTTTATCAAAACAATGATCTTGCCTTCTCCCCCGCCTCCCCCGGCCAATATCTGCCACTGAATTAACCAGTCAATCCTGTGATAATGATACCGGCCCACTTTCCTTTCAAGTATCAAACAATTTTCATGAGAGATGACATTCTAATAAATTCATAAATTCATAGACTGCAAATATATTTGATTATAGGGACCAATACAATGAAGTTCTAGCAAAGAAGTGGACGAAAGGTTTCAGGTAAATGGATGTATTTATCATTCGGTACAAATTACAGAAATTTGAGATAAGCAGTATGCATTGCAGGATTCAATTCTCCTATCAAGATATTTCCCATCTGTATATAGGCTTAATGGTCCTCTTATCGTTTTTGATCTATCCATTATCTTCAACGCTGAAGCAAGCTAAAGCATCATTTTTGGTGTGTGTACTTCACAATGCTGCTGCTGACATGTTTTTTCTATTGTCGTAGACATATAGAGTGTAGATAAATACAGTTAGACATATAGATTTCCTAGCGAACAATATTGTTTAGAAGACAACTCAAGAATGCCTCTTTAAAGATTTTTAGGCCAAAACATCTCGGTTCCAAAAATAGACATTGCATTAACATTTCCTTTTTTCCTACCAGCTACTAGTATGCAATTCCTTTTTCCAGTATAGATAATTACGGTTCCACCTTTGTAGGGTAACCCGTCCCCTTCCCCATCTGTTCTTGTAAGTTTGAGTTTTACCGTTCATTGAATCTAGTGATTAGTGAATCTAGTGAATACCGTTCATTGAATCTAGTGAACTTGGTTCAACTGATAACTACACGTCACTGTACATCGCAAATGAGGAGGAGCTTAGCATTCTTGAAGAATTCCCCAAACACTTATGTCCTTCGAAGGTGAGCGATCCGTTAATAGACAACTATGCATTTATATAGAGTTTTATCGGTAAAACATTGTTGCTCTTGAAATGTAATAATTTCTCAAGTATGCAAATGACTTTTAATGACGATGCTTGAGTTTTCAAGCAAGATAATTACCCCTTGTCTGTTCCTCTGTGCTGGGAGGATCATTTGATGTGTGTAAAGGTTATTGTTTAGCAACTAGTGTTGATCCTTGCCAATCTGATTGCCACAGGTGGCCAAGTACAGTCGAACAACGGTAAGATTGAGACTACCTATTATTGCTTTTAAAGACCCCTTTTGCACATAAGTGGCTTATTAGATCTCCGTTTAGGCCATGAAATCTTGAAACAGCCCTAGATCATATTTGGTAGAAGCATTTTTTCAGGAAGCACTTCCATTCTCTTTAGATTCGCACAAATTCTCTTTTATTTGCCTTTCTCTTTTATCGCTTACAAGCAATAATATATTAGTTGCGTTTTATTTTATTGTGTTTATTTTTGTTGTTTGTTTTCACTCATTTATCTACTTGGTCGCAAGTATTCTTCTGGAGTCCGGCGAGCAGTTTTGCTGTCGTGGCCTATCCATTCTTTTCAAAATAATATAGAGTTTGTAGACCTTGCCAACCTTATGTTTTTTCCGGCACTTTGCATTTAAGCGTATTACATATTTGTTTTTTCTCGCGGAATATTAGAAATCCCACCGTTATTATGAAGTGCACATGGTATTCACTGGCTAAAATCCGAATCTGTATACTGTCACCTGACAACAGATCCTTCCCAACCATAGATGTGACGTCGGTTCTATTTAACTAGCCTCCCTTGTATTTTGCCATAAACCTCCTTTATTCTCCACATATTTAACACTTTGCATTCTAGGATGGTTTTCCCAAGATGTATCCATTTTCAGCCTACGTACCAAAAGCATTCAAGCAGGCATGTTTTTTTGTGTTTTTAATGTCATCTTGCCTTCATTTGATTACATCTTTTTAAAAATTTATCATGATGGAATCAAGGAAAAACTTGTTGTCGACTTAAAGGAATTCAATTTTGTTGAATCGTTTGCTTATAAATCTAGCATAAAATTTTAACTACCCAGTGATAGCTTCACACACCGTTAAAAACCTGACTGCGCTATTAACTTTTATTAACTTTCTCAGACATCTTGCATAAATATTTGTCCAGTTCATGTATTTTGGTCAATTAAGACAAAAGTTACTGATTTGATATAACCCTCTCAATTTAGGTGAAAGAGTATATTTTAGCTTCTACAAGGTTCAATGAAAACCTCAATATTAGGTATGTGTGTGTTTTCCTCCCTTTAGATTGTTAGTAATTGGCTTTCGCCTCGTGCTTATTATGAATCTTGCATGTCAAAGCAACAGCTCTTAAAAGGGAAGAATTTTGATTGTTAAAAGCGTCGGAGGCTTGCAAAAACAAGTATAAACAGGCTCTTTATATTATCTAGTACACCTTCGACTCTGGAGGGCCCTCCAGTCTGTGCCCTAGCCCTCTAGTCAAAAACATTAACCGTGAAAAATTGGATTTTAGATTATTCTTTTAGTCTAGGTGATTCAAAACAGTATCAAAAAAGCTAGAGGCTTTTATTTGTTACCTACAACGATATTCTTTTTTATGTAATCAGAGAAGATCAATAAACTGTTAGGATGAAAATAAAACATCAACCCAAACATTTTTGGCTATCTTCAATAACAAATCTACTTTTGCAGCCGCACAGAGATTGATCAAGCTATTAGAAAGTCCACCAACTTCTTGCTAACGAACGTTCTTAGTGGCAAGTATTGTTTTTCAATGACTTATAGTCCTGTGTGTTGAGCTTTTAAGAAACATTAAAATTGATAACTCCAGGTATCGTGTTAAGAATAAGTCCTTGACAGATGATTCGAAGCAAAACCATCCATGCGCAGCTTTTCTTTTTTTCTTTTTTCAATTTAATGTTTTATTTTTCCTACTTTTTGCTTCTTGTTTCATGTATTTTATTTAGGGTTTCGCAGTTATTCTATTCAGTGGTTTAATACTCTGTGCATTTAATTGCCTATTTTTTTGTCGTTTGGATTATGGTGGCTTTTAGACAGCTTTCTCTTTGTCTTTAACAATATAAGCCACATTTGATTCAATTGACAAAACCACTGTGTTGGTTTAAATTTTGTCAACAGCGAACTTGTTGTTATCTCCAGGCTCACTGAAAACTTTGATAGCACATCCTGCCTTGAATCTTGCGCAGGTATGTTTTTTTAATTGCAATAAATCTTCAAGTGTAGATTTCTAAAGATATTCCTATAAAGAGTTCAGCATTCTTTTTCTATAACTGAAGAGTTTTTGCTGTCAAACCAACATTTCTATGGGAGTATTTTTCCCCACTGCCATTTTACTTTTGAGTTTTTTGTTTAATGAATAGATTTCTGCATAGATTTTTGTGTCTCGATATATTTGATTTGATATGAGATATGCTGTTGCATACTCCAGGTCCAATTTCAAAATCTTTTGCTAACAGCTGGGTTTCATTTTGTGTAGCTTGTCCAGATATCTGTTAATACAATGCATCTAGAAAAGGCTTGTCCTGAACTGGAAAAGTTTATCTCAAGTGTAACTGGGTGAGTTGCAAAATTCAAAGGATTGAGTTGTCCTTTTAGGCACATGACATAACTTTGCACTTCAAGAATTTTTACCTCAGTCTAAGCGTTTACTTTGCTTTTTCCTTTTTTCTTTAGCCCTGGGATTGCTCTATATATACCTTTTGGTTTATTTATCCATGAAGTTTCTAGCTTGCTTCTCCAAGTTCCGCGCTTTAAACGATCACCCTGTTCTTTGATTATAAAACCCCATCTATATCTTTTTATGCAGCACTACAAAAGGCAGGTTAGCATTAATGTCATATAGTTTGTGCCAGAGACTTATATTGTTCCACTGTCACAACTTTGAACGACAAGCTAATCTGGGGGTATTCCTAGCCCCCATCCCCTTCCATCTGATTATGAAAATTATGTCACTGGAATGTACGTTCGGCTTTAGCCAACAGTAGTGAATGGAAATCTACACAATCTCATATCTTATTGCCTCATTTTAAGAGAAACGCCCTGCCTAACAGGAGCACCCTTCAACGTACGAGTCTTTGCTTTTTTATAGTGCTACTGAAGAGAGCGTCAGTGTTACGAAATTATATGGCAGCTCAACCTTCAAGGTCTGTCTCATTTTCTTAAAATTCTGTCACATCACTCTCAAAAATGATGTATATTATTTTAAAAACTCCCTTAAAAGCCTAGCCTGCACTGAATTTTACATGAACTGTTTACGATGATATCTGCTATACCTGCATTGTATAGAAGCACTGTCAAATCGCATTTGATTTCAGTATAACTTTATATTATGAAATATAAAACTGTACATTTTCAATCGTTCAATTTGTTGTTTATTTTTAGGACGTTCGAGCGGAAGCCGAGCAACGGATTTTTGAAAAACTTAATTCGAAAATGGATGAATTCTTTGGACTCTGTAAGGAGATTTTTTTTTCGTAGATAGTTGAAAGTTCCTCAAATTCACTGCCCTTTCAACTAGCACATCACAAGTCTTGTCAATGAAAAGCTGTGATAACCCTACTAAGAACACTTACTGTTTTTTGTTAAGCTTAAATTGTAACATTCCAGTCGCCAAGATATTTTGTACTCCTCACATGGAAATGTAAAACTACAATATGATTTTTAAAATCAAAGTTATAATAAGAAATATTTTATTTTTTACAGCAAATTACAACTGGATGCCGACTTCACAGCGCTCACATCCCAGCGAATACCTCGTCGATCTAATTGCATACTTACAAGGTGCCTTTATCACCTTTGAAAGTCTTCCGGTAAGTTCTTTAAATCGAATTTAATTGAATGCATTTTATGAGCTGTGAGGTAAAGGATACTTTGGGATCTTTCAATGTAACGGATGTCAATTTTTAATAGCAGATCCAATACCGTTTTCGCTTCGCATTCTTGTTGAGAAAAACCTCCAATCTCGCTGGTTTCAGGATAGAGAACCCAAGAGCAGAAATATGAATCCAAAGAAAAGACAACACTTCGCTTTACATCTCCGTCTTTTTCCAAATATCTTAAACGACTTCGACGACCACTGCGTCGACCGCTACTTTTTCTAATAAATTTGCGGAATATTTACGTTTACTTACGTTGCTAATTAGTTTTGAGTCACGAACATTTAATTATAACTACCAATCAACTTGCTTATATCTTAGTTAGGAGTTTATTCTGGTAAAGCATAATAACTTAATCAGCCAGCGTGGTATAACTATTTCTTATAACCTCGGATGGATTCAGCTTAAAGCGAGGTTTTGACGCAAATGCTACACTAAAACAACAACAACAAAATTCTTACATGACTAACAAAGAACTCGATGAAATCAATGAACCAACTGTTAAAATACACGTGCTTGATGCAAAATGGCGGATTCCCAACAATTCTCAAGAAACATAACATATTGGATGATTACAATGAAAAAGTCATCGAAGTGTGGAACAGGCCGAAATTAAGTCCATCCGGAGCTCATTCTAAGAAAGAAATCTAGTTCCACCCATAGGTTTTTTCTATGGCAAGAAAACAATCGATAGGGTTTAATTGAACATTATTTGTGTGTTTTTACAGGGAGACGTTGCAAAAACTGCCTGTATGTCATCGTGCAAGCATCTGGCAACCAAGTTGAAAGATTTTCTCTTGACGGATGAGGTACGTTAGCTATGGTCTTCGTCAGCTAAGCGGAATTTCGATCACTTCCAATTAGATGCTTTGTTTACAATATTTTATAGTCAGTCTGGTTTGGTTGTTAGCAACTTTCTTGAAAGCACCCCCAGGCTGTGGAGGGACAGCGCTACGTGAGTTTTAGGCCACCATGAAAATATACGTTAAGCAAAATCAACCAGAGTTGAGCATTCACTAAGATATTACCGTTCAAAATATTCCAATAATCAGATGTCAGACTTCTTTTTATCTTCGGGGGGGGGGGGCTTAGGCCCATTCTTTTCCTTTCCTTAAAAACTATCTTACTTTGTTCTGTTTTCATTTCAGTCAGTTATCATTGATTTAAAAGCCTTTTGGCAATTTGATTTGAAACCCTTTGAATAAGAATCGGAATGAAAATGAAAAATTTCTTTGATATCTTGATTTTACTATTCATATATTCATCTCTAATGTTTATGCCATTTATTTTTATATCCAATTGAATTCGTACATTAAAGGTTAGTCTAACTTACACTATCTGTGATGGTTAAACCTTGAAACCGATTGCTGTTTTATTTTTGCACGTGTTGTTCATTTATTGTAAAAGGAAGTAATTTTTTTCTACAGGTAAAACAGATGAGCCTTAATGGCTTGAAAGCATTTAATCTCGACTTAAAGCATTGCGAAGGCATGTATAGATTTGTGCTTAAGGATTGGATATTTTTGTCACATGTTTAGAATCCCCAGGCAAAATAGAGCCTTTTTGTAAAATTATAGTCGTGTGAATGGTAACAATGTAAGACGTTCCACGTCAAAAAACGACTATAGTATTTGACCTAACGGAAAGCTTGTCGTTTGAAGGATAGCTGTTATATGATTTAGTCTTTTTATGGTGTCATATTCAATGAGAGATTCATGATTTTTATATGGTATATTTATGTTTTATAACGAGCTTGGCAATCTTTGCAAGTGGCGTCGATGTATTCCTTTGTGTTGTTTCGTTGTTTCTTTGCTAGCTTCTTTTCTAAATCATTTGGCTTCATCGATGTCAAAATAAAAATGTTTTTTTGAATGACTTGCAGACTTCGTTTCCTCAAAGCCAGTTGAAGGATTTGAAGAGGGAATGCTTGAGATGACCTTTGTTGAGCTGAGACAGGTAGCGAACGCATCACCTTTATACGTCATGTTTGAAACTTGTGATTCAACGATATTCTTGTTGCGTTTTTAAATTACTCCAACTAGCTTTACTTTTGCATCAGAAACTATTTTGCATAGAATGATTATCCGCGATAGAGATTTTATCAATAAAGCAGCCTTCGTTGGATTAGCACCAAATTTCTTATACCTTCCCTGTGATTTAAGACTTACGTAAAGTCATATTAAGAGATTGATAGTATTTTCAAGCCTACCTTAGAAATTGATAAACAAGCAAGCAAGCAGACGCGCCAATAAACAAAACAAGCAAAGATATTTTCAGTACAGATGGGTTAAAAGCGCTTAATTGTGTAAAGCAGGACGGTTCTTAGCTGCAACTCCAAGTTTTAGTCTTGATGCAATTATAATGCAGCAGTTTACGGATAACTAGAAAGCTTGACCTTTACATGGTCATGCACTTCATTAAGGACAGCCAGGTAAACAGTAATTTTCATTAGGGTTTCCATTTTAAAGAGATTTACAGATTTAAATTCACAGATTTTCGCAACTCATTTAAGCAACAAACACCAATAAATTTAAGATAGTCAGTTCCTGATCCAGATCGGTTTGCAGTATAATGAACATCGCATTACAAATCATTATGCTACCCTTTGAAAGCCCTTAGAATCCAGGGCAGAGACTGGATTTTTGGAGAGTAGAATCATGCTCTACAAATACATGTCCTTATTTAAGCATTTGTATATCCTTCAGATTGTAAACCTTCTGCTAGATGGAGACTGGAATACATTCTGTACAGAATACACCGAGTCAAAAGAGACTGGTAATCGAAAATATGGAAGAGTTACCCCAGGACTGGCTGCAAAGCTGTATGAGAAGTACGTCTTATGTGTTTGCCGTTTTACTCATCACCAATATTTGCCGATTTCGTTTCTGGCCTGTTTTGGATGCAATGAGTCTTTTTTGATTTTCTTGATATATTTTTTTAGTACTCAGGATAGAGCCCTAATGAAGTGGCTGTCATACGGCTGACTGGTAAATGACTGTGCGGAAGGTCCTTTTTGTTAAGACACCCATACTCCGCTCTGCTTCATTCATTTTTGGGGGTAATGGGGATGATTTGAGTGTTCCAGCTCATTGTCGTCAGGAAGTTTGATTATTTTCGGGGAATCTTCACTTGAGCACATGCTGATACTTAAAGACTCATTGCTAACAATGAGCCTTTGCGAGCGTGACAAATTGTCCTGATGACGACCCATGCAATGGCAGTAAACTTCTACAGATTAACCAGAATTGATCTCAGACTGTCTGAAAATGCATTGTTAGCAATGAGTCTTTAATCAAGTGCAAGGATTCTTTTTGTAAAGTACAAGCTCCTAAACCATCTATTGCTCATGCTCACTGATTGAGCGTTTGAATAGGAGCAATTATTTGAATATTTGAATCTTCCTATAGCTCATGTCGATCAAAATACTTTTCTGTTCAGTTCAATACTAATGAAGTTCAATTTATAATTAATCTCTTTAGAATTACCGACACCAAAAAGGGAATTGCAGTGAAGAAAACCGATCGGGATAAAAAGAAGACGAAAGAAAATATTCTAAAGAGACTGCGAGAGCTTGACGCTGAAGGACGTTTGTAAATTATAAAATATGCTAATATGAAATTGAATTTGTAAAATTATGATTCCAAAGCGTTTGGGCGATCCTTGAAAGTCTATAACTGCAATTTTAAACTGTTTGGGAATGACTTTGAAGAAACTCACCTCCCTATTCACCTGTTTTTGCGATTGTGTTTTATTGTGCGATCATTTTGGCATTAAGAGAACGAAGATTACAGCCTTTCTGTTTTACAAGCTTTACGAGAAAAAAAAATTTTCAGTCTGCTTTTGAAAATTATAACATCCTTATAAAGACTGCACATAATTAGTTGCATTAAAGTTTTATTTTATATTAATTCCAAGTGAACTATCTTCATCAAAATTCTTAAATTCAGTTTTACGAATATTATTTTTGCTCTGATAATTAATGATATAATGCTCTAGAATTAATTGTAAATTTAATTTTTGTATTCAAATGATTTGAAAATCGTTCTATCAAAGATGTATTTTTATTATGTTTTGCTTTACCTATCAACGCAACAAACACTTGCTCGCATTTCCTAAGGTTGCTTTCGAAGCATAGTTTGGTTTCTAAAAAAGACTTTCCTAGATATATAGACTTTTGGAACAGAAAGGGGAGGACTCATGCTATTCTACGCGAAAAAATTTTCGATTAAAGAGGAGGCTGGCGTGGGAATGCGCGGAAACCATCCCTACATGCCACGATAATTTACAAGACAAAAATTTACATCAGAAAAGGAATCAAATTGTCGAGTTAAGCGATAAAATATGAAATTGCTAGAGACATACATTACAATACAAAATTCGCTGAAAAATTCATATTCATATTTTGAAAACCCCTCTTGATCATGCGCTAAGTGTCCATTCAACCTGCCCTTTTAATCGCTCAACGCAACACCTTTCAGGTAGAGGTAGGTTCTTGGAATTCAATCTCGGCTTTCAAACGAAGTCTTGCTGAAAAATATTAATTTACCAAATTTGCAAATTAATAAATATTTGAGAACCATTCGATAAAGGAGTTACCGTTCATTGCAAAACAGTTTTAAAGCTGGGAAACATCGTTTGCGAAAGAACTTTTGATTTCAAAGATGTCTTCAGTCTACCTGCAGCTTGCTATTTACGCCTCTAAGTAACAAATTTCTTATGGCTGACTAAACCCTCGTCGCGTTTCACAGGTAGCTTTTTGCGATTCCTTTTTTTTTCATTGGAAACCCTGCTTTTGTGAAATATAAAAGCTTCTTTCCCGCGGAGTCCTTTATAACCAGGTTAGTTTTATCACTGTTTTTAACCTTATGGACATTTTCGCCTCGTCTATGTAGGATATTTTTCAATTTAATCTAATTTGAACGACAAGACGTTATTGATATGTTTATCGATGTTGCTGATGATCTCTAGGCCTAAATATATCTTTTGATTTCTGCTATGTGATCTCAAGGTGCAAGGCATTGTGTTCTATTACGTCATTCTGGAATTATTTTTGTATTTCACCTAGCGCCATTATTACAATCTAAGGAAGTGCATTTAATTTATTTTGCTAGTCGTTAAAAATGGAATACTAACAATTAACACATATAACTGAAGTGATTATAAATTTCCAGTCATGTTGCTCATGATAACATTAGATTTGTCGACTGTAGCGATTAATACTATCATTAATTCAAGGTCCTCTTGAGACAGACGTCCCGGAACCTATTTCCTAGACTGATTTTCAAAGAGAAAGGAGTTTCCTGAAATTTCATTTTAGTCAAGGGTTTTTATACAGAAGATGGCAGCTGGGATGCCGAAGGTAGTGATGGTGACAGGAGGCAGTGGTCTTGTTGGTTATGCTTTGCAGCAAATAGTAAAGAAAGAAAACAGGACTGACGAGACATGGGTGTTTCTTAGCTCAAATGATGGTGATCTTACGTAAGCTCGTTAGAATCTTGTTGAAAACTTTGAGATTATAATTTTCATCGTCCATGGAAAACAGAAATTTTTTGGTGGTATGAAATTCAAAAATTGGTTTTAGTAGGTTTTAGAATGTTTGCTTTTTTCAAAGCCATATTTTTAAGAAAGGAATTATTCATAATTTTCATAGAATTTAGAAAAAAAATGAAACCAAACAAGGCTCGGTAAGCTCGCCTTATTTAGATGATCAAAATTTTATCCGTTACGATTGGGAATTTTTTCGTTTTAAAGAAAGCAAGATGATGTACGAAAAATATTCGAAAGGCATCAACCGACACACGTTATTCACTTGGCGGCTATGGTTGGAGGACTTTTCAAAAACATGGCTAGAAACCTAGATTTCTTCGTGAGTAAAATCTCATTATTGACTGTGCTTATGCAAAGCTATAGAACCTCTTTTGTATGTAGCCTCCTTAACCTCCTTCGCAGATAACCAGTGATTACCCTGAGAAAGCAGGACCATATGATTCCATTTTTGACTGCTGCTTTACATAAATTCTTCATTCATCGCTTTCTCTGTTTCTTCCTTTTGGTGTCACTGTCCTTTTTATTCTGTTCTATTCTCTGTATTGTCCTGCTCAGCATACCTGCTCCCTTTCTAGTCCAGTTTTCTTTCTGCATTACTTGATCCATATCCTCGTTGCCACCAATTTCAATCTTGTTTTTTTTCAAATTTACATTTCTCATCATCTATGATTAGGTTTTCTTTTTCCCCTTTGTGTCCTTGTTTTTTTTTCTATCTGAAATGTTTAAATGACAGTCACCATGGAGCAGAAGCTTTAGCCCCCCCCCCACCCCCCACGTTATGCAAAATGCCAAACATGCAAAATATCAAAAAATGAGTCACCAGTAAAGCCTCTTTTTATTAGGTCTTTTGCCCCCTCCCCCCACCCCTTTTAGACCCCTCACTTTTTCAGCTCTCCACGCTGCCTGATTAGTCGTCCTGTGGTTCTTTCTTAGTAATGTTGAAGCATTTTTCATTAATTAATAATGCGTTTACGTGGACAAATTCTTTAGTGTCTCCTAACAGATGTCCTTTTATTCAGCTTCATCACATTTGCTTCTTCTTGTTTACTTTCACTTATGGACATTTCAATTCAATTTTAGCGAGTGAACAGTCTTATGAATGATAACGTGTTGAATCTTTGTTTTGAAACCAAGGTTTGTTGTTATTTTCCTGTACTATACGCCCGTATAATTTTATTGGTACTAGCTACAGAATACCAATTCCTAACGACGTCACATAACGTCCTTATCCTAACAGCAGAGAGGTACTTTGCAGGGTTACTGTTAGAAGCTACGGGGGGCTTATTACTGGTCCCCTAGAGCTAAACCATATGCAATATGCAAAAAACAGAGCAAATAGCAAAGAGCAAAGAGAGGAACACATTTGGATTGCTAACATTTTTGAAAACATTAGATGATAATAAGCCCCCTGTACACCCCGTCGTTAAGTGGTAACATGTCTGTTGCTAAAAAGAAATCATGCCTGAGTCCAATTTAAAGCAAGTGAATGTTCTGGAATTATGGTAGAACTTTACGTCTCTAAGAAATCATTAATATTTCAAGAAAAATAATAAGTAGCTCTTGTTTTTAACTGGAGCCTGTTTCTAGAATTCAGTTAATTATTTTCCTTAAGATAAGAGTTTTTGCATTGCAATCCGTTGTGAAGTTGTATAGAGTTTTCATATAAAACCTAGACGGTAACTCGTGTAACTGTTACTACGCTGTAACTGTGAGTTTTAAGCCTAAAATCTTTCAAAAGTATGAAATCTGATCGACCTATGCTGTTTGGATATAATCGTGTTCATAGTTGCTGCTTCCTGCCTGTTTTTAGGTACAAAAATGCATTTCCTGTTTATCAACATGTATTTTCCCAGACGAAACAACATTTCCCATTTCTGAAAGCATGGTACACGATGGTCCACCCCACAAATCTAACTTTGGATATTCTTACGCGAAAAGGATGCTTGATATACAAAACAGGTTAGTTTGACAAAACCGAGAGAAATATACTGTACTTTTCTATATTGTACTTTTTTATATTGTACTTTTCTATATTGTAAATATTGTACTTTTCCGCACATTTCCAATACTTTGAAGGAAAATTGAAAGATATGTGGGGCACCATTTGGACCCTTTGCCTCCCCCCTCTGTAATCTCATCCTCAGCACGCTACTGTCGACTTCCTTGCTGATACTCTTACACCCATTCAAATCTATATGCTGCCGTTATATTGCTAAGTACCCACAATAGTTTTAACACCACTTCTTCTACACAGGGCTTATTTTGAGCAATACGGATGCCGCTTTACAAGTATCATTCCATGCAATATATTTGGTCCAAATGACAATTATAACTTGGAAGACAGTCATGTTATTCCTGGATTGATACACAAGACATATTTAGCTAAAGGTTAGACATATTTGCTACAATTCCAGTTAATTACCTAAAGCCGAGCACTCGCTAACGCTTTTTTGTCTTATCTGATTGATGCCGTCCAACACGGCCTGGAAGAGATTCATTGTGTTTTCGACATTGGTGGATATCTCACGCTTTATGATCATGATTGTCCAAAACACAATAGAAGACGTCCCACAATTAATCGCTTTTACTTAAAAACCTCGAGCTGAAATTTTCTATGTGCGAATTCTCCGTTCCGGGTTGACGTCATTGATTTTGTATCTCGCCATCCATGGATCTTTCTCAAAAATGGACTTCAGAATTGAAATCTTCATCTTTGAATTAGTTTATACTGAAAACTTCATCTGTTTGGACCGTTCGGTGGCGAGTTCCTTTGTTTTGAATATTTAGATATTTCTTTAGATTTGACCGGAATTTGCTGCTGCAGTGAAAAAATTTCACTTGAGTCAGCTTGGGCTGAGTGGGCCCGGGTTGAGTCAGCCCGGGCTGAGTGGGCTCGGTTTGAGTCAGCCCGGGCTGAGTGGGCCCGGGTTGAGTCAGCCCGGGCTGAGTGGGACCGGACTGAGTCAGCCTTAGCTGAATGGGCCCGGGTTGAGTCAGCCAGGGCTGAGTGGGCCCGGGTTGAGTCAGCCCAGGCTGAGTGGGCCCGGTTTGAGTCAGCCCGGGTTGAGTGGGTACTATCATACTTTATCTTATTCACACACTTAATGATTTGCATCGATAGAATTTGCGATATAAAATGAAAATATTCAGCAAGAGGATCAGCCATTTTTTCCGCGCGCTTTTAAATATTCACTCGTCCCGCTTTGTTTCTGCCCAATCACCACTAAATTTGCATATTCTAAGGGTACCTATGTTAAATAAAAGCTATTCAGCATGAAATTATCTTTCAAAAGATGTAAATACTATGTGGTTTTAACAACATTTAAATTTTGAACCACTACTGATCAGTGCGCCATTATAGTATTTGCCCAAATAAGGAATTCCCAATGTCCAATTGATGGGGTTTTTTCTGGTCATTTCCAACTTAGTATAGAACATCTGTGCCAAATTACAGCTTTATATTATTTTTATCCGGGTTAGACCGTTTTTATATCTAATTCCACTACACTAATTGTTGACGATGCATTAAAACTTCGGTTCGGTGAAATATTTCCGAATTAAGGGTTCCCTCATTCTAAAAAAAGACAAATACACTTGCAGAAATATCCAGTTTCCTGAATAAAAAGTCATATATGAAATTGTCTAGTGTAGTCCTGAAAATTTGAGAAAGGTAACGAAATTGGAAAATAAAGAAATTCATAAAAAATTTACTGTGCTCCGGTCATTATTCGACGTTTATACTCTGAAGAGTCGGACAAAAAGTGCGTCGATATGCAATATTTCCTCTATTTCATGCCATCTTCAAATTATTGACATTATTGTTTCGATGAAAAAACGATTTTTGACTAGTTTGCTAAAAAAATCATTTTGCCATTGAAATTGAAGCTTTCACCCATCGTCTCTGTTTCTTCATCTTCTTTTAAACTTTTCGAGAAGAACTTTAAACATCGGATAATATTTTACAAGGTTATTGACAATGCAAATCTATTGAAATTTCTCTTTTGATCCATCAACTCAATTTTTTATTTTAAGAGTCTGGTAGTCCTCTTGTCGTATGTGGAACTGGCAAACCAAGAAGGCAGTTTATTTATTCTCTGGTATGTTGTAATAAGTAGAGACATTGCTCTTGTCTTACTTGAGAAGTTGCTTAGTAGTGCTAAACAGATAAGCTTTGGTTTTTGAGGCAGACAAATTAAATTTTCATTTTGTCATCTCCTAAAGGATAAATAAAAGAAAAATGATACAATGTTTCAATTTTGTAAATAAAAAATGATGTTGGCAAAAAATCAAGCTATTGAGAATGTTTTTCAAATTCTTATACGTCTTTTGCAAACTTGTGATTAATTAGTTATAGATATAACAAATTTTTTCAGCCTACTGGCTATTGGTTTCTACACCTTTATTTAAAAGATAAACAAGATCCTATTCGAATTTGTGCGCAGACTTTTTTGTCCTTCTGCTTGAACATCCAGGGTTTACTTCGAGGCATTGTTAATGAAAAATTCCGTGGAAACAAATTTGAACATCTATAACTTCGTTGAAGGTATTTTTGATTTCACTGGCATACGTTTACAAATTATAGAAGGTTATAGAATGCTTATTCAGAATGATATTTTTGTTGCATATTCATTTCATTCTTTCAAGGATCTGGCGCGCTTGATTATGCTAGTTTTGAGAGAGTATGAAGAGATTGAGCCAATAATACTATCAAGTAAGTATTTGCTATCATGCTAGCTGACTATTTGAGCTTTTAGAAAGATGTAAAGAGATTGATGACTAATGAGCCCTAAGTTACATAAAATCTTTATGGCCATGTCATGTTTATAAAACAAATGTTTAGCAGCAAAATGCTTTGTTTTGTACTAGGTAATAATGTAACAGTTTGACAATTTTGTACTATATTTGCTCTTTGTGCAATAGGAAGCCTGTTGATTGCGATTATTGACCGAGAGTGGACTGTCACAAAAATGCATCATCTGGGAAAAACAGAAAGTAGTTTTTTCAGATTAAAATTATATTTTTTTTGAAATCACAAGTGATTAGAGACTAGTGATTAGAGTTTTCAAAACTACTTTAGCATGAAGCATGATAATTGAATAGCACAATTTTCCTTCAAGCATTGCTAATTTGATTATGCCGGATAGACAGATTTGTTCACAACCAAAATATTCTACTTTGATTTCTAATAGACATTTAATGCTAAGAATGCTCTGTTGGGGGTAATTATTGGCCACCATTTTTAGGGCTTCACTTTTATTCCGTCCGACTTTATAACTCAGAATCCAAATTATAGCTTTAATGCGTTGTACCATGTAATAGGTTAAGGTAACATGGTAACAAACAATTTAATATCAAGTTTCACGTTGATAATCTTGCTTATTTAAATCATTATTAATTTGTAATATTTTCTATTTCTCGTTCTGGAGTGAGGGGTCCTACAATTAAAATAGCCTCTCATTTTTATCATTGCAATTGATAAAGTTGGGACAAGGGCCTGTTTGAATTGCTTGAATTTTTACAGTGGATGAAACCAACGAAATATCCATACACGAAGTAGCAACTATGATTACGGATGCGATGGGGTTCAGCAATGGATTGCAGGTGAACAGTGATTTATTAGTTTTTCTGTTCATCATTAAAGTTGACATACACCATTAAACATACCTTTGCTGGCAACATCCCTGGGCGTAGGGGTGAGGGGGGCACCCGGGTGTACAAGAGCATTCTAATCATAAGCCCCGAAATGCTTTGCCTGGTGGATTGGCAGACGAGCTAGCAAGGAATCAAAATTACGAAACACAACAATATACACAATATTTCTATACCTATAAACCATTTTAGTATATACATATACGGACACACTCCATTCTATTTGGGCACAATACTCTAACAACAAACTGGGCCCTAGGTCTTTTAACGGCACAAAATTGTATGGGAGCACCCAGTGTGGTCTGGTGGGGTTGCCCTTACACTGTTTTCTCTCAGTTTTTTGAGAAGCCGTGCTTGTTATTTTTGTATGGTTTCAATTCTGATCTTTGATACGCTTTAGATGAGATGATAATTATTGAATTCTCTTTTCAGTTCAACACGTCAAGACCTGATGGTCAATATAGAAAAACAGCAAGTAACTCAAAGTTACGAAAATACTGGCCTCATTTCGAGTTCACTCCAATAGATCAAGGTACGTCTACAAAATGTCTCTGAAACATTGATCGTTTTGGCAAGGGTGTAATGTTTGATCGTTTTGGCAAGGGTGTAATGTAAGACCGAGAGCTTTCAATTTATCACTAAATGTCAAAATGTTTGGGAAGATGATTTGGGAAAATTTTCTGAATTTTTTGCACTTCTCAGGTTACTTTTAGAAATTTATGTTTGTTTTGGCATCGGAGCTAAATTGCCCCATTCCCTCTCCATAACCTTAACCTTCTGATGTTTTTGACAGTTTTCTCAAAGAATTTGCGTAAGTCAGTAATAGAACATAGAACTTTTTTCTGCACTAAGGTAAGCGGGCAATTTACAAAACCAAAGAGAGAAAAGCATAAAATCCTTTTTCCATGATTCCTAAAAATAACGATTTGATATAAACGTACTTGTTTTTCACTTCATATACTCTTTGTAGAAAAAGAAAGGTGCTTGACCGCAATAGGTTTAAAGTATGATCTAATGCGCCAGGAGTGATAACTAATACTTTAACCAGCTCATGTGTTTCTTCACAGCAATCAAAGAATCGTGTGACTGGTTTGTTAGCAACTATGCTGGAGCCAGAAAGTGATATTCAATAGTACTTTAACTTTTCAAATATCTGATAATAAACAGTTATGTTTTTGTAAAAAGTGCTTTCCTATATTAGTAGCTACCTTATTAGGTAAACGATCGTGTATTTATCGTAGCATAATAGGCACTGCGGAGCAGGAGGTTGGAGGGCTCTAGACCCCTGATTTTTGCAAAAAGGCTAAATATTAAGCAATGGACCACCAGTTAAGCCTCTTTTTATTAAATCTTAGCCCCCTCCCTACTTTTTGTAGATCTCTCATTTCCTTCAACCCTCCGCGGTGACTGTATAATATATACCTTTGTGGCATTATAACTTTAGAATTTGATTGCTAAATTGAATCTTTTCCCCATTTGTAAAATGTTGATTTCGTTATAACCTTTTGAACACATTTGAAATTTTGAAATGAATGATGCAAATCTTGGACATCGTTCTTGTGCATTATGGTCAAGGCTGCCATTGCTAGATACAACTTAACCGCAACAGTTGGTACAAATATATGTACTTTACTTGTGTTTAACACCACTTTATGACGTTTATATATTGTGGAATATCGGAAGAAGTATTGTCGGTAGTCTATACAATCCTTTGCAGAGTGCCTCCTAGCCTGCGTTGCGTGCAGACTCTACTGTTTCAGTTTGACTCCACTGTTTCCTACTTCATGTTGAGTTAAATTAGTAATTCAAAAGTTCCCACGTGCTCCTCCCCATGTTTTTGCGGTTGCTTTTTCAGGAGGAGTAAGTGCCCTTTTTAGATTTAACTTTTACTGTCAAACTGCGCTTTTTGCTAGAATTTATTAATGTTGACCATTACAATAACTGGTCATCCAAAGTACCCCCAAAGCTATAAACGCTATCTACGTTCCTTTAACTTTGCTAATGGTATTGAAATTTTCCTTTTTAGTTGTATCGCACTACATTCTATATGATATTTACGTTATATTATTCAAGCCAAAAATTATCTATCACCTTGAAAATAATCTTGCTGACAACGATCTTTCTGAAAAAGCACTCTATTATACTATATAGATTTGTAGACGTATTCCAGTCAGGACCGTAATTCTGTCGTGTAAATTTGAGAAAGGGAAAAATAGAGTTAGCAGAGAAAAATAATATAGAGTATGCAGTAGGTCATGGCACCACCAAGCAATTTATGATAAGTGTTATCGACACAGTTGGAAGGCAAACAACTTAAAAACAGTAATCGCTGTTCTTTACCTATAGAAGTTATTTTCAGATAATCACTAGTACTTTTTATGACTTCATAATTTGATGTACAACAGATTTTTATTAATAATGAGTGACTTTATAAGGGATCTACATGTAGAGAATCGAATAAGTGAAGAAACTTATTCTGCAAAAGACAAAGCCTTTTATGAACTTTAAAGATTTCATTTTATAGGGTTTTCACTTTGGCAATTTTAAAATTTTATTTGAGGCAATGCATCATAGATATTATTTCCTTGATTTACTCCCATAAATAGTTTGTCGAGATTAATGACGACTTATACGACTTTTGAGATATATTCAAGGGGTGGATAAGACATTTAGGGCGATTCGCCGCTTGGACACAGTCACCGATCCGACACCACTCTGCCTTCATAAATTACGATAATCAACATTAGGCAAATTGCGCTTGACACTATGACATAGTGGCTGAAGTTTGTTGCAATAGCACAGACAAACTTAGTTTAGTTCTGACCAATCTGCCATGGATTCCATATCTTTAAAAGAAAATGACCATAATTTCTTGCAAAAAATTGTCTTGCTCCAACTTTCTGGGGGGATCCAGCCCCTTCCCATCCCCCGGGATTTATGACCCTCAATCCAGTGAAATTGAAAACCCCTCTACATGGGCTCCGACGCAAGTTGGAAAGTGGAGGGACCAAAAGAAAATATGGCAGTCATAACAAAAGGTTTTGAAAACAGCTCTATTGTCTTGCAAAAAAGTGAGGGGGCCATGGCACCCCGGCCCCTCTTCCCCTTCGTCGGAGGCCGTGCTCTAACGAAGTTATAGATGCTCCAAATTGTTTGCACAGAGTTTTTCACTAACGAGGATTCAAAGAAAGTCACAGTTACCCCTAAAAATGTTTGTATACAGTGCACAGTGAAGTGACCCACCGATCAGCAATTTTGGTATTCTATGCCTAATATCATACTGCAAAGGACACTCTCCCAATGAGCAACACTTTCGAAATTTCCGTACACCAACAAGAACAGTTAACAAGATCAAGGAATACATTGAAACAAAACCAAAAGCTTAATGGTACTTTTTAGTTCTGTTGGTAAATTTGTAGTCAATCTACAGTTGTAAATCAGATTTTTATATATTTTTATACAATTTTTGAATTTGTTGGCGTTTGGCGTTAGACGCCTCGGGCCACAGACTTCGTCAAAGACAAAACACTGTTTGCGAGATACATTCATCTCTAAGAGGAAGGGAACTCCTTCTCATGTTTTTTAGATAACCGAACCTTATTTCTTATCCTTGTTAATTTTGTATATTTTCATGGCTTTCATTCTAATTCAGTTTTAACTTCTTTTAAAGTAACTGCTATAGAAGAGGGCCTCCTTTCATAGGTTTATAATTTTAGAGAGCTTATAATTATTTTTCTTTTCACGTGTTCAAACTGCATCTATGAAATTCTAGATAATATAAACAGAACTGTCAAAAGTTGAATTTCATAATGAATTATTCATGTGGGCCATCTGCAAAAAAGAGACTGGTAGCCTCGGTTTCATCGTCTCGTTGATTTTTTTACGTCACAGGGGCCTAATTTTGTTGTCGAGTGTTTTTAAAATTTGGTAACGATAGTTGTTTTGTAAATATTGAGGATAATTATAAGAAAACTTAGCTATGTCTGATAAAAATGATGAATGGTCAGGTGGAGGTGGGAAGAAATTGGTGGATAATACAGCTACTGCTGCTATGATATGGCTATGTCTGTCGGCAGCGATTGGCCTACTTCTCCTAGCATTGTACTGGTTAAACAACAAGAGCAAAAAAAGTATGCAAGTATTTTGTATTGTCTAAAGGTTGGGATTTTTAGCTTGTTCAATGCTTGAATTTTCTAAAAATTAAATTTCTTTAGATAGTTTAACAAGAACATAAAAATTATCTATTGTTAAGTTATTTAGGCTATGATCTAAAGAAATTTAATTCCTGGAAGGAAAGGTCACATCAATGATAAAGATAGAACTTATACTCTATTGCAGTTTTACATGCATAGCAATAAATGACTGAAAGAAAATATTTTGATGAATTAAACCAAAATTTTGCCCCTGAATTAAGTTTCTTCCATATTTATTTTGTTTCGTAGCAAAGACTGTTTATATATTTTATAAAATATTGCCCCTTATTAATTCGGATTGAATCTGCTAACTTGAACCTATCAATTTTCACTTCAAGGTTCAGAAAATCTGTCAGCCTAATTGGAAATCATTCTGTCTGGCATATATTGACAGTTTTTCCCCTTTGCTTGTCGATACTTTTATTAAAATTCGCAAAGCAGTTATAATGTTGACATATTTTGCCAGAGACCACCAGAACAACCATAATTGCTGGCACTCAGGCAGAGACAGGAGCAATGCGTGCCCAGACTGCAGGGGGTGTGCGAAGAAGACCAAGGACTGGCAGACAAAGAATGATGGCAAGACGCCCTGATTATGACTTTGATGAGGAGGATGAGGAAGACACCATCCTGAATGATTCTGATGGTGAAATGCCCGTTGATGGTACTCAAGTACCTTGGCAGGATGACGAGCCAGCAGCCAAGATAGGTACAAAGAAACTCAAGAAATTGCAAGAAAAAGCATTCAAAAAGGAGCAAAGAGAGGTTTTCATTTTTGCCTTCCTTCAAAATTTTTTGCTTGTGTAGCATTAGATTTATTTTTATCATGAATCATCAGACAAAGATTCAAATTAAGATTTGGTGGCAATGGTTCAGGGTGACTGAGTTTTAAATGCCCTGATTTTTAGCCTTACTTTCTATGTTTGAGAACCCCAACAATGTTTTTGATATAACACAGGGCATGAAAAGTCAATTGGTTTGAGTTGCCTATGGGACTCATAAAGATTTGGTGCCTGCTTGTCATTACATATTTTGTCCTTGATTAAAGTTGATGTGTAATGTTTCGTACAGCTTGAACAAAAAGATAGAGAGGAAAGAAAGAAACAAGAAGAGCTAAGACGAAAAGAATTAGAGGAGGAAGATGAAAAGCAAAAAGAACTGGAGGAAAAACAGGTAACAGTAAAAAGCGTTTTAAAGTTATTCTAGAATGATACTATAGACTAAGAGCTTTAAATGAAATATTTTTTTGGATGTAAAGTATATACTGTCACTACTATCTTTGGTTTTGTCTATTAGTAATTAGTTTGTCTATTTGTGTGGACTTCCTGAAAAGTGGTATTCAATCTCAAAAATTGTTTCCAAACCCATATAAGGTGGATGTATATATTCACTTTTCAGGAAGTACACCAATACTAATAGACTATTTTTGCTCTAGTAGCATTAGGTATTAAGAAAAGTAGTAGGGTTAAGTGAAATATATGTAGAAAAGCTGATTTTCTCAAGTATGGCCAGCGCCCATTTTAATATTAATCAATTATATTAATCAAAATCGGCTTCACACTCTAGATCCTTTTTTAAGGCTTCATACTCTAATGATTTATTTTAGACAAAATTAATTTAGATATTCTTTGATATATATATATAATTTGTTATTTGTAGCATCCTTGTTTTTCTTTATGATTGACTAAGAATTAAGTTTGAAAATGCTCAACACATTCTACCCCTTTACCTGCAGGTAACCATTAGTGTCTTTATGAAGAACCTCATATGTGTTTAAAGCTGAACTATCTAATTTGCAAAACTCTATAATGACGACATGTTTTGGATAATTGGCAGAGCCCGGTCGTCCTTCCATCTAGCAGTTTTGGAGTCAATCTACATAAAAACGAAAAAGCCGCCATTGTGTAGACAAAAGGAGTTCGTTTTCTCTCTTGGACGCCATTGGTAATTTTTCTTTAGGCTCGCGGCACTGATTGGTCAACTATACCGGTCTTGTGCTTGCGTTTTTCTGATTGGCCTATTTCGATCCACAACTGGGTATATATTTTTCAAACGTGTTTTTCGGAACCTATTCTGACGTTTTATGCTCTGAGGAGTGTCAGACGAAAAAGCTTTAAGTATGTTGTAAAATGTTTGCTTTTTTCAAAGCCATTTTTATATAGGAACCTTTTACACACTTTTCGAGAATTATTAAGAATGTTCGAATAAAATGTCATGTATCATTATAGCGAAGAAGAGCAATGCGAGATATTCGGCACCTTGCTCAAGACACACTTCATTCTTCCACCCCC